CCATTGTAAGCAACCTACCTTATTACACTAAACATACATTAAAGGCAACTTGCCCAATTTGACCCTTCTTCTTTGGCACCTTTGTCGACATCCTAACTTTAGCTCTAGTAGCTGAAGGCAAACGAAATGTAATTAGACCGTGTATGATTTTTGAAATTCGTATATTTGATGGCAAAAATTATAAAGTGTGTCTCACATATATCAACAGGTCTTTTTTCTCTAATACAAAAACACTTACTGAATGAATAATGATTTAAAATGAAAGCAAAGAGGCATGTAATTGCGAAAGAAGGGGGTAGTTTGATAACAATAATCGTTTAAGTTCTTTAAATTAGTCGGAAAATTTGAGCGTAATTGGAAAATCTAGGCTACAATTCCAAATCGTATGTACGTAATCAGAGAGTAATAATACATAACGCTATTGCCGAGATTTCTCTCAATTCAGAAAGGAAATGACAATTCAAGTACAATTCAAGTACAACATTGAAATTAGTTTACCGTCAGACGGAAATTTACTTCCTTGAATGCAAACCTAGATCTTATTGTTTGCTTAACTTTTTTTTTTGAGTGCAAACCTGGATCTATTTATTTTGCCACCTAAAGCAGAATCGTATCGTTTGAGAAAATGTCTTTCAACAGCAGTATTCAGTAACATATTTCAATAACAGCTCGCATATTTCAAATGAGAAAAGCTATGATTAGATTCACAGCAGAACGTGGCCCAACCAATAGCAACACTGACCTTCAAAAAGCAATATCCAATGACCATCTTGAAACAACTATTTAAAGGCACATTAACATGTTGATTAATGTTAATACAATATTTTAACAATTAACATTATTGCTTCACTTATACATAATTGATGACAGCACACATTTGCATGAGACTTTTTTCAGCTGCTTTAGGTTGATGCCGTTATCGAAGGCTTTGGTCTGCACTTTATCTGTGTCAGTTGTAAGATAAATTGCAAGGTTGCTTGGCAACTGTAACTATAGCTACAGACACCAACTAAAACACACAGGTTGAGGTGGACAAAGTTTGTAAACTGACTTTGAATTCTCAAAGCTTTCCCATCAGCGAAGCACTGTAAGGATACTACGATATTGATAATGCTGTCATCCATAATAAAAGAAAAGTTAAATTACCCTGATGTATGAAAAGGTACTGGCAAGGTTCTTCATACAATTTTTTTGCAACGTTAAGAGCCGGACATGACAATTTTTGATCCTCTTTTCTTGATTTAACCGGGACCTTAAAGACACCTATTAGTATAGGTTATCTTGATAGGTTGTTTCGCAATTTTGATAAACTTCTCGATTTGAGAATTTAACTGCAGAGATCAGGGACGGATCTAGCGCGGGGGTGTAGGGGGTGTGACACCCCCCAAATATTTCTGTCTCCTTTGGTAAATTTTGCTTCAATTCGGGGAAATCATTTTTGGTAGTCAGTAGTAGCAAAATAACGCCAAGATTTTACTTAACTTATCTTCTTATCTTTGTTTCAAGATTTTCCAGTGACCTGAAGGGTGTAGCACCAAAATCCAATTAGTCTCTAACATCCCTTCCCCCCCAATAATTGTTGCTCAAATCCGTCCCTGGTAGAGATACCTACTCTTCCGCTCTGGTTGGAATCCTCCCGTATTCATTCCGCTTCCCTGATCTGAAAAAACGACCCCCTGCCCCTTTATCCCCAACCTAACTTTGTGAAGTTGGATATAAACTATAGCATTTTAGCACAGATTCTTGAAAGAAGGACACAAAGGTACATGTATTGTTTATTTCGTTTGAATTGTGCTTCATTCTGCATCAACTTTCAACTGTCACCACATATGCCTGCTAACAACATGCAAGGACTTTCAAAAGTTTAGCAAAGTGTCTCTAAATGCTTAACAGCAGCATTGCCTGGAGAAAGTATGTATGGTAAAAAAGAAAAAACTGAATTGAGGCCCAAGGTTGACGTCTAGACAACATTTTTAGCACCAACACAAAATTGTTTCTTCTTAGCAAAAAATCCCCTTTTCAATAAGAAAAGTTGAAATCTACGTAGTATTTCAAATTCAAGTAATTCAGCAACACATTTATAAATTCATTGAATACAAGTTAACCAAAGATATATTAATAGAAGATACAAAGTTAAAGATCGATGGATACAGCATGCTCTACCTAATACAATTTGTAGTAAATTGCCTATGACACTGAAAGACCTAAAAAGGTTTTCAAGCCGAATGCCCTGATTGTAAGTTTGTTATTTATTAAAAAAAAGAGTAATATAGAGTACAGTGGAATCCCGATAAAACGAACCCCTGATATAACCAACTTCCCGGTATAACGAACTAAATGTCTGGTCCCTTGGATTCTGCCAAACTAATTCATCACAAATTCTCTCGGTTCAACGAACCCCGGATATGACCAACTCTCGTTATTACGAACAAAATCTTAGGTCCTTTCATCATAATTACCCTCGATATAACGAACTTTTCATAAATTTTTCATCTTTTCTCCAATTTATTTTTTCTGGTGTTCATTTATCACTTTATCTTGGTTAAAATCATTTTGTAATCGGCAAAACATGCTGATGATACATTTCAAGCACTGACTGATAGACTCAGTGTACGAGAGTAAAGTTCGATTGCGTCAAAAACTACTGCGAATGAGTACATTGACGATAACAAATAACTTCTTATATATGAAACATTGGCAATGAGCGACGATAGAATTTTATGGAGAGACCCAGATGGAGAAGCAGAAGAAGACAAAAAAACTGTGAAGTAAAGGAAGACGTCATTCAGCTGCCAACTAGAAGTAAAGTGATACCAGCTTTGCCAATCTCTTGATCCCAAATTATAAGATGAACATTAAGTTTTTAATTTTCAATCACCAACCAGTAGTATTATTTGAATTCAGCTTGGTTTTTTTTAGTTAAATGTGCACAGAAGTTGGAGATAGCCTAAACAAGCCCACCGAAAACCTGAAGAACTAAATGAACTGCGAAAATACCTAAAAAACGTTTTCTCTCGGTTTAGCGAACTCCCGATATAACGAACTATTTTCTGGTTCCCTTCACAGTTCGTTATATCGGGATTCCACTGTACTTGATAATAAAGTAGTACTCAGTGATCAACAAATTTGTGCTTAAACAGATGCTTGTGCATTAAAATTGTCAGTACGTTTTATCTGTAATTACTTTAATGTACTAATTGGTAGCTATGGTCGATTCTGATTAGTCAACATTGTATACTTATGTATATATTGTTATGTATATATTGTTTTCATATCGAATTAAAAAAATACATAAACTTACAACAACAACGTTTTATTCAAATCTCTATGAAGAAATACTTTTCAAATATGGAGAAGGCGATCATTGGCCTAGCTGAACAACTACCGAAAAAGCACACAAAGGAATTTTTTAGTTTCGTTACATGAAACTTGAAAGGTATCACCTTCATTTTAAAAAATGCTCAAACAGCTAAGATCTTGGCAAGCAACATATTTCACAAACAGAAAATTTTTGTCAGCGTGCAGGTAGCATGCATATAAATGGTCACATTGCTCAATGTTGTCTCCAAAGGAATTGTGCTTGAAGCAAGAATTACATTCGTAAAAGTGACAAATCGCCAGATCAAGATGACATCAAGAGCAAAAAATATTATCTGTTGTGGTGACGCAAGACTGTGCTAAGCAGGATCAGCAAAGAGAGCAATCAGTCGGCAAAGAGAACAATCAGTAAGAGAACGCTTTAAATGTAAGGTCCTAAGACAAGCAACTTTATCAATGTGGTGACAAAATTAGCTAAGAGTCTAATGTCTACGAAATCCCTGAAAAAATCATAATTGGGGAAGAGGAGATTGTGAAGGTTGTTACAGAGACATTATATGGCGCCATGTTATGAAGAAGAAAGAAATAGGGGAAGTATAGGAAGTTTGGGAAGCTAAAGGAAAAAACGTGCTAGATAACAGGATAGGCCACTTAGAAGCTGTGAGCATTAAGGGGGGGGGGGCATTAGGTCAACATCTCGCTTGTTCAAGGGGAATAGGACGGTTTCAATTGTCTAAAGGGTTTAATGAGAGTGGAAAAAGCAGTTATAGCTGAACACAAAAAAAGCACGATACCAAGGCTCAGGGGGTGCTCCTATTTAGGCCTGACAGGGGGTCCACTCGATGTCGATTTGAGGGTCTTACCAAATGGCTAGCAAATAGCTCAGTTTCGATAATAACACAACGGCCTAATTTAGCTTGCCATTTATTATACACAATGAACAAGATTTTTTCTTTCCCGAATCAACAAGTGTCAATGGTTAAGAAATTTGTCAAAGATGGACCAGGCGAGCACAAAGCAATTGAAGCTACCAAGGACATAGTTTTGGTCCTTATGCTACCATTTGAGGGTTATTGTCAAAAAAGACTACCATTTGAGGGTAGTTAACATCTTAGCTTTGGTCCTCTTTGGTCCTGACTGGACCAGGGGGTTAGACCATAATGGGAGTACACCCCCGGGTACCAAGGTTTGTTGCGCTCTGTACTACCAAGATAATTGATGATAATTTCTTTCTATTGATGATCATATCGTGAAAAAGAAAGATGTAAACATAATATAATACATTCTCAAGTCTTTTTGGGTTATCTTTTATTTGTAGATACGTATTGAAGAAAAATAAACAAGAAAATGGGGTACAGTTGGAACCTTATAACACAGTTTTGTTATGAAGTTCGGCCTAATTTGTGGTCGTGATCCGCAGCTAAAGAAACTTCATTAGTATCTTTAAAATGGAATACTTAGATTTTTCTGTCAAAAGTAATCAGAACAGTTCGAATTCGATTCACGATTCAAGTTGAGCATTTGAAGTTCAGTAATGTTCCACGATGAAATCGAGAAAAGTACAACTAGTTTCGATGCAAAGAAGAGGCAATAAAACCAATGTGGGAACTAACAAGAGAGGAGCACCAAGCTTCATTTCCTTAGCAACGACGATAGATAACTGTAACTAATAAAAACAAATATTTGAGAATTACTGAACATTCAATTTAAATGCATAAGAATGATGAATTAATCATATATATGTAAACAATTAAGTCTGAAATTGGTTGTATCAAGAATGTTAATTATGCATTAACAATTATAGAGAAAAACTTGATAGCTAAACGAAAGCAAACATGGACACATAATAGGAGGAGATATAAAACTTAAACACACTTGAGTTGTGATTTTCAAGCTGCAATTCTTTTGGTGTACATAAGACTGATCACACAAAATTATCTTATACTGGTTCTGGACAGGGCCATCGCTATGGTGGGGAATGGGGTCGTGTGATATTCCCCTTGAAAAATTCCGTTGCATAAATAAGAAGATTTTGCGATGTAGGGGTGCTTCGTCGGGAAATTGTCATACTTGTCGGCAATTTAAAGGTGGGTCACCCACTTTGTCGGCAAATGGGGCCTGAGCAGCTTCCTATGGAACAATACCTAGCGATGGCACTGGTTCTTGAAACAGATAATATCAATAATCAGTATATAAAATGGTTGTCTAGTTCATATCAAACAAGGTAAATTACGTCGAAAGCAGATAACCTCAATAAATTTGTCAAGATTAGATGCCAATATATTTTCACTTATGATCCTATGGGGAATGTACTAAGATATAATGAATTTTCACGGACCAGCTTTTATACTACCACGTTATAACAGCCAGTTTTCCTAACAAACGGTTTCTAATCATTCATACGGTAGCAAGACCAAGTCCAACAGCAGCATAGCTACAGCCGGCAAGCTTCTAAACAAGGTTGTATTGACTGTCAATTTCTAGATAATACTCAAAACGGAAACTCTCAGGATTCTAACAAAATATTCGTTCATTACGCATCACCTTAATGATAATAAAAGATCTAAACTGGATGCATACACTCTTTTTTATAAGAACCAGTAAATTTAAGTTCAGGCTGACTTTTTCACTCTAAGGAGGTGTTCAGGCCTCATTTGCCGACAAATTGAGTGAGGCAAGCTTCATTTGCCGACAAGTTTGAAAATTCTCCGAAAAAGCTGAAAATCCTCGATTTTGAGAAAAAACGTTGTTCAAAATTGCATTTTGCAGAAGCTCAGCCTTAGCATGTTCTTAGTTTGTTCTTAACTTTCGACCAGTTTTGTGGCTCGTGTTCTTATAAAATTGTTCTTATAAAAAAAGAGTGTAATTGAAGATAAATAAAAAAGGGTCGATCCAGCACTATGAATGAATTTGGTAAAAGTTATACACAATAAATGATGAAAATAAATCGTTTTTTGCCTTAACGACCTAGTCTTCTCAAGATATAGGGTGCATCATATAAATTTAAATTATACGCTGAACAAAATTATTTTAATATATCTAAATCAACGCCAATGCGCCAGTGAATGAATCAAGCGTCCTGCTCAATACGTTATTACATTTTAAACATGAAAACAAGCAACTTGCAACGAACAGTTTATTTATTCTGGCATGCAGCGTCTCGCATCCACAAAAGTCAATTCAACTGAACATCATAGCCTTAAGAATGTACAGCAATTCAGGCACATGCAAATACCCTCCCCAGACCTCTGTGGATTTGTCCTTGGATTCTGTCATACTCAACCACCTCTCCATCTACAGCAATATACCCGGTTCGGTTAAATTTCGGTTCTAGTCTAAATGCTTTTATTTTTCGAATTTCAACATCGTTATTAGAAACATGCTCTCCGGTTTCCATCTTTGTCAAAAAATCAACTAATGATTTTCTGGATATACCCTTTTTGATAAACATAAGCCACATTTGACCGTCACCAAGCTTGAGACCTGGACACGAGATTAAGCTCGATCCTAAATGAGAAACAAGGAGTATCATCACTGTCACAAATTCGCCGTCTAAGGTAACCCATCCCTCAGGTAGATCAACGTCAAGCGGCGGCAAAGCACTGTCTACGGGTCCTTTGGCCTGCCGTCTGTTTTCTTGTTTAGATTTATTCAAAGACAATTCCTTTTCCTTCCCGACGCTTCGATTCATATCGGTTGTGCTAAAAGCTCTTTTCTGGAAGCTTCTTTTGACATCTTTGCCATCCGAGGATATATCTTCACCAGTTTCCAACATAGGCTCGTATTTACCAGCTGCAATGTTTGTGCTTGCAACCTTCCTTATACTGTTTTGATTTCTCACTTTGACATCAAATGAAGAGAAACCTCGCTGTCTAGAATTTTGAAACCCAATATCATCACCATAATCTTCTTCTCGTGTGTTTTCCTCTAATCTTTCATAATTTAAAGCATCTTTGAAAACCAACTTTCGATTAGATGTTTCATCTGTCTGAAACTGTGTTTCAGTGACGCAGCTTTCATAGCTTGAATCCGCGTCACTAGTTTCAGCATTTTCGCATTTTTCGTCAGATAGCTCACTTTCCGAAATAGGAAGATAGGCCAGTTTTCCAGAATAGATACGTAAAGCAAGTATTCGCGAAACAGCACCAGCGGTGAAGCGCGCATTTCCTAGCAAGCGTAGCCTTTCAGATTCAATATCAATATCAGATATAATTCCCCATGTTAGTGAAAGAAACGAAAAGAACCTTTGCTTATCATTTTGCATGGCACATAAGTCGATTGGTATCGGGATGCCGCGGACAACGTGGAATGATGCTGACGTAATGTCGAATACATCCCTAAGACGTAATGGCGAAATCAGCAATCAATGTTGGTGCAAGCTATTCATCTGATCCGTTACCAATCAAGATGTGGTTTACTCTACTTATAGTCAATGACAAATAAATATTCAGTAAATCACTGCCATTTCTGTTTTGAATATATTTATAAAAAGTTTACTTTATCAACAAATTTCACCTCAAGAAAACCTACTTCATTTCAGCAACCAGGCAATACCGTAAATCCTCTAAATTGGCTATCTTCGAAAAATCCCCCCTCCCCTCAAATAAGCCCCCACGCTAGAACTAAAAATTGTCAATGAGCCCCCCCTCAAATAAACCCCCACTGCTACGGTAAATTCTCGAATTGGACTCCTCCATTTGATGATTTTTGCCATCTGAGGTTGCCTATGGCGTTTTATTGAATTACCACAATTAATTCATACATTTGGTAGTAATTAATTAAATGCTCATAAAGAAATTCCTTCTAGAATAAATAAGGTCTTTTAATAATGTCTACAAAGATTTTATAAGCACCCCTTCGTATGAGCCTCTCCCTTGAATATGCCCCCATCCAATAATATCAAAAATAAATAAGTCCCCAGGGGGGCTTATTTGAGGATTTATGGTATGTTGGATATACTACTCATGAATGCCAAAACCTCTGCTAACTGACTTTATAATCATAGGAAGAGTTTCTAAAATGCAATGCAGGGCCCGCGCCAAGTAGTTTTAAAACTGCAATAAAAGGGGTAAGAAGCCTTGGCCCCCTACATTTTAGCCTTGGCCCCCCCCATTTTCATGGTGAATTCGTGGCGCAGGGCCCTGCAATGTATTAGAAAAACAGGCCCACACATGGAACATGAACTGTCTCATGTTTCTATGAACCAGAGAAGAAATTCTAAAACCTTCATTACATATTGAGGATAACAAACATAACACTTACTTTGCATGGTACAACACTGATGCACAAAGGGCATTACCAGATCCTGTTGGTATCATACCAATTGGCATTTTGATTGCTTTTTCCCAGTCATCACGTTGCATAAAACCTTGGACAACCTAGTTATGAAAAATTAATTTGTCATAAAGGTGCTTTGGAAAAACAGGCTGTAAGAGAAAAGATAAAGTTGACCGAGAAAATACAAAGGGGAATCATTTCTGTTGATTTGCCTAGTTCATAAGATATGGGTCAGAGATAGATTCCTCAAATTTGAAGATATGGATCAGATGTCAATTCAGTAAGATGATTTTGGGCCAGCGATGGGGACAGCTGTCCCTGTGTGCCCAATGCTCCAGTATCCCTATATTGGTCAGAATTAGATACCTAAGGACTTAAAAATGTGGGTCAGAGTTATATTTTAATGGATGGTTCCAACATAATTATACTCTTCAGAATTTATTTGTTAGAAGTAGTGGTAATGTTTTTGTAAACCAATTCAACTCCTGGTTCAATGACAAAGCATTAAAAATTTTTTTAACAATCTTTGAAAAACGGTATGCACATAGGTCCCTTACAGAGAATATACCTCTGCAGGCCTGAATATTCACAAATTGCATGTAAGCAGTAGCCTAGCCAGTGTAGTATGATTGGGGGGCAAAGGCAGGTTGAGCAAAAGAAAAATGGGGTCACCCTTCGAAACACTAGAGATGCCCTTTTTCGAAAAGATTTCTTGCCATGGGGGGGGGGGAGGGGAGGGAGAGGCATTATACCCTTGCCTCTAGCTCATTATGCCACTGTATGTAAGTAAGGGCCTTAGTATGCTGGGGGAAATTAACTTGTGTTTGTTGTTGTTTGTCCTTGGCATGTTGCAATGTTTCTTATCTTCTACGTTCTATTCCAAACTGTCTCCCATCACTGATGATAGCTTGAAAATTAACAGCAGCCATTTCAATTAACAATTAACAGCAGCCATTTTCAAAATTAACAACAATTTGACCCAATACAGTCTACATTTTTATTAGTTTATCATCATGTTTTTTTATGTACATATGCCACTGAACATACCTCATATGCAAGTCCATCACCAGAGCATATAGCTATGCCTTCCCAGTCGGATAAATGCAAGGAATAACAAACTTCTGTGGCTTGGTTAGCACATTCTAAAAAATAAAATTAAGAAATATCAAGTTTTCTTCAGCTTTTACAACCTTCTGACTTTAAACTGATGAGTTTGTCAGTTTAACTTGACCTTGAGCTTTCACTTGAATTGAGAGAAAACAATGGGCTTGAGTAATGTTATAACCAATTCCTGTGTTATCAGAAGATACCACTAGAAGCATCAGCAATATTAATAAAGCCCAATCTCTAGTGAGAAAAAAAACCAGCGAAATGCGAAAAAGTTTGTGCGAAATATGTCTTAGGCATGCGCAGTGATCTTTTGCTGGGATTTCTCGCAAAGAATTTCTCTGCGAAAAAAAAGTTAAAATGAGTTTAACTTTTTTCGCTTTTGGCTTGCGAAATCCTTCAACAGCCAATCATATTCCGCATTCCTTTGTCACCCTTCCAAACTTTACATTCCAATGTTGTGAGGTTAACAAAAGCATTCAAAGGCATTTGTTGCCTGAAGTATTTCACAGCGAAATTTCGCAAGACTTTTTCTCACTGGAGATTGGGCTTAAGCTTCCTTAAATTATTTTTAACTGCATGAAATATTATACCAAATATCAGTTTATAGTAATAGATAAAAGAGACTCTGCAAAAGTTGATAATATATACAATACATCATCGAATTACATGCTGCTACATTCTGAGGGAGATTGCAAACAGGCACTCTAACGGCTGCTTGGCTACAGCAGAGGTTGGCTGCTTGTAATAACTGCTGCCTTTGTTGTTTTTGAGAGAGTACCTTAAGCTTGAGGCAGCAGGTACCTGTTTGCAAACAAACAAACCAACTAGAGATAATCTTGCTCATATGTTGTTGATTAAGTTCCATTCAACAAATTTAAGAACATACTTGTAACAAATTCCTGATAATAAATTCCAGCATCTTTGAAGACTGGTTCAACAAACTTTCTGAACTTTGAAACACTGGCACCATTTCCACTCTTTGGATTAATAAGGACTAAAATCCTTCTTTTCTTTGGAAAGGCATCTTTACCTACAAAAACAAAAAGCTATTTTTCCATAAATAATGAAACAATAAACAAATGAAAACCTAAGTCTTACCCATACAACATTAACTTCAAAACAATAGTATAACATGTTTCAGAAGATGTAGGACTCCTAATTTAAATGGTTTTCCCCCTTCTGCCCTCAGTACTAGTCTGTCTGTGTCTCAATGTAGTCTCAATTTAAACAACCAAAACTGACAAATTTACATGCTTAAAGCTTGAAATCATGATCAGTTTTTATCAACTTTTAATTAACAGTTTTCAATTTATCAGTCAAAAATTGATCTTGTATTTAAAAAAAAACTAATAAAAGCTGAAACATTATTGACTGTCAGCTTTTGACTGAAGAGCTTGAACATGTCAAGCTTTGTCACTTTTTGGCTGATGGGAATGCTGTTCATTGGTGCAGAATGTTCATTGTATTAAGTTGGCAGCCCTGTTAAACCTTTGGGGTAAGATGGATATTTTTTCAGAGCAGCATAGATTTACAAGCAATTTGAAAAAGAGGACATTTATCAATACAAATGAATTTATAGATGCATGGAAGAAACAAAAGTCATTATGGGATGTAATGTCAGACTTACAAGTAAATTCAAAAAAGGGAATAGTTTGAAAATATCTTTATTTCATTTTTTGCTATTTTTACCTTCTTGATGACCAAAGCTGTAGCCAAAAACTACAGCTGTGAAAAGATCATGGTCCATTGTTAAAAGGAGTTAAGAAAACTGATCCTGTTTTGAGGATCAATTTTTAGAAACTGAAAAATCTCAGCTGAACAGGATATGCTATAAATTCCATACATGTGTAAATTGCTTCAAGCTAGACCAACCAAAAATAAAGCCTTTAGCTATCAGCTATTGAAATGTTTAAACAAAAGCCAATTGTTATAGGTACAATTCATGTATAATGAATTACTTTGAAGATCTTCCTGTGATATCGAGGGATTCTTAATCAGCCATTCAACGGACCTTGCCCATGTTTCTGCAACGATCATGTTACTTTCCTCGTCATCAGACTCGCTCACACGAAAGGTGAACTCCTTCTTCTTCCTCTTACGGCGCATTTTCCCAACATTTGTTAAGGGATAAGCAGTGATGTGAAAATAGGCCGATGTGTCCTTTGGGATTTTGCTGTTGTAGAGTCGGGCAGCAACCACATCTTGCAGTAATACAGAAGTGAATCCATCTGTTAGCTTTGTGTAGGTCACTGAATCCACTGTTTGTTCGAAAATAAGATTCTTTCTTCCCAAGCGTAAATTATAAGTGCTTTTGCAATCTGGATACTGCTGGAAATTCCCAGTTAGAAATATTTCGTCATCCATACTCCTTGCCCCCTAACGTGACCATCAACTTTCTGATGTTGCTGTGATTGTTATGCGCCTTCAAAGGAGCCAGACGAGGTCAGACGTTTTGAACTCGCTCTGATAACGCTATAAGCGGATAAAGCTACGGAAATGTACAATATCACAGTAGCATATTTAAACATGCTATGAAAATGAAACATTTAAATTGCAAAGCAACATAAAAAAACACAATAAAAGAACCCCACTCTTGATCAGATTTAGTATCACTGAAAATTCAGAAGTAGAAATTATTTTGTTGTTGACCCTTGATTCTAATGGGGTGAATTTTGGTTCTTAGAGTTTTTATATAAAACGTTTTGCTCTAGCAATAACAGTAATTTTGTTCAGGTAAAACTATTTCTGCTGACCCTTGGACCAACACCAAAGGAATAGTTTTTGGGTATTCAGTCATCTTGTTGATGAAACTGCGAGGAAGTCGATTCTAACATGTCTTTTCTAATTTTCTCATATAATGAACATTTTTATAGAAAATGTTCTGCTCTAGCAATATTGGTAATTTTGTTCAGGTAAAACTATTTCTGCTGACCCTTGGACCAACACCAAAGGAATAGTTTTTGGGTATTCAGTCATCTTGTTGATGAAACTGCGAGGAAGTCGATTCTAACATGTCTTTTCTAATTTTCTCATATAATGAACATTTTTATAGAAAATGTTCTGCTCTAGCAATATTGGTAATTTTGTTCAGGTAAAACTATTTCTGCTGACCCTTGGACCAACACCAAAGGAATAGTTTTTGGGTATTCAGTCATCTTGTTGATGAAACTGCGAGGAAGTCGATTCTAACATGTCTTTTCTAATTTTCTCATATAATGAACATTTTTATAGAAAATGTTCTGCTCTAGCAATATTGGTAATTTTGTTCAGGTAAAACTATTTCTGCTGACCCTTGGACCAACACCAAAGGAATAGTTTTTGGGTATTCAGTCATCTTGTTGATGAAACTGCGAGGAAGTCGATTCTAACATGTCTTTTCTAATTTTCTCATATAATGAACATTTTTATAGAAAATGTTCTGCTCTAGCAATATTGGTAATTTTGTTCAGGTAAAACTATTTCTGCTGACCCTTGGACCAACACCAAAGGAATAGTTTTTGGGTATTCAGTCATCTTGTTGATGAAACTGCGAGGAAGTCGATTCTAACATGTCTTTTCTAATTTTCTCATATAATGAACATTTTTATAGAAAATGTTCTGCTCTAGCAATATTGGTAATTTTGTTCAGGTAAAACTATTTCTGCTGACCCTTGGACCAACACCAAAGGAATAGTTTTTGGGTATTCAGTCATCTTGTTGATGAAACTGCGAGGAAGTCGATTCTAACATGTCTTTTCTAATTTTCTCATATAATGAACATTTTTATAGAAAATGTTCTGCTCTAGCAATATTGGTAATTTTGTTCAGGTAAAACTATTTCTGCTGACCCTTGGACCAACACCAAAGGAATAGTTTTTGGGTATTCAGTCATCTTGTTGATGAAACTGCGAGGAAGTCGATTCTAACATGTCTTTTCTAATTTTCTCATATAATGAACATATTTAGAGAAAATGTTACTCATCATCAACAACTTGATATTTGTTTACTTACAGGAAACATAGCATCATTCAGATCTTGGAATTTTTTTATGCCTGCGAGTTTTAAGGGGCAGATTATGCGCGCTAAGATACAATCTAGCAAAGTTGCCTCCTGTAGAATAGTCTGACAAAATATAAAGGTATGGCTCCAACCAAAATAAAACACTTTTTTCTCTAGGTGATCCTACAACTAGTAATTGTCATATTAACTAGCTTACTTCGAACCAAGATTGAAATTATTGCGTTTATGCGTGTTTACACTGGAACAATATATAACATTTTCAGATCAGTCCGCCTTTAAAATCGTTTTCATTTGAAACTGAACGCCAGTATTGCCATTCAAAATATCCCAAAAAGACCACTAGGCGTACGTCAAGTCGAGAGTAGGACGTCGTCATAGGAACAATTTGAATCACATAATATTATGTGTTTGAACACTATTGCCTAATGCTTTTGTTGCATTCACATTTCACTTGATCAAAAATTTCAATTTACATCTGGTACAAAAAGTCAAATTAGATAGATTTTTAAACTGACAGGTGCATGAATAAAATGCTTCAGAATATGCAAAAAGAAAACGTCTACCTCAAGTTTTGCATAATTTATTATCACAAAAAGGGGAAAACGGTTAAAGCAGAGATAAAACTGAAAATATATGAACAACTTGTAGAAAATACACTGCCACAGGATCAAAAATCGTGGTCAGGGAAACCGAACTCTGAAGTAACCAAACTCTGTTCCCTCTCTCACATACACTGACAAGGTAGCAGGGTACTTGTTGTCTCTAATGAAATGATTTGTCGAGTTGATGTCCGAAAGTTAAAGATAAATGTACTCCTAACAGGCCAGGGCCCACGCCATCAGGGGAAGGCGGAGGGGCCATGGCCCCCACTTTTTTGCGAACAGGCAATTTTAAAGCTGCAGTAAAAGTGAAAGAAGCCTTAGTCCCCTACTTTTGCTAGCCTTGGCCCCCTACTTTCAAATTCGTGGCGTAGGCCCTGCAGGCAAAAATGCAAAAATGCAAAATATTAAGAAGTGAACCACCAGCAAAGCATTTTTTATTCGGTTTTAGCCCCCGCAGTTTTTAGACCCCCCTCAGTCATGTCAGTTCGACTGAATAAGCGCACTGTGCAAGCTCGTTATATGCTATTTCTTTTCTCACGTCTACTTTTTTCTTTCTTGTTTTAAAATTTTGCTGCTTCTTTAGGCTTGATAGTCTTCTTTCTCTTCTCTTAGTTGTCTTCTGATTAAGCTTTATATTCTTCTTTTTGCTTCTTTTTACCATCAATTTGTATGTTCTGAACTTTGGCCTCAATGACAAGGTCTTTGTTCTAACATTTTGTAAACTGGTCTTTAAATTTGTGGCCCAATAACTTTTCTTGCCAGCCTGCTTTTCACCGAATCAAAACAAAGTAAATCAAGTTTTTTAGTTTACACTAGAACCTTGAAAATCAGCTCAGACTGAAGGGCTATACCATAATTAAACAATTAAAATTATCATTTTTTTATTATTATTTGGGAGCTAACTTTAAAGTCGTCTGAATCCATCCGGAACGTCGCGGAACGCGGGAAAGCCGCAGCCTCGTACCTGTGTTCTTGTTAAAAATAAACATGGCTACTTCAGTATGGAGCTTTTTGAAGGAACTTTCGTTTCTCGACGTTTTTCAAGCCACAAGCATGCTAAGTACGACATATTTCACTGCATCGACTTTGCTTTCGGCTGCAAAGCAATCTATATTGAAGGTCTTGGAATCAAACATCAATGCAAAGTATAAAACATCGGTGTTGTTTTTCCCTGACAAAACTTATGCATGTCGTTGCAGAATTTCGCCACGCCGTAAATCAGATTGTAGTTGCAATGGTAAAGTTTCTACAATGGAGATTTTACTAAGAAGCCTGAAAGCTGCAAAATCTTCTTTGGACATTTGCATGTTTACAATTTCATCGCCACAACTCGCCAATGCGGCGCTCCAGCTACACGCTAAAGGCGTTGTTGTGAGAGTTATTACTGACGGAGAAAAGATGGACCTTGTAATATCGCAAGTTATGAACTTTAGAGCTGCAGGCATTCAAGTACGATCTGATAAAAGCTCTTTCTTGATGCACAACAAGTTCATTGTCATTGACAAGGAAACGCTCGTAAATGGATCGTTTAATTGGACAAACCAAGCTGTGTATGGGAACAAAGAGAACGTTCTTATAACAAACTTTCCTCCTGTTGTCGAACCTTATATAAAAGAATTTGAAAGACTCTGGGTAGAGTACGACCCAACTAAACCCAAAGCCCCCCTAGCATGACACGAAAGTGAGAAAAAGATTAATATAATGGCAATCCAATCCAATGTTACAAAGAATAAAACTGAAGCAATCAAGTTTACCCTGGAAATATAGAATAACAAGATTAAGTCTAATATTTCAAAACAGGGGTCTTTTCAAATCTGGAAACTAATTTAAGAACAGCAAACATTCTGCATTCATGGTTACCACGGTTTCTATCCAATCGTACAGGGGTTGCAGTGTGAACTAAAGGGACATACCCTATAAACATATTTCCTGATGTGAATACACAAATAATTACTAATGCAAAACCAGTAAAGTATGATGTTCAAAGATTTATTGCCACTTTCAAAACCCTTCTGCATAACTTGTTACCCACTAGTAATAGTATCAAATCCTGACACAGAAAACACAATTTTTTGACCCATATAAATAAGCCAAGTCTGAGATTTAAATACTTGCAGATTAAAGGGTTCCTATTTGTAAGGCTCTTAACAAATTTGGTTCTGGTCTTAGTTAAAGTCAATTACTGCTACAAATACATAAGACATAATCTTAAGAAAATAGACTTAACAAAATTGAAATACTTTATGGCAATCACAAATTGGTTGTTTGCTTCCAAAATTATGAAGTTGATATGAATCAATTCATACCCAAATATATAGAGATGCTGAGGCATGGAGTAGGAATTTTAAAGGTTCACAAATCAAGCCTATTATTAGCCTATAACTTTTGAGAAAGAAAACATTTATTATAGACAGTTCTTATCTAACATAGAAATTGCAGGCAAATGTCAAATCATGAGTGTAACATGCATTTTATGAAGAAAAATATCACTGCAAAATACATTTTTCATGACTCTATTTTATACGATTCTAGACATTCACAGCTGCTGGAAACTTTCCCCAAAATATATGAAGATAAAACTTTTTGACTGCTCCCCACATGTGAACAATGTCTTTCCTGACACCCATAAGGATGTTAAAATTGACCAATTTTTTTCAACTGATTCAATTTATTCATATTTAAGTCTGATACGCATCATTTGTAAACATTTAAGATTGGTAGAAATGTGTAGATTTAAAAAACGATATGTTGTGTATGTAATAACATGATTGAAAGTGATATCAGACAGGGCTACCTATAAATAGTATTCAGAACTCCTTCTTGTTCTACATATCCAGTTATTACAATAGAAATATTGGTATGCCATACTGTACTGTTTGTTAAGGGGATCCGCATACATGTAGGGGATCCAAGACAGCAATTTTGTGGAGACCATGCCTATTATTGTTTCCTACTATAATTGATGAATTTCCTTCATTTTTTAACCATTATGGTCCTAAAGTGCTGTGGCTTTTATCCATATCTTAAAATTGACTGCACTTGAGACTTGAAAATTCTAAAGGAAGATAATATTTATTAACCTTTTCTTGTTGATTATGTTTTAAAATTGAAAAAGGATCACTGGTTTTTGTCAGAAACCCCATTTTCAATTAACGAGAGGTGAATTTAATTTTTTAGGATTTTAGATTGCCAAAATGATATTTTCCATTTAGGAGTCAAAGATATTTGGATAATCAAGCAAAGCACTGTTAATTTGTTATTATTTTTGATAAAAAGTCCCGAGGCTTTCTCTTCAATTAATGCATATTGTTGTGTAGATTAACAATTGTTGTTATTATGATTGTAATTTTACTGTTTTATGTATGCGAGTTGATAATTGAACAACAGTGAAATCAAGTGTTTTCTACTGAATGTGTTTACTAGCTGGCTGCAAGACACCATTTTTTTAACATTATACATAAAAAATCTTAGTGTAAGTACATACAGAAATTACAACTGATACACTAACACTCTGTATTACAAGACAGTTTAAATTCAATTTTGTGTTTAATTAATTGCACACAAAGAAATAATATTTAAAAGTGCTACTTAGATAACAGTGGGTTAAAATTGTAAGAAATAAAACTTGTATCTCTAAAATATCTACAATGACAGATAAAGTTTGTTCATAGTAAATAAAAGAAACAATTTGCAAGTGAAACAAATTTCACATGCCCATGACATTTATAAAAGCAAAAGGTCTATTAATTGAAAGTTGTAGTTAAGTAGCGGGAAGCTTCTAAGACAGGAATCAGTTCAAACTCTTACACATTCCTGCCTGAGTTCGGTTAATAAATCATCTGCCAGGCAGAATGACCAGTAGGATACCAACAGACTTAATTATTTAACTTACTTAGCTTCAAAATTGGTAATGGTGCTCTGTATGGTATTGATTTGCATGCATGAATCTCCTCTCAATAGGCAAACACAGAAATAACAGATCTGAGGAATTTCAGGGACCCTTATTTGCCTCTGAACTTTGTTCACCATCTCCAACTACTTTTTCATTAGTCTTTGATTGCATAATTCTTTCATAATCTCGTACTTCTTCATATGTCATGCCTGGAATTCAATGTCAGGGAATAAATCTTCATGTAATTTGGTGTGTCACACAACAGAAAATATCTTCAAATACCATAAATTCTGTGTCAAGCCCTAATGTCCCCCCCAATACTTTAAGGACGATAGTTTTTGGTCTAAGGCAATAGGGAATGTCAAGTTATCTTATCAAAACAATAGGTATGCCCCTCCAATATTTGACCAAATGGCTGCCCCTGTATTTCATCTCCAAAAATCTATGTAGAACACAGGAACATTTAGGCTGTACCAAAAACATCTAAAAGCTTGTCTTTATCATTGCTAATAAACAAACAGGCAGGCAGGCTTGTAAAGTTGAAAGAACTTCTTACTATCTTTCCATCTTATTTTTACAGAAAAGCAATCAAAGTCCTAGTGATTCGTCCAGTGAATAACACCAAAATATTACAGATTTCTGCAAAGTGATTGGAGACATCATGCCCATGATCTAGCCCATGATTTAGTGCCTAACCATCTTCAGTACTGAAAAAGAGCTCAATAGGTATTTCTTATACTGGGAACCTTACCTTTTTTCTCAAAATTACAAACATCTTTAAATCTTTTAACTTTTGATTATGAGCAAACTTTTGATTATGAGACACTATATAACCCAGAAGTTTATTTTTTTGTTTGTCTTTGTGATGTCTTTAAACTAATTAAAATCTCAAAACGTTGACATTACTCACCATACCAGTTGTCTATCCAGGCAAATGCCTGCCTGTGCCCAACTAATAAAATTTCACGAATCCCCTTAAAAAGATGAACAGGATGAATAACTGAATCATTATAATATTGCAAGCTGAAGACTAAAACTCTTTTATTATGAGCGTGTTTCACTGTTTTGATTTGCCCCTAATTGTTCATTGAGAGTTAGCCCCGGATATCTAAAGGCCAGTTTACAGGGTCATATCTAAAGGCAAGTCAAACTCATGAGCCAAAATTGCATTTTCTAAACGGGGCTTGCATCTAAATTTTATTGGTCTTGCAAGGACTCATGAAAATTGCAACTTTCTTGCAAGATGGCATAAAGGATTATTGCTATTAACCTATCAGCTAGGAGAATGAGTGATTTAGATGATTCGCTGCTCTCATAAAACATTGATCTTCAAAGCAAAGAAGTATCTTTAAACTGACATAGAACTAGCAAGAAAAGAGGCTTTTTTGTGAGATGTACTTTCGGAAGTCTATGGCAATAGATATAAAATCCAAGTAGCTGAGAAAAGAGTGGCAAAAGATTTGGGTGTAGTTTGTGGTCCCTGTGTTGGTCTCACTGAACAATACAATGCAAAATTTTAAATTTTCTTTAAAATTCATATCTAATTCTCCAACCCCCACATCTTGGAGGCAAACTACAGCCTTTTTCCTTGTGGAGCCTGCTCTAGTGATATGATTTGTGCAAGTTGTTTTTGTTTGAAAATAACTCGTGAGTCTAAACGTTTTGACTTGTGAGTCAAAAACTAAAGCAACTTTGACTCATGACTCAGAAAAAGACAAAGACACATCGTGTAAACTGGCTTTAAGAGAATTTTGTAGTCTCTAGTTTCTCTGGCCCTTATATCTAATGAAAAGAGAAATGCTAACAATTTTAAAGGATATGTCCCCAAAAATGTTTTGGGCCCATTCTTTAACTTTCCTCTACATTCAAATATAACTTTGCATTTTATTTTTAAAGAGCTTTCTTGGGCTTGGGGCCCTTAATTATCTCATTATAACTGTGGTTGCTTTTGTTGTCAGGAACTTTGTTATATATTCTCTGAGCTCTTCTCAGCTCAGGCCCGGGAAAATATGCCCCCATGCCTCCCCCTTTGATTGGTCAGTGAACTTGAAATAACCACCCAACATTCAATGTTCTTCCTCTTTGTCCATAGATTTTAGTCATCTAAAAATAACTAAATACTTTTTAAATTATATGAAAACTGATTTGTATTGAAAGACATTAATTCATTAAATCTCTAGCAACAATCGCTGGAGTTAAACTTGATTGAGAATGCCTATCTTAAGACCTGATGATTGCCACTGTCATAATTTCTTATTCTCTTTAAGGGCATTTGACATGCATAAGTAGAGCGAATCCAAAAATAACTCAATCAGAGCACATGCGTTTGAAAGGAATTTTGAAACAACTCACATGAAACCATGTAGTGTCTTGCTGATTCGCAGAAAGACGGAAATTGTTCACATGTTTTCTCTGGGCGTAATTCGATTGGTCAACAAATGGGGATCAAGTGGCTGTAAGCCACTTTTATCTATGTCGAATGCCTTAAAGTTTTCTGTTAAGGCATTTCAAGTAAAGACCATGACAGATCGGTGAAACATAAATCCAAGTGAACTTTCACAAACAGTTTAGCAATATCATTTGAATAAGAAATATTTCGAAATACAATCATACCTTTTGGACATACTGCTGCACTCTATCCCTCAGTCCCCAGACATCAAAAGTTACTTTGACTAATTTGTAGGAACACATGATTGGCTTCACACTATCCTGTGAAAATGAAGGCAGTTTAGATAAAGTTACCTGCGCACAAAGGAGAAAACTTGATCAGTAATCATAACCCTCTAGGTCATCAACTTCCCAAGTGGAGACGTGAGTGTCATGTCAGGCCTTTCATGTTCAAAATTTCATAAAGTTGTCAATCAACCATGCAGGATAAGTTATGCAAAATATTGAAATCTACAAAACAAACCAAAACAATTTTGACTAAAACAGAATATTTATTGACCATATTTGTTATATTGTTGTTAACAATATAACATCCCATCCAAGTGATTCCAATTCAGTACTTTGAAATCAAAGAAACAAAACACACTTTGACAGTAATCAGGGAAAAGGTTGCTATGCAATCCTCTCCAGCTAGACTGTTGATAGAGTCAAGTTAATATTGCTGTTTCATAGTGGATAATATCACTGCTGTCATCACAGCTTTTATCTTCACTACATTTTTGCTACCTTCCTTCCTCTTAGTTACATCAACACTGCTGGTCACTGGTGTATTTTTCCTTTTATTCTTTTTTATTTTAAACATATTTATGTCAAAAGATTTTCACGACTGTAAATTTTTTTCAAGTTCAGAGTGATGAATTAAAAAAATCACCAAAATTTCAATTAGTTTATTATGTTTTATTAACAAACATTTGTTTAAAAGAATACCAATGGCTGTGCTGAATGTTCTTTCAACTTAAGTTTTTGATGTAAATTGCTACTTCAAAGAGGCTTGGAAATTCCTCAAAACAACAAATTATCAGCTACCTCTAGAAATCTTAAGTTGCAGGGGGGTCATTCCATTTCAAAGTGGGACAAATTTCTTCATTTTGTAACCCAAAGTCTCAGAAATTGCTCATTTTTTGTGGAAAAGTGGATAACCATGAGATAAACACATATACAAAATTTTACTTCAAAATCTTTTGTTGTTCTAAAAATAGAGCATGTTGAAATTTTGCTGATTCTCAGCATTTTTTCCAATGTCCGCCATTTTGAATTTAACCCAGAGGTTAATTATACTAAATAAATGCCTCTACTTAGCATCTTGATGTAAAAATCATGTTTTTGACTGATTTATGTATCAGGATTTCAAAAAAAGTTAGAAAAAATTTGTGAGACACACCCACAGTCTGTAATTAACTAATTAACGAGGAGCAGTTGTTGTCATAGCAACGAGTTGTCAAGATGTTATGCAAATTTTTGTCATGTTGCACACCTGTGATAAATTTCAAATTTTCCAAGCATGAAGCTACAGTCATAAGTAACTCTTTTACAAAGAATTAGCAGGGTTATATTTGTCTTTACAAAAATACAGCCCTAGAAATGCTAGGTACTGTAAATGCCTCTTTCTTCTTCTTCACCTTGTTAAAAATTAGCAAATTGCCAGCTGAAAAAATTTTAAAAAATATGTTAAAGCAGGAACTGATCTTTTGACAATCTTTGTGTGTTACAATTTATCAGCATACTGCTAGAATAATGCATATAAATCAGTTTGGGACATGGGTGTGGACATGGGTGTTGGCTAAGGGTGTGGAATGTATGCTGAAAGGTTGTAAGGGGCTTGAGGGCTGTAAAACTTATATTGGTAGGGAGCTAAGGCCTGTTCTCTGTAACAATTTATATGGTCATCATATAAAAAAGTCATGATACACCTTAAATATAATTAGCAACTTTAGCAACATCTCTGTCACAGAGGTAATATTGTCTGCTGGACAATGTTGATGTTCTTGGTGCTTCAACCATCATGACAAAATTCTCTATAGGTACCCAGCATGTCTTCTCTTCTGGGCCATGCAAATGAACAGCTTGGTAAGTGTGGGTGCAAGAAATTGACTTTTGCATCTTTGCTTTCAGTGTCTAATTCACCAAAAAGCCCAAGCCAAAGAAAGTCATCATACGAACAGACCAAAAAACATCCAACACGGAGCTTTTCTTTGATTTTTTCATCTTTGGTTGGCTCTCCAGTAAGACTGAACTCTGCTTCAAAGTTGGTATCAACTGATGTTTGTTTCACACCAACTTTTCATTGTGATAAAGGGATAAATTGATGGAAGCTTCTTGTTCCTGGGACGGTCCTAGCTTTTGCAAAGCGGGTTTCCATGCGTTTTCTCGTCTGTGATATCTCAATTTGTGAGATGAAGAAAAATTGAATGCCAGAGATAAAATTTGAGCAAAATTCCATCATATGAGTTGCAGACAAAATTTGATTACCTGGGGGGCGTTGTAAACTGGCTTTTGCCGTGAGGCGCTTGACAAATTTTTTCTAACTTTTTTTGAAAACCTGATACATAAATCAGTCAAAAACATGATTTTTACATCAAGATGCTAAGTAGAGGCATTTATTTAGTTTAATTAACCTCTGGGTTAAATTCAAAATGGCGGACATTGGAAAAAATGCTGAGAATCAGCAAAATTTCAACATGCTCTATTTTTAGAACAACAAAAGATTTTGAAGTAAAATTTTGTATATGTGTTTATCTTATCATTATCCACTTCTTCACAAAAAATGAGCAATTTCTGAGACTTTGGGTTACATGCCTGTCCTCCTTTGATATGGAATGACCCAGGGAGCTTAATGAAGCTTTTCAACTCTTGGACAAAACAAAATGGCAAAAGATTTTAAACCCTTTTCGGCCAACTTATATCCAAATCAGGGGCGGACACTTGATCAAATATTGGGGGGGGTGGGGGCAAGCCTATTGCTTTAATAAGATGACGTCACATTTCACATTGTTTTAGAACAAAAGACCATTGTCCTCCAAAGTATTGGGGGGCGGTCACCCCCCTTGCCCCCCCAAGTGTCCGCCACTGATCCAAATCAAATAACACATAGTTCTTTCCCCATCACACATAGTTCAGCTTTTATTCCTTTACTTAAAACCTTCTTCGGAACTTTGTCTTATTTGTTATTCCTAATGTGGTTTTAAAGATTATCTTTTGCCTAAACTTTTCTACTTATCATTTATCAAAACAGCCATTGACACTCGATATGGGTTCCTGCTTGTAAAAGACCAGTACAACAGGAAATTCCTAGTTCAGGAAATTAGAAGCTACAAAGGCATTCAAAAGCAAAAATTGCAATTGAAATGAAATGATGTCAGTTCCCTCTTGAAACCAAAAAAATTTTACCAAACCTATGATAAAATCTAACCACAGAGGAAACTTGGGACAAAATTGGTTGCTTGACACCATCCTTGAGGGAAATGATTAGAATGCCTATGGCCTTTCAAACCAATTGATTTGCGATTAAAAGATTAAAACTGAATAATTTCTACACGATGCATCTGTGCATGATGTGCCTAATTGAGTTTGATCCTTTAAATGTGCCGTCTCACTGCCAAGCTTGTATCCTTTCTTTATAATATGAAAATTTATAATTTTAGGGAACATTCTATTACCTTGAAGGGTACATAAAAAATATAAGTTTTTTCATAAACCATTGGAAACTTTTTAAATAAAGTAAATATCAAACAACATACCCTCCACCCTTCCTCTAAGGGACCTCTTCCAGTTTTCTTTGATTTAAAATATCTACAGTCCTGCAAAAAAATATCAGAGCATGGAGAACATTTATTTGTGAAAAGGAAGTCCTACCAAAAACTGTTTGCTTATTCATATTCACTTCCATAAGTGTAACATGCTACACATCTTGTTCTGTTACTTACATTTTCAAACCTTGTTGCTAGGTGTCACAAATGATTTTTTGGTTAGCAAAGAAACATGCCTTCAATTTCTTTCTTGTAGCAATCTTTGTGAAAGATTTGATCCAGGATCCAAAAGTCCCAAAATCAAATTGTTAATTTAATCTGTTGCTCTCCCTTTCAATGTAAATGAATCTAATCTGCCCCCAAACAGACCAAAATCCAAGCCCAAAGCTGATCAGTATTCTGTTCTCATCCTGAACAAATGGGGTTTGATTGTGTGGTGGAAAGTTAACAACAAGGGTACTGATTCTTTGCTGTACACATTCAATTGATATAAATCTAACACCTTAAGAGTTCCACAAAAGACCGGAATTTATCCAGAACAGCAGATGTACTAAGACAAACAATTATATCATTGTCACTAGGGATTGTTGGTTTATGTTTTGCTGATTAGAATTGCTACAAATGATATTAGATGAACGTGAGACAGAGAATGATGGAATAATGTCTTCTGATTGGCTTCTGATTGCATTGTTAGTGTTTCATATATTGCTAAAAATAACTTTTATTTATACTAATTGACTTTGGGATATTTCACACAAACGACATGCTCAAGGAGTGGAATATACCACATACATGAAACTATTTTTCTAGTAAGACCTGCAAAAGCACAACATAATAAGGCAAGTATTTGATCTTATAAAAAAATCAATCTTATAAAAAAATGACAAACTGACCTCTTCTTCTTTGTAATACTTTTCTGAAAGCTCATCATAAGCAATATCTAAGACATGGACATCTCTTGATTTTACATCTTCTTCACCAAGACTAAGGCTCTGTCAAAAAGAAAAATTCTTTCATGTAAACTAAAAAGTAAACTCATTCTTGAAAAACTTTCAAAACAAATCAAAATATACTGAATTTGCCTTTTTGGAGAGAGTAATTAAAATTTGACTTCTAAAAATGCTCTTTCTACTTAGATTATGTGAAATGGTGACATCAGTCACAATGCAATTAAACAAGGGTGTGGTCAAAGAAGTTTGTTATGCCCGGCTAAACCCCTATACTGGCCCTTGATGTTTTCAATTGCAGTAAGGGTCACTCAATGCTAAAATCTGTGGGATTTACCCCAGACAGCAATATCAGTTGACATAATAAGTTTGTTTGAGCAACAATACAGCTCTTTAAATCTCGGGTAATCGATAAAACTTCATTACAAACATGGGTCACTCCATTTGAAATCGTTGCTATTTTGCTATACTTGTCGCCCTGTCTCTTAAAAGCAAAATGTTAGAATTTTTAGGCAGGTCAGGCCTGAAAATGATGTTATTTCAATCAATCATTATTATGTAGCCCAAAAAGATATATAATGAAAATTTTGAGTAAATTTGTTTTTAAATTTTATTAACAACTTGGCAACTTAATTAAAAAATTAAAGATTTAGTTATTGTTTATGGTCCACTTACATTTTCAGTACATCCATTGTCATTTTTGTAACAGGTTTTAATTGAAATACTGAACCTTGGTACAAATGAGCACTATGATGAAAATTTTTAAAGAATTAGGATAAATACATAAATAAATGTTTCAGAAAAATTTCTGATCATCAACTAAAATAAAAGTTTTGTTGATTCATCAACTAAAAGATCTAAATCTCTAAGTTGGCTGACATGACTTGCTACAAACATCAATTAAGAGTAAAAATTAAACAATGCCTTTTCATTGTCAAACCCAATAAGCCTACACAAATTTTCAATGCTAAACTAACCAAACTCTGCTTCTTTAAGCTTTTTGTCAAACTTGGTAGAAGCAGGGCTTAAAGTTTGCAGCTGCAATCACATCTCTTTTTTCACATGCTGTCCTGCATGTTCCTTGAAAATTTTTAATATCCACAGAAATTTAGGATATTTAAAGGTATAGAGTTTAGAAAATATATTTGATTACAAGCTTTATTCTTTTTTAAACTCGGCAAGTTGCAAAAGTTTTCAAGACTTTAAATTAAAAAAATTAAATCTAAACAGTATAACTGAAACCATTACAGTCTCACATATTTCTAACAATTTTCCAGCCAAAGTAATTTGCTATTTGAGGGTCTTACTGTGTACTCTGTTTCTGTATATGGGTAAAAATTCCAGGCCTTTTCTGTAACATAAAATATTCTAGGGATATAACTCTGTAGCCAAGTTGGGAGACGGCTGAAAGAAAAAAGGCAGGTGTTATCAAAATCAAACAATGAAAAACAAAATATTCTTAAAGAAAACAGACATGTATTGGGTTGAATTCAATAAAGATGGTGCATCTTTATGCAAAAATATGGCTTTCTTCTATAAATTTTTAATGGTTGTGGCAAACAAAGGTAAACACAGAAAAGTATGAGCCATAGACTACAATTGACCTAACAGTTATTTTTGAAAAACTTAAGTTTTTCTTATAAAACTGCCCTTAATTGGCCTACCTTTGCTATATAATGGAATGTAATGATTAAAAATATCAAAAGTTACCAGAGTAAAGCTGACCTCATAGGGATTGGAGATGTCATGGGTTTTTAAAAAGACTTCATAGGGATTGGAGAAGTCATGTGTAATTTTTGCCACTTTAAATTGTTTTACAAATCTATTTTAGACAATATAGTTCGTTCTCAGGAAACAGTATTTATTGAGCAATTTATTGATTAATTTATTTGTTTTCAGAAACCAGTGCAATTATATCCAATGGGTAATGTCGAACATCCATGAGTTATGTTGGACAGGTTTCTCAGTCTTGATAAAAATTTGAAACAAGACCAGGAATATGAGGATACCTATGATACCCAATCAAAATATCATTCAATCAATAATGGTGAGATAATAAAAAAATAACACCTAGCATTTTCTTATCACTGCAGAAAATGATATGCTGATTTCAAGAAGAAGAAAGTTGAGGGAATTTTGGCACTTGCTTTAACAACATGCATTCAAAATACAATAATTTAATAGCATGGAGAGGTTTTGGAGGCCCTGGGAAATGTTTAACTTAAACTACATAATTTTGTTACTTGTAAGTAATTCCTTTTAAAAAAGGAATTCATTATTTTGTGAGGCCCCTAGACCCTGAGGCCCTGGGGCAATTTCCCCCTTGCCCCCACACCCCTCTCAGCAGCCTTGCCAATGACTCCCTATCTATGAGTTGAAAAAATAGATTTTGAAGCTAGGATCTCATTTTTCTCAAATAAATGATATATGTATATATACCTATTTAAATAAATTCTTTTTTCTGTATAAAATCCTTTTCCATGAGTTTGATCTGACACTTCTTGGTTGACAACAACCTCAACACCTTCTCCTTTTTCACTTTGTTCATGACTGTGTTTGTTTATCATATAAAGCTGTCCAACTTTGTACTGCAAATGAAAAACATAAACATAAGATTGATTATATCCTTGATATGACAAGAAAAAAATTTGACCATTGACTTCATCCATAGATATAGAAAGCATTGGATATGTGGGAAAGGGACTCATATAGGAAAAAGGGCACCTCTGCTTGCAGAAAATACTACTTAATCTCTGTTTAGGAAAATGATGGAACATGCACTGTCTGTGCCCCCCTTGCAGATAGGGGGTTGAAGATATTATAGGGGGCAAGAAAAAGTACAGCATGTATTTGTGGGGAGTCACAATGTTGCAAGGGTAGTTTCAAAAATTTAGAGAAATTTTGTTGCTATTTGGTGAAAGAGTTTCAAATGTTTTCTTGGAATTCTAGCTGCGAACAAAGAAAGGAAAATTAGAATGAGCTTCAAAGAGTCATTGTGAGACATTTTGATAAATTCCAACAACTGTGTGAATTTAAATTGGTTCTGCCATTATTAGCAGGGACACAAAACTTTATTGGCCATTATAACAACCTCTAACAGCCCCCCAGCAAGCATTGATTATGGCTTTATTGCCTGTTTCAATTATCAATTTTCCCTCAAATGTTTGTGGTCAGCGTGTTTCAAATTTCAATCACATTCACATCAATTTGTTGATTTAATCCTATCAGCTCATTTGACAATGTCACTAATTATTACATTTCTTCTCCACTAATCAGTTTTCATTGATAACTATTAAATCCAACTCTGATCCCTATGGAAGTTGCTTTATAACCTATAGTTACATGCAAGTAAGCAGAATGTTGAGATTATGGGGACTGGGTTTCAATTAATCGTGACTGTTTCAATAATGAAATCAGATCATTTGACTATGAAATTATTAATGAATTCATCCTTTTTCTTGATACAACCTATTGACAAAATTCAAACTTCAAACTGACTAGGTTTAAAGAAACTGCTGTGTAAGGTATACAAGAAAATATTCAGGCAAGTAAACAGAATGGCAAGTTACTTTGGCCCTGGTGAATAAGCTTGCTATCAAAGTTCCAGGATTACCTCTTCAACCGTGAGTGGCATGCATATTCGGTACTCTCTCAATGATCCAGGCATTTTCCGTCTCTGAATTTGCCAAAATACTATTCGAATCCACAGTTCCTGTACAAAGCTTCGTGTTCAAGGAAATATCTGGCGTCCTTTGGTCACTTGTGCATGCACCTGCACGAAAGATTATAAGTAAAAGTTCGATTCAACTTGAAAGTATCGTTACTCTCTCAAATCTATCAGGAACAGCAGGTAGAAGTAATTCTCTATCTGCTTTCTCCTAGGCTCCCATCAAAGAACTATCAAGAATTTTGCCGCACTCCTAGGTGAATAACTTCACACCTCGCCCCCATCTACCAGCATTTCTTCCTTGGGCATTGGACTGGAGAACTGCTGTTGGGGACTGGGTCGGGTGGAGCCTCTGCAGCCGAACCATCAACATCTTACTTTTCTGAAACAAAACTTACGAAGGGCTTGCAAAGCAGCACAACAAGATCACTTTTATCAGTGTTGCTCTTAGACTAGACATAGACATAATATGGTAAAAGTATCAGGGTTGCTCTGGCACAACATATGATCAGGTTCATGGGTTCCGACCCAGGTTGGAAAGTGGGGGAGCCAAAAATTAAAAAATAAATAGGCTAATAAAAGATTTTGAAAAACTTCTATTGTTTTGCATTAAGGGTGGGATCAATTATCTCATTTTCCGATCACAATTTTGATGAGCTCACAGTCGTCTGCCAAAAGACTTCTGTTTGAATGAAGACATGTTTTTAAACCGTTGACATAAATAAGGAAAAGTTTATGTCTTCTCCCACATTAATTTTTCATTCTCTGTCAAAAAACATGAATGTGTGAGCAGTCAAGTGTCAAGCCTATTCATTAAAAACTGACAAAAAGAAAGAGAGATTTGAGAAAAATGACACAAATAGACAACACATTGTATTATACATTTCCAAGTAGCACTTCAGAGGTCACAGTAGAATGGGTTTGTTCGGGAGCAGCTGCAACATTCAGATTCTTGTGAAATTTTTTTGAACCGAGTGTTATAAGCAATGTTTATTCAGCTTCTTCAAGACTAAAGCGCTGTTCCCTGGATGCAATGCCTCATAAATTATGCCTTTTTTGATAAAGCGATCATTAAGATTCGTGATTTCGCATAAAATTTGGTTCAAGGAAAAACAAGATGAAATGCTAGATTGGAGCGATGAGGGAAAAAAGACAGAAATCACAGCATTTGTTGATAATAATTTTGAAAAAATTTTATTTTCATTTACAACTTTAGAGCAATCAAAATCTATAACTTAAATGAATATTTGGAATTCTTCTCAGTTTTCGATTGTTTTCTTGTCTACCACGAAGAAACCAACTGCAATAATCCTTAAAAGGAATTTTTAGATCCAAGTACAGCTTCCTTTTTAAAAAGCTTTTAGATTTGGATTCATCAGGTGGAATTTTTTATCACCCCAACTTTTTTCAACACCCTATCCACAACTCATGAAAAGATTAGCAATCCCCCTCAGCAATAAGATAACATTTTCCACTCCCTCTACTTCTTTAACAACACTACAAAAGTTTTAAATATGACAATATAAAAGTTCACTTTTTTATTAATGTACCTATACAAGGAAGTCTTTATATCTTCTACTAGGCCTACACTGCCTTCCAGATCGAGATGTTACTGCAGATCCTTGATACCTTAGCCGCATTTATATCTTCTCATCCTCACTTTCATGGGAATCTTCATCCTCAGAGTCACTTCCAAAAACAGCAAGTACCTCGTTTTCGCTATCATCTTCACTGTCTTTATCATCATATCCAGAGGCGGATCCAGCGGAAAATCTGAGGGGTGCTTAAGGGCGTTGCCTTAATAGCCATAATAATGCCACACCCCACTTTTACTTACGGTTAAATGAAGGCAACACCCTTGAAAAAATTAATCTTTTTTAAATTCAGGTATTAAAGCATAACTATATAGAAAATTATATCTTTTGTTAGAAGCCTATATGCTAGCAATGCTAGTTAAAAATAACACTGCTACCTTCGCAGTTTGTACATCACATTAATCAATGAATGACATTTTAGGTCGTTAGTCAATATTTGATTGCTCTGCAATATTCAGACGCTGGTTCATTTTTGTAAAAAGGCAGCTAAAATGTTTCAAACAAAAAAAAACAAAAAGAATCAGAAAGAAAACAAATTGCTACGTTAACTGACCATTACTATACGAAAATTGAGTTAAATATCATTGAGTCATGGTAAAATGGATTGGGTATACCCTAAGTGCCAGAATCCGCTGAGTCATGATTTTCATGAATTCATGCTATTGGTTGACCTTGAACTGGTCACTTGAACTCACCTCGTACTGATTGACAAAACAATTTCCATCAATAGCAAGTTGTCAACAACGGATGCAAGTATCACATGAAACAGCAGCGATCACGCCGAATCCAAATGACCCCCTATAGAGAAGGCCTATTTACCATGATTCAATGTCTTTATATCAATACTTGTAAGAATTTGTTGATAAAAATTGATTGTGTTGAAGTAGTACGTTTTTGGGGTCATCTGCATTTGACAAGAAATGGGTATCGAATTCATTCTGGTAGTAATTACCATACCACCCCAACAACCAAAAATCCTTGGCACAATTTTTTTGGGGGTGCGCATTTTTCTCTGTAAAATTCGATATTTTTGTCGAATTAATCCAAGAAATATTCTGTTAAAACGTTTTGCATTTAGAGTCTGGTAAAAGAAACTACCAACCAGAAAGGCTGAAGGTCAGAACTTCCACGGGACAGTACTTGAACCTTTGGCATTTGCAGTTCAGCGAACTCATCGATCTGTGTATTCCCACAAGTCACGACACCATCCACCACGCTCTTATCAAAAACTTTTCTCACGATTGACTGAATACTCAAAAGCTCGTTTTCCGTTTCAATTTCTTCAGTCGTCTGGCAACCAATTACCGAGAACACCTGCAACAGCAACGATTTTATGTCCGCCATTGCTGCTACACGAACAGGTTTAGTCGTTTCAGTGACGGTATGCACCAGTGTATATTGAATGATTGATAGGGGTGCTCAGATGAGCCGAAATTTGGCAAACGGATTGGTCGAAGCCTTGTTTTGATTGATAGGGGTGCTCGACATTGCGGAAAAACATATCAGAGCGTGATGTGATTGGCTCAGTTGCAACTTTGACCTTAGAGGTTGATTGATAGGGGTGCTCAAGCACCCGTAGAATTGAAGTAGCTCATTGGCCGAGAGTGTGGTTTGATGGACAAGTAAAAAAATTGGTTCCAGGGCAGCTCAACATAAAATTTCTAGCTATTTGTAGTTTAAAGCAGATACAGGTTATGCTAACTAACGCATGACCGTATGTCATCAGTTTACTGGAAAATGCATTTACATCATCTAAAAGGATTCAAGACGTTTTTCAGAGATTAGAGAAAATGCATTGAATGTTATATCTCCGAAAATTCTGACCGGTGCTCAAGCACCCATAGCACCCCCCTAGATCCGCCTCTGATATCATTATCTCTTTAGCTGTTTTCTCTTGTTGCTGGTTATACTAAGAAACATTTCTATACTGCTGCACTGAGCCGTTTAATGATAGTTTATGGAAGGTTAAATATTTTTCGAGTTCTTTGACAGCTAGTTTCTTTAAAGAGTCGCAAGATGCGGATAATTCTATCCAGTCATAATCTTCGTATGATTTGTTCTTTTTGTCAGCTTTGTCCCGTTTTCTTTGGTTTGTACGGATATCGTCTATGGTACGCAATTTTTTGTTGACTTCATCTTTAGATAGTGGTGTTTCAAAGATGGCCTTGTATTTGAACTTTGGCAGTTTCGTAGCATCTGGATATGGAGCAGTAATTCCCATGAACGTCTCAGTGCTTATCCAATGATTTCTTTGACAAAATTGGCATCATTGCTCTGTCCTGGTAAAAGAGCAATCCTTCAATTACAGCATGTACAGTTCCCCTCTTGTATAATGACTATCATAAAAGTCATACATTTTTTGAAAATATGCAGCACCACGAGTGTCGGCGTTTCTGTTCTGTATCTACTCTTTATTGAAGAACGAATGAGAGACATTCTAGGAGAGATTTCCGAGCATCTATAAACTCTCCAAGTGCCGGAGCACCGTCAATTCGATAAACAACTACTTCTGTCACATCCAACGCATTTCATTTCATGAATTATTGTTGATGTTCCTCACACAGATTCAGAGTCAAGTTTGCTATCTCGGTATCCGTCAACCCATCAAATAATTTATGTTTGTCTCAGCTTATAGTTCCCCCATCTGCTAGAGCATCACCTGTGGCAGACTTTGTTCTTTGTTCTTTCTGCCTCGTTCATATGACTATCGTTCCTAGATTTATGGACTCCAATGCGATGATCGGATTTCCAAAGTCGTGTCACTTCGGCATCGCGAAATTGCACTTTGAAGTTTGACATTTAACAAATTTTGAACATAGCAAAGATTATGCTCGGTACTTCAAAAAGTTGAACATGGATCTTTGAAACCTAAGAAGTTGAAAATTTCAAAGGAAATTGCTGTGCAAGAATGAAATATTGCAATGGTTTTCCTTGCATGACCAATTGCACTTGTTTGTTAGGCTTCCTTCGATGGTTGATGTTATGACTTTGAAGGCTTTTTGGAGAAATAAAGCATATTTATAGCATTAATTTTCTCCCTCACTGCCAATGCTCAATAATCTTTAAACTTTCCAATTTTACGTTAAGAAAGTGTTGAGAAAGTTTTAGTGCTAGAAATTAGCCTTAGAAATAGGGTTGATTTCAAAATGTTTCTTTTCAAAATGTTAAATAATATTTATAGGAAATAATATTTTAAAGTTTTGTTTAACGCGTGTTGTTTGATATTTAACAGGTGATATTTCACCCATGCCAAAAACAAGCCGAAAATTTAACATTTTTGCACCATCAATAAGAAAGAGAAGGGTATTTGGTTGCAACCTAATTATTATCATCGTTGAAAGACTTTGATAGGTTTGACAATGCACGGTCTCTCCCAATCATGATTTGTCCTGTTAAATCGTAATTGTTACTCTGAAGAGTGTCGGACGAAAAGTACTTAAGTATGTTATGTTTCCGCTTTTTCGTGCCATCTTCAAACTTTGCGGTACCAAAAATTTTAACATGTAGTCAAGAATGAACGGAACCGAGCATTTCACTGGACAAGACACTACTGTTCGCGCGTTTTTTCGTGTAGGACGCGCGCATTAACCTCGTATTCAAAATGGAACATAAATACAGGCCTAACTTCAAGGTCGAAACTTGATTTCAAAATGTTTCGTGAGTTTGAATGATTAGGAAAATTGCAGGTATTTCACTTGACGAGTTTTCTCTTGAGAAGTGATTGTAGCCGGAACATTAAAAACTATATCATACGGTCAAAATCGTTTTGAGAACTTGTGAATTTTATGGCAATCCAGCAAGTTTTCTAGCAGGTCCACCTGATTTATGCACCACCGTTGCTTAATAATGGACCTAAAAGTTACAGTGATTACTTCCAAATCACAAACGGAATATGAATTCAAGAATACAGTTAGAACGCTAAGAAAAAGGAACACGCTTAAGAATAATCAGCATTTTGCATCAAAAGATGGAGTTCCAAATGAAAAGTCGAAAAGACCGAGGAATGCAAACGACGAGGAAGAACTCAGCCTAGGTGTATCGTCATCATTGCCGTCCTTCGTGAATATGAGATTGTCGGTGACCAACTACACTAAAAATGGATTAGAACTTGCCAAGTATCTTCTTGGAAAGATAATTTTCAGACGTCTTGACACTGGTGAAATAATTTCAGCAAGAATCGTTGAAACTGAAGCCTATTTAGGTGAAGTAGACAAAGCATGTCACTCTTTTGGTGGGAAGAGAACTGACAGAACAGAACCCATGTATATGGCGCCAGGAACAGCATACATCTATTTCATATACGGAATGTACTATTGCTTGAACATTTCTAGCCAGGATGTTGGAGGTTGTGTTCTTATAAGAGCCCTGGAGCCTCTTACAGGTACCTGAAAACTGATCATGTTAACTAACCCCTAGGTTATGCTAACCAACTCCAGAGTGGTTTAGTTTAAAGCCAGCCAGGGTTAGTTTTCAAAAATGTAATCTTAGTTGGTAACTGGGGCAAACCCAGGTTTATTTTTTGATGGGCAATTACACTCAAAAACCAAAACAGCACTAAACAAGTGTGTTAATATTAACCCAGTTTCATCCCAGATCAGCACTTACACTAAATACAAAATCAGGCCCAGGTCAAACTAATCCCAGGTAAATTAACTAAGGTGAACCTGGGTAGTTTTTATAATGCAAAACGACTTGAAAAATACTTCTTAACATCATCTATGCTTGCACATAATAAAATATAAATACTGTTGTATTAATAAATGCATATAATAATTGTATTCATCTTATGAATCTTGAAGTTATACCAAAGAGCAATCTAAAATTTTCATGCAAATGATTTTTTGTTTCATTTTGCAGGACAAAAAACCATGAGAAAATTTAGATTGGAGAAAAGAAAATCCAACAACACTACCATTAAAGATCCTGCTTTGTGCAATGGCCCATCAAAACTTTGTACTGCTCTCAAAATCACAAAAGATGGTCTTAACAAAGAAAATTTGGCATCATCATCTAAATTATGGATTGAAGCAGAAGAAAAGGAATGCGGTTTTGAGACTGTTGTATCTAAGAGGATCGGAATTGACTCCTATGGGAGTGAATGTTCATCTAAACTCTACAGATTCTATATTTTAGGCAATAAATGTGTTAGCATCAAGGACAAAGAAGCTGAAAAACAATAAAGTGAAATTTCAGTAATTATCTTGCAGGTTCTCTTCTATTGCTTTCAAAGACTAACATCTTGGATACAATATATATTTTATTCACCACATTATCTTAATATGCCTGATAGTTTTTATATGTATACAAGGAGATTATGAAAGAAGATTCAATAGGCAGTGCTGCAAGATAAGCAAATCTTAAGTGTCAACAGATAAAGGATAGAGGCAGACAGACAAATATTTAATCAAGTTGATTGTAACAACTCTGAATAACAGTGCATTTATTTCTTTTAATTACATTTAACAGTTGCTGTTGCAGATATTAGTTTATTTCAAAATGACTAAGTTGAATTTTACTTGCTTGACAAGTTTCAAGATTGTAATGGAAGGTGGATGACCATACAAAGTTGGGAATACTTCTTCCATCAACAACCTGTTTTGTGAAAATTTTCTTGTAGTGAAAGGATATTTCATAGTTGAGCCATTGTCAATTTAAAGTCTTTCATTTGATTTTGCAATTGTTTTACCCTGTTTTACCCTGGCGTCCCATAGCATACATTCTTGCAAGCAATTCTGTGAACATCTCAACTAGCCACTTTGTATTTTGAAAACTATAGGATTTTTACTTTTAAACATAATTTGACTTTCCAGATACAGTTCTAAAAAAATTAGAATTAAATAATGATTGTTAGATAATTTTATTGGTCCACTAAGAAATAATAATTGGATTTATATACATTTCATTGTACTTTTGAAGATTAAAGAAACAGATTAAACTGTTTGGAAGTCCTACATTTTTACTGTATTAACAAATATATGTATTCTGAAATTAAATTTTATCATTTCAGACTTTTTAAATAAAAACATTGGTGACGAACAGGTTCTGGGTGAATTTTAGGCCATTGGCTGAATTCAAGAACAATGGATTCTTTATTCTATTTCATCTAAAGTCTAGACATTAGAGTATTGAAGTGTGAAGTCATGAAACAATTTTTTTTAGAATTTCTTAAATTTTACCAAATTTTCTGAAAGAATGGCAAAAAATACCTCTTTTTATATAATGGCCAAAAAAATTCAAATTTTCTAAATGATTACATTTATTCTGGCCTGGTTCATAAAGTTCTGAACCAAGACAAAATTACAGAGGTTTGATGGGGGAAGAGCCTGTGCTCAAGTGGCCATACCTCAGCCAATCTGTAATACCTTTAACTGGTTTTGCATACTTAAGCCTGATTTACACGAGACGAATTTTTTCGTGCGAAGCGAATTTTTTGCCGCGAATGCGCGAAAAATACGCGCAGAAGTGGAGATTGGAAAATTCACAGCGAATTTGCTGCGAATAAGTAGAAACCATTCCTACTTTTTCGCTGCGAATTTTTTCGCCTTGTAAAATAAACCAATCAGAACAGCAATTGAAGACATCTGACACGAACCCAACTAGTGAACAAGAGAGAAACACTGTTTTTACAACAAATCTTTGTCGTCTCTTGACATGAAGACATGGGAAAGGAAGGGCTAGGCAAAAGTATGCAAAACGACAGAAAACTACGCAATGATTCAAACAACAACATGGGTGAAGAATGAGTAACCTATGACTAGGCCTAAACAATGCTGGGAAAATCCCGCACCTATAACATAAACAATGGAATGGGACGTTTCTAGCAACAGGCGGCTTGGTGCAATGAACGATAAAAGCTCCTCATATGTAGTTGGCGACATTCGAAAGTATTTATTCCTGACAATGTAAGCGTAAGTCACTTACCAAAAGATGAAACTCCCCCTTCTGCAGACGTTCTGAATAAATTTTTCGAACCAAGTACCCCTTTCTTTGCTTTTTTGCTCGCTTTTTTTTAATAACAACAATATTCGAACAGACGCCATTTTCTTTGGCATTATTCGCGGTGAATTCACAAAAGAAATTCTGCCAGCGGAAATTAAACTTCGAATTCGCAGGCGAAAAATTCGCTTCGCGCGAAAAATTCGTCTCGTGTAAATCAGGCTTTAGAGGTATTTCATAATGCTCTTTCAGGTTTTTGGATCAAAATTGAAAAATCTAACAGTATATTTTTGTGACATCATCACTTGGTACTCTACTAGTGCCACAAATTAACATGTGATGCAATGGGGCCATTGCAAGCTGGACCATTGCAAGCTGGACCATTGCAAGTAGAGACCAAATAGATTCTTACTAAATTAGATTGAAAACTTATATTGGTTTTTATCCCCTGTTAGAATGACAACATTTTTGTGATTAATCCATACCAGTCTTAACTGTTTTATTGCAGATGTGCTACAGTTTTTGAGCTCTGGAGTCTTGTATGACTGCACACATTTTACCGTTGAACTCAACATCCCCAGTAAACTGGAACTTGTCTGCAAGAAAATGAATGTTTTGTAAATGTTATCCTTTGCCTCTCGATTACAACAAAAACATTATCAGAGATCTAGATAAGGACTTGTGCAAAGGCCACAGGTGGATCTCTTAATAGTAATATAATATAACAATAATAGTGAAATCAAGACCAGTTTCTCCACAGAGTGGCTCTTCACCTGGTCGCTAAAAACTACTTTATTTGTTTTAAAATTTGAATTATTTACAATAAAAAAGGCAATTAATAAAGAACAGCAATAAAAAAGTCATGTCTATCTAATGTTGTACTAGAAGTTTTTCTTTGCATCTAAATATAAAATATTGTGCGTGTCCTGATTTCTGCTGGCAGTTTATTGAAAATATCTGCTGCATCGTTCCTGAAAGTGTTAGAAGCACGTGATGATGCAATAAAAGGCACAGAACTAGATCGAGGAGCAGGAAACTAATAATTACCAACCTATCTTATTGACGTTTTATAGGCGAGAATGTTTGAGAAAAAGAATGCGGAAAGACACAGGCAAAATAAAACTAAAACAGAAGTCATGTGTCTTCAAATGCTGTTCTGATTGGTTTATTTTACAAGTCGAAAAATTTTGCTTTCTCAAACACTCTCGCCTATAAACGTCAATAAAATAGGTTGGTAATTATGATAAGGTGGGATAGGTGGGATAAAGAACTCTTCTAGAAAACGGGAGAACCCAGAGAAAGGAGGAACATGCAATCATGGCCTACTTTGAACTTTGCATCATATTAAAAAAGAACCCTTACACCTTTCATACAAAGATTTCGGCTATCAGTAGCTGATATGATTTTGTTTCTTGGTGGGGAGGCTACAAGGGCTTTACCCCTCCCCCCCCCCAAAAAAAATTTCCAAAATGTACTTAAACAATACAAAAATCGCATACAATTAGCATGTCTAGCCCTCCAAAACATTTTTCTCCCTAAATCTGTAATGTGCTCCGCGGTCCTTGGTGGGGCTATATTCTTTTCAGTCTGCTACCAGCAATATCCGAGACAAATATGACTCCAGTCATGAATAAGTATAAGTTGTAACATAACAGCTTTTATTAGCCACAAAATATATAGAAACGAATATAGGAAATATAGGAAACGAGTAAAAGGAACTATGCTTTTATCGTGTACTCACTTGCCAGAAGCTGATTTTTGCGTCGCCAAATGAGAATGAGGCAAGGACCTTTCCCTCTGGAGAGAACGCTAAAGCACTCACAGCCGTTGAGTGAGCTGGAATTAGTTGGCATCTTGACGACCGAAGTTCGTATAAAGCGATATGGCCTATACGAGACCCAACAGCCAGACGGCGCGTGTTGTTGCAGTAGGATACCATATTGTATCTGTTGAATTATTTTAAAAGGATGGTAGCAATTAGCATAGTACCTAGATTTGCCTAATTAACGACTAAGAGTGAGACTCGGGGTTGCAACTTAGTGCTCTACGCATCACCGATAGAGAAAGTGAACCAGAGCAGATAATAAACTAATATATAATAAAAGCATAGGTGTAACAAACGAGCATAAGTGATCAGCTGAGGAACAACAACTCTCCAAGAACTGGTACTCTCCAAGAATTGGAAATTTTAGGGTTTGAGAAACAAGGATGGTTGACTTAGGCTGAGGTTTTGCTAATAAAGTACAAAACAAATTTGCATATTGTTTGTTTTGTTGAGCATTTCTTGTTAGTTTGAGTCTAGCTTCTCTGTTTATGCAGAAGATGGGCCTATTCAAATTTTGACTTTAGTCAAAAATTGCAATTACAATGATTGTACTACAAAACTAGATATGCATTACCTGCAAATTGCGGGAAAAACTTCATTCAATCCCTTCTCCTTGATAAGCTTATGATCCAAGCAATGCACAACAATGTCTGCAACCTGAAATAAATAATTCACTTCATTAGATGACGTCAGAAAACTAAATTTTTAAACAAAATTCGGTAAATAGGCTACAGATTTCTCGAGACATGGGCATTGAAAGATTATGTTTTAGTAGTTTTATTTACTACCTAGCATCCGAAGGAAGTTTTCAGGACACTGAGAAGCTGTGTTTATCGAGCAGTGTCCTGGTCCTTCCACTCGATGTGACTACACCTCGTGGTTCCCATTCCTTGAATTACAGAGAGCTGGCGATTCTTCTCACCCTAGATGAAAGTTTGGCTATGTCCGCGACTCGAACTACGGACCCTTGGGTCTGTAGTCAGCACCTCTAACAACCGAGCAATCCTCGCATGAAAGGTTTGAAGCTTGCTAACAGATAACTGATTTTAGCTTGGTTCATAAGTCTGAAAACCAGTGCTAATTACCATAAGCCTTTATTCATATGACCACATCTCAGGCAATGTGTAGCAGATCTAACTAACTTTTCAAATTTAGAGGTACTTTACAGTGTTCCTCAGGTTATTGTTAAAAATCCAAAAATACAGATTTTTGTGACGTCATCACTTTGTCATTATGCTAAAAATGGTAAGGTCTGTAGATCTTTTAAATTTGTATTATGCAAAAGTTTTTAAAACAGTACAGTTACTTTGATGACTGAAATCGTAAATTAGAACAGGGTGACAGAACGCTCTTGAAGGTTAAAAATACAAAATATTGATCAAAATATTGATAGGAGTGTAAAAAAAACTTAATTTCACAAAACTCCGAGGAGAAAGCAGAAATTGAAACACGAGAATATCAAGAATAATGCAATACAGCTTCAAATGTGCATCAAAAAGACAAGTGTTGACAGAATGGCTTATAATACCTCAACAATCAAATGGACAACTTCTTGTTGACTTTTTTCAATCATCAGTTCAATAGTGCGAAGTATTTCATTTCTTGCTGAGTGAATTATATTTGAATTCTGGGCGTCTGGAGCGGCAGCCGTTGGCTGATGACGTACATGAGAATAAACGGCTATGGCAGCCGGCGATGTCTGATTGAAAGATATTGAAGAAGCGTTCGCCACGTGGCGGGCAACCTAGTAAAAAAAGGTATTATGTCTCATTACTAGGCAAAAACAACGCAAGCAAGCTTTTATGCAGCTCTAGTCGGCTGACAAGCGAGTAAATGGGGCCAAATGTGGACTCTGGTGACGGTATTACGTTTGGCGAATGACCTCCACGCTTTTTCCAGTCTACTGAGCAGCAAACGAGCGTAATATAGGTTTAGGTGGAAAATGAGACGAACAGCACAGATTAGTCTACAATACCATCCCTTCAAGTCAGTTGAAAGTCCACTTTGGCAGGGACTTCCCTCTACACACGAATCATATGCAGGAATTATTACAAAAATTGATTCGTAGGATTTTAAAAGCAGTAAGGGTTGGAGAAAACACAAGTTAACAGTGTAAATCCGGGCAAAAATGTAGAATGAATTGTCCCGCAGATCAAGCTTAGGACAATATCCGGTACATTTATATGACAGAAGGTGAAAAGAGAAAATCATATAAACACTAGTAAGGACGAATTATAGAAAGTATGAAAAGAGACTGACCTCTTTTGCCAATGTTGTGATGAATGTAGCCGGCTTCGCAGTGGCTATCAGTGAAAGAGAATGTCTTGCCGATCGGTGCAAATCAGCCGGTGCAGATAGAATGCTGTTCCCGTACTCATACTCCTGTCCCATCAACGAAGCATTTGCACACAGATCTAGCAACCCAATCAGAACTTGCGACACATCTATGTGCGGTTCCCATAATGCAAAGCCACGCCCAATCAAATCTATCGCGGCTCTTCTTATTGCACTATACGCAGGAGCTTTTGATGTTGGTCTTTGTAAGAGAAGAGAGGTCAATGCCTTCGCAGTGTTGCGCAGTGTCGTGATCTCCATGGTGCCTTCTTTTACTGAAATAGGTTCAAATAACGATTATTTTGATCTCAATCGTTATTAGTAAGCCTAGATAAAAAGACGTACTTAACGACAGGTATTTTGGCCTAGCATGCGCCTACTGTTTGATTTCTCACAATAAAAGTTTCAGTAAAATGACCGAACAAGAAATGATTTATACGGATACTCCTGAAAACCAATGGAGCAAAGTACAAAGTTATCCGGCCATCTTTGAAAATACGATAATTTCATGCCACATTGAAAAATCACAAGTTCACATCGAGACACGAAGAATTAATAATCAGTAATGGTTTGACAGTAGAAACACGTTCAAACAACATAAAATGCTTTTAACCACATTAAAGCTCCTTAGAATCAGAATACGTTTGTGTATTTTCAAAAAGACTATTGCCATTTGCATGACGCAGAAACAGCGTTTGCAAAAAAGATCAACTCATGAGGCCGTTTTCAGAAAAAATCTTCGTTTTGAGAATGTGTTTACGTACAAAAGAAAGCCCAAAGGGGGTGAAGAATATGCATTTTTAAATTATCTGCAAACGTGCATACCCAAAAGAGAGCAAAATCATTTAGGACTATCGACAGTGACTGTGACAACGTCGTTATTATAAAAAAAAGTCCGCCCAGAGGCCACATAAAAAGCTAATCGACTCAGCTACATCACAGCTGCAATTTTAACTTGATTGCAGGTACAAGGGGTTGAATAGAAAATATTCTGTCATTCAAATTGATGGAATCAAACATCATATTTATGCTCTTAGTTTTAAAACCTATAGGAAAAAGAATAAGCGGGAGGTATTATTTCGAAATGAATTATTGTAACGGTGGATTCATTCAACAAGAAAATATATGATTTTCCTTTAAAGAAAACATTAAAAAAGGGTATCTTATCACCTCACTGCTTAAAATTAGGAACGTTAGTTGCCGTGTTTGAGCAAATATCAAATATCGAAAAAATAAAACAAAAATCGAGTTGTACATAAAGTAGAATAAAAGCTACGACTCACAGACTTGTCCTCTTTGATCTTTTGGAGCCGTTAAAGGGTCAACCTCTTTTTGAAATTCAGCCCCAATTACACTAAGCATTACGATGGCTGTCGCATGACGTAATCTTAAATCGCTTGAAACCATCTTTTTTGTCGTAAGCATTACCATGGCAACATCTGTTTTATCCTCTTCAGCTGAAATAACTGTAGGTTTTTCTGAAAAAAAATACACGCGCGTTACGAAAAGATTGAAGACATTAATATGTATTGTCAGAGCTGCAACATGCTTCGGAATATGGGAACCGGGTACCCAGAAAATGTCAAGAATTGGCTGAAAAATTACACAAAAAACATAGTCTTTTTACCAGCAAAACGTAGAAATTGAGCCCATGGTAAGAAACTACAAAATAATCACTTCCTTGTGATATCTTTCACAATGAAAGCTACCAATCTTTAGAGCTACACAATCAAAACCAAATTCATTTTTGTTTGCTTTCAACTTAATTACTGCCTCTGACCAAATTTTTCTTGATCTGTAATATTAACTAAGACTAGCAACATCGCAAGATTGAATTTTGTATGTACCTTCTTCATTGTTCAAATATTGCTCCAGATCTTCAAAACCAAAATCAGTGCTGTCAATATCTTGCGGTAGATGCGGCGACCAGGCTTCAATCAGTTGTCTTCTTCCTTTGGTTCCAATTCTTCGCAACTCGGCTAGTAAAATTGCTTGGGCAGCTTCGCGTATCTAAGAAAACAAGAAAATGCCAAGTAACAGTATAATCATTATTTACTAAAATCTTATATGAAACTGGATATTTCTGTATTCAAATTCGCGACGCAATCTTTTGACAATTATGGAGAATAAGGATAGAAGAACAACTTAGCTTGAAAATGTGGCTCCTTTAACCTCCATCGATGATATCAACCGCCCATAGGCATTGATGATATCAACCGCCCATAGGCCCTTTCTGATATCAAATATCAACCTAATTGACACCCTCTCCTATTAACCTGACGACACTGGCCACGCTGTTTCTCGTGGAGCCAACAAACCCCCAATCAGATCTCCCTTTGTTCCTCGTCTCACACGCATCCTCTCAATTTTTCTTCCAGAAAAACAAGGGTCTTTCAAATGTTTAATGCTCTCTCTTGATACCACTCACACACTTTGTTTGTCTGCACTTTCTATACAAGTTCAGTCTTGGCAGGCCCATCGGAACAGGGGGGGGGGGGCTGGGGGGGGGGAGCCCCCCAATAATTGTCAAACTGTAGTACTTTATAACAGTGTACTGAATGAGAAGGAGAACAATGGGCAGCCCCCCTCCCCAATATGAATTTCGTTCCGACGGCACTGCTTGGTTAATATGGCACCAACCTTCAAACGTTGCATAGGAGCCCAATGGCTGGCAAAACCTGAATGCCAATCAATAAATTATCTGGTAGGCAATTGAAGTTTCGATGGAGGTCTAAAGGTATTAAAAGTATTTTGGATACGTAAAAGGCACAAAGGTAATCCAGAGAATATAAAAGAGCCTGTAACCGTAATTATTTTTTCTGCTAACTCAACAACTTCCAAATAAAAAGAATACCTCGAGGCATCTATCTTGCCAGCGCCTTGCCAATATATGCAGCAACGGTGGTCTGTACATAAGACCACGCATCATCTCAGGTAACAAACAGCAATGCAAAGCTGCCACCAGACTCCACCCAGCCTTCTCTTCGGCGCGGTGTTGGCTCAAATGACTGTACTCAGTTCCATAATCATCTGTGACGTCACCTGTTATGAAAGGAGTCGGTGATATGTCAATCTTTAAAGTTTCTGTAGACGATTAACCTTTCTCTGTCCTTTAGGTTGAAGTGGTATCACATGAGTTATAAATCTCCACTGCATTTGATATTTGACCATAAAGGCTTTCTGTGATGGCAACTATCATGGAGCAATTATCCTAATTATCAACCGCGCTATATCGCTGGGTACCTCTATGGCAGAGTAACTAGGGATTTAGCCCCTGAAGTGGTATGGGTCGACCCTCAGCTCTAATTGGGTCAACCCCTTTATAGGGTAAACAGTACAGTCTAAAGGAGGACATATAGAACGTTCTCAGTGGACGATTGCCCACGTAGACGAAGGACGTCTAGGTGTCTTATGTACCTCGGGGAAGTTGTTGATCCATATTCAATATCACATTACAGATAGCGTACCATTTTTCTCCAAGATAGATGAATTCATAGTTTCTTCGTTGCAGTGACGTAGGAACCGATGGGGTACCCCCACAAGATTCTGCATGTGCCCTTTTAGGAGAAGTGTCCCTTTCAGGTTAAATTTTCACAGCCATATTGCCCTATTTGTCAGAACCTCTGTTTGACTGGAAATCATCGTGCCCTTAAACTTAAAATGCTACCTACGCCCCTGCTTGTCTGTGCATCATATCTCTATTTAAATTTGTGTTTTGGACGAAAGAAAAATTACTCTTGGTTCATAAACTATATTGATTATGTTGTGAACGCCCATTAACACACACCACCGAATAACAGATTCCTACATACAAAGCCTTGTATATGCAATCTTAATATACAAGTCCCTACAAAGAATACTAACTGTTTTATTGTATATCAATTCACACTTTGATATATAATGTGAATAAACAATTTTTGAGAAACTATGCAACAAAGAATATAAAATGCCTTAAATAGCTTAATTTGTTTTCCAAACCCATCCGAGGCACAAACCCATTCTGAGGCTACGTTAAATCTGTTTACCTGCCAGACTCCTGGCTTGATTGACAAATGAAATGTGATTCATGCTCATCAAAGTGTTTGTTATGGAAACAATACCGACCAGATGCTGGGTGGTAAGTGATGACGAGAGCTGCCAATGAGCATTAAACAAAAGCTTTTGAGCTGCAGTTGGGTCCGCGTCCAAAAATGCCTAGAATGTCAAAGAAAAAGAAAATATACACTTTCTCGAGTTTTCCATAGAATTTTAAATATTACTTAAATAAAAGCGAATCCGGATAGGTATCAGGTTTTGCAGGATGTCATATTGGTAGGAGTTTGTTCCCTGATCAAAGGCAACCTGTGATTCGTTAGGACAGTCAAAAAACTCTTCGACGTGTATGACAGGTAAATTGGATTACCCTATCTGGATTCTTTAGTTCCGCCATAATACCATTAAGATTTGCCTGAAAGGACATTTTCGTTAAAAGATTTAAAATCCAAACAACTTCTCAGCTCTGCGATGCAGCATATCTAAAGGCAGAGCCAATGGCAGAATCGTTGATGGTTGAAAAAGTTTCTAAAAATGCGTTTCAATTATGCTTCACTTTGAGAAAGGAAAATTTGGGCTTTGTCGATAAAAGAGCATAGATTTGATTTATTTAAAATTGAATTTGTTTTATTTACATAAAGAATTATAAGGACAAAAATCCATTACAATGATAAGCAATAGAAAAGAAAATTAATACTTCTGATTGCGTTTCATCGCTTTCATATGTTTGGTACCCCTCCTGCCCGTTGATGTGCCAGTTAGGCAGCATGAGGGAAAGCCTCCCGCGGGTCAGCAAACCGAATGAAATTGGGTTAATTGGTCGTAGCATTCCAAGTTTTGCAATGCAGGTTTTGTCAAGGTTCTCATCAATATCCCAAGCGTGAATACAAGACAAAAGTAACTGAGCCATCTCATGAGAGATTTCTCTTTGCAACTGGGCACTCATTACAGTCTTCGAAGGTTTCTTTTGATCAGAATTTGAAATCTGCGACATTCCGCGGGAAGGATGGCGCTTTGGGTTGACAGGTTTCCCATGAGCACTTGCGGCCTCTGCGTCTTCAGCTAGAAGCTGGCAGATCAAAGCCTCGGGGTCAAGCAGCATCACATGGATGTCTGAGTCATTTTTGCTGCTGCGAAGCGCACAAACTCGGATGGGTGGTATCTGCGAAGTCGACGATATCTGGCGCGATTCTGTGTACAAACGATGAGGAATTTATAAGCAATGATTATCTAATGTTGTTTTAACCAATTTCTTAAAATAAAAGCTTGAAGGATCGTACATAAATGCGGTACTGGACTGAGTAGCTACTAATGTTAACATCTGGAAAATGCTACCTCTCACAACCAGGGGCGGACACTTGGTCAATTATTGGGGGGCAAGCCTATTGTTTTAATAAGATGACGTCATGTTTCCCATTGTTTTCGAACAAAAGACCATTGTCCTGTAAAGTATTGGGGGGGCCGTCGCCCCCCCTCGCCCCCCCAAGTGTCCGCCACTGCGTCACAACATGTCATACGAAGACAAACTGTAACCACACCTGGTGATGAAACGAACGGTGGTTTTGAAAGTATTTCATGCACTGAAATCTATTAGGACTTAAATAAGAAGTCTGACGCAGAAATTCTATATCAATAGTTAAATGAGAATTCTACATACGTCTTTATATGGCTTCTCGAGCAGTCTTCTTAAAATATACAGTAAAATATAAAATACATAGCAAAAAAATTGTGGTATTTTTAAAGAGAGCTACCAGCAATAGATCGAAATTACAGCTTTCCTGCATTTTAATTAACCTATCTGATAGTATCACCCAAAAGAACACTTTTTCACTTTACTTCTTCTTACATTTCTAAGCAAAATACCTTGTTGTGGCGACGGAGTCTTCTGCAAACCAGCCACATGGTGCTGGATGTTTGTAATCTTCTTTTTTACTTTCTTAACGATTGCTGGAGTAGTGAATTCAAGTGGCAGTTGCTGTGTCATAGCAGTGAGGGATGATTGAAGGCGAAATTTATGACGATATTCCCTGACTGCAGCAGTTGGGTTAGAGGTTTCCTCGCAACATGATTCGAGAATGTCGTAAGCAACTGAACCAGCTACACATCTATCAAGATGTCCTAAAATGAGGTACAATATGTTTAAAGAAAAAATTGGAATTCTTATTTTCCTTGATAGCAGGACCCAAGTGTGTTCCAGTTTTACAGAGTTTATAAATTGTGCTTTATAAATTGTTATCAAACTTGAGCTCTGTTAAAACTAAAAAAAATCTGCTTAAGTAAAACTAAGGTTTAAACAAATGAAGTTCAAACTAAATAAAATCAATGGGGCAGTGTAAACAAGAAAAAATGGTTGAACCTGGGTTGCTCTCTAAAAGCGATGTATGCGTACAGTAGGTAGTCAAAGAAGTAGGGCGTCGACACTAGACTTTGAAAAAATAAAAATGGCTTTGAATGAAAAAGGTTTTCAAACATACTAAAGCCTTTTGTCGGACACTCTTCAGAGTATAAATTGTTAGAAAACTGAAAAATCAGAATTGTCAGAGCATTGAAAAATCTCATCGCGGAGAGCCATGATTTATTGCAAACAAAACCTATAACCCTCAACAAAGCCTTTCTATAGACTAAAGCCTGTACCTGTTTCCATCTGCCACACATAGACGGTTCCATCTGCGCAGCCAACAACCATGAAGTCATCTTTTGCCCGCCATCTGATTGTTTCAACAGGAAAAGTGTGCCGACTAGCCAACAGCAAGGTCTTCCGCTCTCGAATTCCAAGAAGTGTGACTGAATGATCTTGAGCCACAGAACAGATGCATGACAAAAAGCGAGCCTAGAGTCGATAAGAAGGTGTTATATAAGTGTTTTGGATTGAAGTTAACAGCTACGAGGAAGCTTGTTTACCTGAAATTATCCTCGAGACGAAACAGATTCAAAATAACAAAAAACGAAAGTAATTAAAATGGTTAAGACATCCAAAGTTTCTTGTCATGAACGTTACAAGTAAAACATTACAAGAAAACGCTTTGCTACAATTCAGTGTTATAGTTGAATTTTTTCCAACCCACCATATGATAATATATACTCATTTCATAGTAACTTATGTTAATAACATGGTAATTTATGCTCACTTTATTTTAATTATTGCAAAGCATTCAACTACTATCAAGTATAAATGATCAACAATATATGATTACAAGTGATTGTGAATTTGAAACAGAAAGGACATCTCTAGGTAGTGGTCACAAAAAAGAACTTTGCGGTTATAACATAATTATTCAGCCTCGTCATAATAAAATATTAGAGGATATAAGCCTTGGTTACCGTGCAGTCAGGTGGCGTGACCATAAGCTTCACAACTTCGCCCCCATGCGAATTAAAAGTGTGCAGCAAAGTGCCATTAAAAACGTCCCACAATCGAACTGTGAAATCAGCTCCTCCGGAAACGAGGTGAGTTATGTCATATCGAGGATTCTCCTCGTTTGGATACAATAAACAGGTGACTTTTCCGACGTGTCCCTTTAGAACATTAAGCGGGAAACAATCTAGGCAAATACAACACGTTTTCATTCAGGATAGAATAAAACTTTTATCCTGTAAAGATTCGTGCATTTAATCTAAAATCAAGACGATGCTAGAAAACAAATTGTACCTTAAAAATATTTATGTACTAGAAAGATATCTCCATAGACTGTACAGGGGTGTTGCCAAAGGGGAAGAGCGGTGCTGTACCCCCCCCCCCAAAACACTTTGTCCGTCGGATCATAAAGGACTTTGGCCGGGCAAAAGAAATAATTTTCTCACCCTGTAGTATAATAGTAACCGTTTTGCGACAATTGTAACGTTTTAATATTTCTGTAGCAGTCGACCTTTCAAAGTTTGGCAAAAAAGTATGGATTTTAATCTTTAAGAGTGGAACACCCCTCTTTCGTTGGCAAAAATCATTTCTGTACCCCTCTGGAAAATTTGTTTGGCTTCGTCCCTGAGATTCTTGTTCTTTACAAAACTCTTCCTAATAAGACTTCTTAATGAGACAAACATGACAGGACTAGCATTTTACTGTGATGACAAGGTTTTCGCAAAGTATTTAAATTTAAAGTATCCAGGCGCATTTTGTGTAGAATACTTTAAGATAAAATTTGACACAATTTTCCCAAATCCGATTTTCTTTCCATGAAAAATCTTGATTAACATAGATTTTATCTATAAAAAAAGTAACATAAAAACTATGATCCCTTAGCCAAACTTATGGAATAACACTTAAGGTGCATGGCCCAACAAAAGCCTATAGACGAATAACAAAGCAATTCCAAGCGGAAAAGCAAAGACTACATGTGTCTACGGCCTCCAGATCGCCACACCTTCATATAACAAGTAGGATATTTTCTGCATCTTCTCCATGTACCTGGTGAGACCTAAGTAGGCAACAAATCATTAGATTCAGCATAGGAATTCGGTATATCTTACCCGTTTTCGTAGTGTTGTTAGCCTGCAGTAGTTGGTTCAAAGCAGCTTTAATAGCATTGATCACAACAATGGAGCCATTTTTTCTACCGCAGACTATGAGGCCTTGTGATGATAGATACAAACTTGATGTTATTGATACTGCTTTCTCGCCATCACCAGCCTTGAAATGGAAAGGGAATGCTTTTAACTGTCAGTCACTTACAGTCAACCAACAGTCACTTATTACATAGGTTCAGACCTTGCAACCAAATGGGTTAGAAAAAAATGCCCAATAAAGGAATTCGACAATAATGTTAAAGATTGGAGCGGAGATTCATGCATCTGAAGAGGTTGCAAACATAGTCTTAGTTTGAAAATCTGTATCATTGTAAGAATCATTGTAACTTTTGTTTTGCTTTTACAGGTTAGCCTAAATAAGCTTTCTATTGTTATTTTAAAGCAACCAGCCTTAAATTAATCAATAATAATATTAATAATAATAATCACATCTTATACCGATTAACAAAAAATTGAGAATAATGAGGAAAGAATGTGCTGTGAAAGGAGGTATGGCGAACAGGATACTAACACATAAAGAGTTTTAGAGCTCTTTTACAATTAGGGGAGTTTAATTGTCAAGGAAAAACTTAAAAGCAACTGAGAATGCACAATTAAGATTAAAAACTAGCTTGAAACACGATAATCTAATTTCAAATCGAGCAAGCTATCTTGCTTATTCTGACCCCTATCGACTGTATGAAAACTGACTGAAAGGCGACGTGACCAATAAAAAGCCAAGGCTTACTATGCCATCGATAAGACCAACTGGGTTGGATTCCTTCCAAAGTTCCTTGAGGCTCATTTTGGCCATGTACGGTATTACTGAAATGAAACAAATCCACTTAATTTCATGATGTAGCAACAAAAGCGATTCAGAAAAAGCAAGGCTACCATTAGCGTTACCAATGTAAAAATGAGTAAGCAGCTGCTTGTTTAAAGATTGATAACAGTTTCAAAATATGTTGCCTCGTCTTCAGACCAAATAAAGTATTTCAATTTGAATACTGCAGTCCTGTTTTTCAAAGAAATTCTGAAAGTAGCTTTCAATTAACAAGACAAATAGAGTTATTTAAGGAAAGTTGGGTTTTTGGCTTAAGAAAGCAGTTTTAGGACCTACCAGTATAGAAGCCTCTTAAAAATAGAATATATTATCAAACAGTCATAATGCATTCGTGCGCAAATAGAAAGGAACCTGCCCAAACGACACAGAGCCTCGGCAATCACCGACCGGTATAACTTTTCAGAGACTTAAAATCATTGAAAATACTCACACTTCATCGTCCATTGTTCATCCACCATAACAGTCATTCTTATTCCTTCAGTTAATACTGTTGCCTCTAGAAATAGTGGAGACGACTTTTAAACACTATTGATGACATTATCACATGTTCCATCACCTTTCTAAAAGTAGAGAAGGTGTGGTCACAACTAAGGAAATCAGAGCACTGTAGACCAAGAGCAACCCAAGTATGGAAATTTTAATTGCTTAGAGAATTCTGACCCATTAACGAGATCTCTGTTAAACTATGTGTTAAAGTAAGGAGCTCATCACAGGGTTTAGAGATGGTCGCATTTGCATATTATGAACTTTAAACGCATATATATAAAAAAACCGACCCGCAGATCTTAAAGAACAGGAAACTGTATATTTGCATTTTAAACTTGATAAAAGACGGTAGTAAAAAATCTTCTAAGTATATATTTTTGAACAAGAATCTAGAACCCTGGATTGCAATGGTGCCAATTGTAAAAGAACAAAAGTTTATTCTTGCATTATTTGACCATCAACATAGCTCTTGAATTCCAAGAATCGGAAACTGTTTATTTGCACGTAAAACAGTACGAAAAACCTCGGTGATTACATATATCCATCTCCCATTCTTAAAAAGTTCATTTTTGCACCATTTGACCACCAAAATAGCTCTAAAGATCTTCATCAGTAGAGAGCATGTTCAAAATAAACTTCAAACTCACCTGATGTAATAAGATCGGTTGCTTTCGTTTGGCCCTTCGCCAGAGACTGGTCTGCTTGCTCGCTATCTGGCACTTTCCATACATGCACACTAGAAAGTAAAGTATTTCTAAAAAAAAAACAATATATGTCCAAGCATGATATTTGTTTATTGTTTTAATATCATTGTTGTCGATATATTTCTTTTCGGTTCATAAATCATACCATAAAATTTTTAGTAGGCTACAAATTCCTAAAACATTTTGTGAGTTCGTTTGTTATGCTTCGTTGTCAGTGTAAATTGGCTAACGTGGAAAAATAGCCGTGGCGAAATCTCAAATGACTAAAATTTCATTCACTACAATAATTTTATGCCTCAAAAAATTATTGTTGGAAAATGTCTCTGTTTCTCATGTCCATATTTTTTTTAGAAAAACCTCAGTCATTAAAATCCTGTGACAAATTGTACTTACAAACAGAAAACATTAAGTTATTTATATAACTAAAACACTTTGCATACAGAAAATGTCTAATACGTTATCTTGTTTGGGTTTTTCACTTACTCAAAACCTGCTCAATAGTCAGACCCAGCATAGCAAAATAAGACACGACTTTTTGCAAGGTATGTGATAAAAATTTGTCTTCTATGCACCAGCCTTTTAAAAAAATATTCAATTTAATCAAGTAATGACAATTCATACCACCCATTAGACGTTCCTTGAAAAAGCAACTTGAAAAACGGACCGCGTCTTCCGTAAGAAAAGTGCATGGGAGACCCAAAATTAACCTGGAGAAAACATTTCAAAACAAGCATAGGCATACATAGATCGAGAAATTTAATTTATATCACGAATGAATATACAGCTGAACCACGTTAAGACGGACCTTCAAAGAAGATAAGGAAATGATCCGAGTTAATGATATAAGACTTGAACCGGGCACGACTTTTGACTTGAATAAGGTAGGAAAATTCAATGGGAGTTGAAATCAGTCCGGCAAAGTAAAAGTCTAAGTTATCAAGGGTATAATTAAATGAGATTCAACCGGACATACGATAAAATGAGATTCAATCAACTAAATTTTTCAGAGAGAAGCCATGATTTTCCAATAGAAAAGTATTTTCTAAATTGTAGATCGATCCAGACTTTGGCCTATGAGCAAATAAAGAAAAGAAAGATGACTTTCTCGTTTAATAACTTAAAGAAGGCAAGAAAAACAGAACATCAGGCATTGAATGAAGAATTTTCGTCAGTCGCGTCGTACGAAAGACATCCTCCAATCCATAGTTCGACGAGAAACATACATCCGACGTTTGATACTCGGAACGAAAATACTTCAGTAAAATGCGTCATGTTTCACTCTACCGTGCTATCTTTAGCTTGAAAGAAAAGAATAGCCTGCAAGAAAAAGTAAACTTACTTTGAGGCCGTTAATATCGAAGAGACAAATAAGGACTGGTGCTCGAGATGATTTGTCCGTGGATGATTGCTCAATGCCTTCTGCACCAAGGAGATATCTAGGTGGATGAAATTAGTGGAAATTATTGTCAACTTAACTGTTGCAGAGTCTTTCATGACGTATAGGCATGGTTGTGTACGCTTTGGTGTAAAAAACAGAACGGTTCTACGGTCACAAATATTAGTTAATTTTCATTACATGTTTAATGAGCTAGAAAGACATTTTCAATAGACTTTATTTTAGATGAAATGTTTTAATAGATGAATATCAAAAGACGATGTATGGTTAGGTGATAGTTATGTGGCATCGTTTCAAGAGTAACATCAAGAAATAGGCCACTGCTTGTTCTATACAGTCACACTCGCATGAACCGGATCTCTTCGGACCAGACAAATCAGTTTGCTTTGTGCGAAGTCAAGCTTAACGTGAGACCAAGAAAATTCAGAACAAGTAAAAAACATAATCATCTGAAGCAGAGACAGAATAAATAAATCATCATATGAACAGCATTAATCAGGACGCCAAATGCGATAAAAATATGAAATCAAATCTTTGTTTTTGTTACGAAAGTCCGACTTATGTGGTGCAATTTTCATAAGTGATTCTAAAGAAGACCCGACCTAAGCTAATGTTCGGTATATAAAATCCGAATCATGCGATGAAAATTTATTGCACTTATCCCAAATGGACTGGGACTATGAACGTTTCCTCGAGTTATACAATAGCCCACTTCTACGAGATCTACGAGAGAGACACATTGCCCAGAAAGGCGTATTGTGATGATATAACGTGGTACAAGATTTCTCCATATATGCTTTCCTTACATTAAAGGCAATAAACAGATACTTAAGGGGCCTAGGCCATCTTTCAGTAAAAAGTTGACTAACCAGTGAGTGTGGTCCCGGTTAAACGCTTGTTGATTGGCTAATATGGCCTAAGCCACTTTTATATCTATAGACTGCCTTTAAGATACAAGTACTATACTGAAAGATACCAATATTATACAATACTGAAAGACACCAATACTATACAATACTGAAAGAAACCAATACTATACAATACTGAAAGAAACCAATACTATACAATACTGAAAGAAACCAATACTATACAATACTGAAAGATACCAATATTATACAATACTGAAAGAAACCAATACTATACAATACTGAAAGAAACCAATACTATACAATACTGAAAGAAACCAATACTATACAATACTGAAAGACACCAATACTATACAATACTGAAAGATACCAATATTATACAATACTGAAAGATACCAATATTATACAATACTGAAAGAAACCAATACTATACAATACTGAAAGAAACCAATACTATACAATACTGAAAGAAACCAATACTATACAATACTGAAAGATACCAATATTATACAATACTGAAAGAAACCAATACTATACAATACTGAAAGAAACCAATACTATACAATACTGAAAGATACCAATACTATACAATGACATTCTAGCTTGAAAAGTGATTCATAGTATTTATTACATTCCCAGATATTTGCTACATCATTAGTCCTGCTACAATACATGACTGACAACAAAATAACTAATTTGCAAAATAATTGAATTATAATGACAATTTCACATTCATTTCCCAAGATCACATGCAAACATATTCTCAGAAAGTTTGATTGAGAAAGAAAACTTCAAATCAAACAGAGTAGTCAATCTGAACAGAAGCATTGATGAAATATATCTTACTTTGATGGTAGTCGGTACAAGTAAGCTCTGCCGGACTGAAAAATGATTTAGATCATAACTAGAGTTGGATACCAATAAATTAGAAAGCAAAAGAAATACAAACAAACTTCGTCATGAAACGTACATAATCACAGATGAAAAAGGCAAGAAAGTTGAAGAAGCACAGAAAAGCAGCAATATAGTATACCAACATCGTATGCTTTCTTTAAATGTTTGCAACGGGGTGTGTGGCAACGCCTTTGAAAGGCAGATCTGTCCAATGACCAAACTTTTCCCTGATGCAACCCATTCCGAGACTTACGGTGTTAGATTACATCACATTGTAGCTTATACAGCTTGAGATTTTCTTAGCTTGAGGCCTGCAGCTCTCCACACTTTACATTTAATAGCACCAAATAAAAACTCATAAATAGCAGAACAAGCGAACTGACCATCCCAGACAGATTTCATTGGGAATGACCTTAATATGGGTTCTTGGTGGTAAAATTAAACCAGTCGCGGGTTTTTACTTTATAAAATGCACCTATTTCGGCCACATATCTGTGGCATGGCCCAATATGGGAGTGCCCCCACCAAACGGGTGGAAAACCCCTTGAGTGAGAAAAACAAAGCTAAACCGGATGAACAATAAGCCACGGTACCCTTTTCATTATCCATATATTTAATGTACTAAAGCCTTGAAACGTTACAAAGCTGAGGTGCAATATATTGTTGATATTTTAAAGACCATTTGCGTTGTTCAGTAATATCTTGAGAATAAATACGAGAAGAGGTTGCCATCTTACCTTGTCCCAAACAATCACCCGATTAGCAGCAACAAAATCTCCACCCATCAATGTTTGCTTGTACGGAGACGGTATTAATGCGATAAAGGTGAAATCACTTGCATCAAACACCTACAACCAGGATTGATAAAAAAAAGTTATGACAGAAAGTTTACTGGACTCTTTTTCTTTACTGGAACTGAAGACACCAGGTCTTTGGATATGTAAATAAGCCCTCCAGGGAGGTCTGTGGTTCCGTGTTCACTAAAATTTTCTTTTCATAAAATCTCCCTTGTTTTGGATAATGTTTCTTAAATGTTCCCTCATAAAACACTTGATAACTTGTCAAAATTTTCTCTCAAACCCCAAAAACAATAACAGATTTTCCCACGTTCCCTTAAAACCATAAGTTTTCATTGTTCCCTCTAACCCCTTGGAGGGCCCCTGTGACAACAAACGTGCCAAGATTGAGTGACCTAGAAGCAAAAAGTTGCTAAAAAGAAAGCTATATCAGTTCACTTGTCTTAATCATCACTGCTTCATTGTGGACTAAATGGCTGAAATGTTGAGTTTAATACCAGAAAATATTTCACCTGCCACGCTTTTGCACTGATAACCAACGTCGTCCGTTGTGTAAACGGGTTACAACACATCGCCTTGGCACCATTGCAGTCCAGGGTTTTCGACTCCTGTTCGAACACGACCTCAGGCCGCTGCAAAGAGAATAAACATTGCTACGCTGATTTGCTAAAGAATATAAATGTAAAAACTATAAGGATGCTAAATTTTTTATCAGGGCTGTTGATATTGTAATATGATAACATTAGAAACGGGTTAATTGGAACATTCAACCAGGCAAAAATTTCTTTTTCATTACAAGGACATATTGAAATGCATGCATTCTAGAAAATCCTAAATTATGCATACTGCAACAAACGTCGGAAGAAAAGCATTTCAACACTTGCTTTATAGAGATAAAATGAAACTCTCACCCCTGATGTACATAGAAGCAGAACCTACACTTTGATAAAACTTCAAGACTATTGGTTCATAAGAGATGTTATGTAGAGAGCTACCTCGAAAACATATGAATATAACATTACATTCAATTTTATTCAATCCATATTTAGAGTTTGGGATTACAATATAAATAAAAAATACTAATTCAAATCCAATATAAGGTTAAAGCATTCTACACAGACTTTCAGATTTTTATCTAGCCTCGTAGAGGAAATGTTATCCAAGCAACCAAAATCAAGACCAAGCAATTTTCTAAAGCACAAACACCAAAAAGGAAGAGCGTACCCTTTTTTCATAACTTGCTTTTAATTTCCATACTTTTAAAACATTTGAAGCAGTCAATGCAATAAGCTTTTCCTCTATATAAAAAGAATTAAGAAATGTTTATAATGCTCTGCTCTTACAACAGATCAAAAGATAAAACCGATCACAAACTGATCAAGAACTACTAACATTAACATCCTCTAATTACAAATAAGCTGGCAGAGAAGGCAAGCTGGGCAAGGGGATGGGTGGTGGGGCTCAAAACTTTAGATATGTTTGCTGTTTTCCCAGGGGCACTCTTATAATTGACCTGATGGGAGGTGCTGCAGGACAGGGTACCCTTTTCCGATAAAAATTATGGGACAGTGTGTTATGAAATGCATCAAAATTTAAAGACAGGTTTTTAAAATTATGAAAATCCATAAATAAAAATATGCAACAACAGCTTACTATGTTTTTAGAGTTTTCGTAGAATGAGCATGTTTCAGTTACATTTGCTAGTGGTAAATATCATGAGATTTAGAATATTTTGGCAAAATTGTGCCATATTTTTATGGGACAAGGTATGCTTTTGGCAATTTTCTATGGCACAGTAAAAGGATACAGTATAAGAGAGAGGTTTTCCTCACACCCTTGCTACTTTCCTTGTCAAATATACCAGCACTTTGAGGCAATACCAAAATGTACCCATGCATGCTCTCTGTGCTTCCATTTAGAAAATTAATACGAAAATAGCTGCTCCCGAATAGATCCAGCCAAAGACTGACTCTAGTTCAAAACAAGACCTGTACTTGCTTAGTTTGGAGCAAAAAATAGCCGCATTTGGAGCCAGAGATCATGACTTCATATAAACATAAAGTTCATAGAAACAACCTATAAAGAACCTCTTTCCAGACCAAAAAAGGTCACATTTGGGACCAGATCAGGTACAGGCAGTGTTTCTTGTGTTAACAAGGATCTTACACTCTGGTTTCATTGACCTACATCTTTGTGTTCTCAAAGAGGTAAATAATGTTTCTAAATGCATATCATATTATACTGCAAACCTTCAATCTATTAGTATGATTCCCTTGCTAGAAATATTTTCTGAAATGCACTTTCAGTCAGCCTAGGTTTTCATCAACCCCTCTCTATCCCTGATTGCAGGGCATGCAAATGAAAACAAGCATAGGCTTTGTGAATTAGAAGCATAAAAGATAAAAAACAATAGAACTACATTACCCTGTTTTGGCTGCTTCTAGGAAAATAAAAAAATAGAATAGAAAGCTTACCTTGTTGCCTTGCATTACGTATAGTACAAAGACAGCTTATCCAGTCTGGATTCAATCTTGATTTCAAAGTGTAAAGAATCTGTTTGGGCAATGTAAACATTTTTTGAATTTCTGATGCATTTTTATGTATAAAATGTATTAAATATGATTTAAATTCAATGAAGTGATAGCAAAACTTCTCAGTTTTAAAATCTTGATCCACTTTTGCCAAACATAAGTAGATGTAATTTGGAAGTAAATGTCAAAAGTTCTTACTCATAATAGGATTCTAACCTAAAAAGCAATTTCATTGGCAATATTCTGACAGTTGTCTATTGCAGTCCTTGAAATGAGCAAATGTTAGGAGCTTGTTTAATCAAGCCCCCTGATTCAGTTAGGCCCTTGATCAAGCTCCTAGATTATTTTTGTCTTTTGATCATATTTTCTTAAATGTATGCAATCAACAGTCGTAAGAAATTGTCCGCGAAATCAAATGAAAACGAACTGTTACGATGACCTTTAATGTACTCCAAGAAAGATTAAATACCCAATATAAATGTGCTTTGTTTATAAACTTTATATGTTCGGGAGACGAAACCTTCAGTCCTTTGTTTTGAAACAATACTGTCTTAAACCATTCAGTGCTGCAGGGTTATAGCACATGCGCATTAAAAACAGTATTCCAACAGCTGTTCTGTCTGGGATCACACAACTTCCCGTCAGTGCTTCAAGTGATAATGCGCATGTGCCTGCAATGACCCTGAAATGGGGGCTAGTGCATGTCTGGAAGACAGGCATCATTCATCTCCCAAACAATCATGTACGTCACCAATGTCTTGCCAGATGATCGCAAAATAGTTGTCCCAAACCTTTTTAAAACCGCTTTAATTGCCCAGAAAAAGTGTTAACGTAGTTAAAATAGTAAGTGCTTATGGTATTCTTAAACATTCGCTGTGGATTTGATTTTCAAATGCATTTTTCCATTGAGATGTGGTTAATTCAGCTTTCTTATATTTGCTGTGTTTTGATATACCGACTTTTTATTGTCTATATGTCACTTGCTTGGGTCACAAAAAATGACTAGAAATGTGTCCATTGATGAGTCATTCATCCATCACAATTTACTGTTTTGCACGAATGATCTAACGCTCGCCCGGTCGAGGCACTCGCGCTTGATCAAGCGCCTCTTATTTCAGGGCCTGTACTATTGTAGGGAGGCACATTGTCTGACTGTTGTTTGGAGGTGTCTATAATTGAGAGGCATCATTAACAGAGGTTCAACGAAACAGGCAGATAAAATGTGCAAAAAGAAGCATATAAAATTCTGTCCTTTACCTCAAGGTTTGCTGTGTCAAGAACATAAATCTCACAGTACAGTCCATACAGCAACACTCTCCATTCCCGCATTGACCCTTTATTCACTTGTACAGACTAAAGGAAAACAGCAAAATGTAACTGTATGTATACCATCTAGATGTTCGCATGTAACATACCCAATACTTGAAAAGCTATCAGGATGTGATATTTCATGCTCTAACAAGATACTTAAAGTTTTGACATGTGTTGTGATGTTTTTGCAAACAAATTAATAAGAACCCATTATATAGACCAGAATGACCAACAAGTAAACAAAATAACATGACACATACACAAAGGCAGGGTAAAACAAGCTGAGAGAATAGTAACTTACATCAGTTTTAGTCCAAATTGTCTATTTCTACTTTGATAGGAAAAGAAATATGTCATTAGCATAGAGCCAATTAAGAATATACCTGTAGCTTTTTATGAGTTCCAGGAATGTTATTGGTGTGAATACAAAGGCCATCTTCAATATCCCACAAACAAATTTCCCTGGAAAGAACAAGGTTATAGAGAAGAAGACTAACTTAACTGTAGATTCTAAACTATAGGGCTTGCATTGGGTTGAAGATAAAAGATTGGTAGACATTACTGACAACATCATATGACTTTTATTATTGCCATCTTCATTTAAAAATGTTATCATGAGGTCTTCTTTGAAACAACCCCTTTAACCTAGGCTGGCATTTGACAATGCAGACTAAAGACTGACCTGGTTTAAATAATGGACAGCTTTTCTGTGCTGACCTCTTTATGGTCTACATGTAAAAATCTTAAAAAATGTGAAGGTTGAAACTTCTTGATTAAATATATGCAAGTCTACTGTTGGAGTAGGTCTAGATCATTGTTTCAATGCTGGTTTATTCAAAGAGTTGTTGGATTATATTTTGGGGCGTATTTCAACATAAAGAGCACTGAAAATGTGAAAGAAATGGACATAAAACATACCCATCACTTGCAAGACTGATGATATTTGGTTTGTCAAAGCTAGCATCAAGGGCACAGGCAATATCCACAACAGCACAGCCATGTGCAAAAATAAGATTCCGTGGTATTATCTATATAAAAAAGATTTTGCATACACAATGATACAATTTTGGGGAATGCTTCTGGTGTGTAGAACAGGATCTTTTCTAGCAGAAACTTTTCCTGACTATCATATTTTGCATAAAACTTGGAATGTACAACTCTGTCATGAAGTACTGCATCACAGATAATGTTCAGAATAATTATAGAGAAAAATAGATATATTTTGACTGGTTCTAATAAAAAATGTATTTCTACTTAAAGCTTTTAACAATCCATTTCTTGATTATATTTAAGGTTGTTGTACCAGCTTCAACAAAGAAAAATGTATTTTAAGACATTTTGAGACCATGCCCTAGATAAAAAAGAATGCTCCTCTTTGCAAAGAAAATAGTAAACAGTAAATCCCAAACTAATTTCCATTAGGAAATAGTATGACAAATCCCTATAGGTCATAGGGTTATTAATTATCATCCCTAGCACCCTCTACTTGGAGTCACCATTGATTAAAAGATGCAGCATTAAATGCTATGCAGATAAAAATCCCTAGTATTGCCATCATTGATGCAGTTAAAATAGGGAGATTAACCATGAGGTGTTTTAAAACAAATAATGAGTTCCGGCTGCAATTAAGAGGTGATATGGCTGCATGTTGGGAAATATAAATAAATTCACAAATAATTTAATAAAGGTGCTTTAACTGTAACCAAATTAATGACATTGGCAAAGTATGATTTTTCAACAGTCACTGCTTGGGTAATGACTGTTTGTGAGGCAAATTTAAACTATGGATAAATCAACAGCGCTCAGGAATAGCAATAAAATGGTTTACAGCTTGACAGTAAAAATTCTAACCCTATGCATCATAGCTAGGTTTCTGCATTAGCCCCTTCATGTCCAAAACAATCTTTAAAATGAGATGTGGAAATGTTTTTATGACACGGCCTGTAGAAGTAGTTCCACACAGTGTGCAATAATAGTTTCATATTTTGATAAAGTTATTACCCGAAGACCAGCATCTTGCGTGTGTCTTAGATCCCACAAGCCAATTTGCCCATCAGATGTTCCAGTTACCACTGTTTTTTGGTCATATGTGCAAGTGATCACTGATACGAGATGAGAAGGGTGACTTTTGCCCCACAGTACTAACGGCACAATTGATGTGGAATGACTCATACTTCACACTTCAAAAGTATACATCAATATGATCGATGAATTTTGTCGCAACTAAATCATTCTCAAACGGCTAGCGCCAAATGCAAATACTAAAATGTATCCTCATTTCTGACTGAAGTTCTATTTGTCTGCCATACACCGATTCTTGCCCGTAATGTTTTGGTCAATGATTGTTAGGATGCACCAAAACCACCGTACGAAATGACCTCACAATCTCCCGTAGCCTCGCCCTGGAGTCGTTGCGGATCATGCTCGAGCTGACAAGTCAATGTTGACTGTCTACTGTGATTCCGTGCTATGCTTCTTCTTCAGAGACAAATTCTGTGCCACCTCCGTTCATCATTCAGACTACTTATCGAATCTGTGACCACTTACGAATCTTTACAGCTTTGCGGCTAAGGCTTGCGATGGGGTCGACAAACTTCTCAGTCTCCCACGAACTGTAACAGGTCCGCTATTTAGCGAGCGACATTCAGTTAGACATTCGAGTATACATTCGGACTTTGATTGCTTCTTACAAAAAAACCATAAAAGATAATAAAAATATATTTTATAGTGGGAAACTTGGCTGGATTCTCTGTCGATTCGTGTATCTTGTTTATATTAAGACGCGCTATGCTTTAAAGGGTAAGGCAAAACATCGAAAATTTTTGTACACGGCCTAAATGTTCGCGTAAAATAGACTATCGCAGTGAAACATCACAACCTGATTTGAACTGATTTCAGGCGCTAAGGAAGAAACAAGTTAGCGAAATCGACTCAAAACAACATGAAACGTACCTTCCTTCAACTTTTCAGCAAATTCAAGGGAATAACTACCAATTTCCAACATCATGTTCAACTAGCAACAAGCTCCGAGGAAACCCCAATTTGAAAACTTGCAAAAACTATCTCCCTAAATAACGTCTGCCAGGCTGATCGGAATATGATGAAACTTGGTAGGGTTGCTAGAAATAATGTACTCAACATGTTTTTTTGGGTCTGGTTGCGATTTTCTGGTTTTGTGCGAAGTTCTGAAACGACCCTCTATCGAGTTACATACTGAAGCCTTATAACAGCGAATTCGAATGTCTATCTCCCTAAATAACGTCTGCCAGGCTGATCGGAATATGATGAAACTTGGTAGGGTTGCTAGAAATAATGTACTCAACATGTTTTTTTGGGTCTGGTTGCGATTTTCTGGTTTTGTGCTAAGTTCTGAAACGACCCTCTATCGAGTTACATACTGAAGCCTTATATCAGCGAATTCGAATGTCTATCTCCCTAAATAACGTCTGCCAGGCTGATCGGAATATGATGAAACTTGGTAGGGTTGCTAGAAATAATGTACTTAACATGTTTTTTTGGGTCTGGTTACGATTTTCTGGTTTTGTGCGAAGTTCTGAAACGACCCTCTATCGAGCTCCATACTGAAGCCTTATAACAGCGATCTCGAATGTCTATCTCCCTAAATAACGTCTGCCAAGCTGATCGGAATATGATAAAACTTGGTAAGGTTGCTAGAAATAATGTACTTAACATGTTTTTTGGGTCTGGTTGATAGGTCTGGTTGAGATTTTTATATCAGTTATGGTGAACCCCAAAAGACGACAAACGACAGTTTGCATAATTACGAGTTATTTATTGACAGTACATTGAAATGGTAAAAAAAAATTTATCGAAGGACAACTTACATTATAGAATAAAACTTGTTACAACACTTAATTGTTACAAGGGTCTATATATTTATATTTTAAGCGCGGGGGCTGTGTCAGCAGTTTCCTAAGGTGCGAAATGATTACTTGGCAGAAAAAATACCTAAAAGGGGGCATGAGAAAATGCGCTTTAAGCTTGGTTTCCACTATGAGTTAACGTGAGTTAATTTGAGATAATTTTGTGATCTGACATGGTTTAAAAATTATCTCATAGTGGAAACGGTCATTAAAAATTATCTCATGAAAATTAACTCGTGTTAACTCACGTTATCTCATGAGCTTGGAAACAAAATTTTTTGATTTCAAGCTCATGAGTTAACTTGAGATAACATCTTATCAAAAGAAGCCGATGCGTGGGAGGGGAATGTGCTATAATTTGCACTGAGGTTCTTACGCAACGCACTTGCACTGAGTATTACTTTAGATGTTGAAAACAGTTTTCTTTACTAAAAAAATTAATTGTGAAATAAGAGAAGCATTTTCTCATTTCTAAGATCCTGTTGCAAGTGGTCGTATTCACCAAACGCATATCTTTTTTTGGTAGACTCTCCGTACCGAAAACATTGGCGCAGATCGCGAACGGCACTTCTAGCAAAAAATATTTTCCTTCTAAGTATTCTCAAAAGCAGATGTAAAATAAGTTGTTCTTGTAAGACGCCCGCCATAGCTGCAAGACTCAAATAAAATGTGTCTATCTCAAGTGGAAACCGAATCGGTACATGGGTTAATTTTGAGATAGCTCGCGTTATCTCACGCTATTTCACACTATCTCAAGTTAACTTGAATTTAGACCATGAGTTAATTTTCAATTTAGCTCAGAATTATCTCGCGTTAACCCATAGTGGAAACCAAGCTTTATAAAAGAATACCATTACCCCAGCAAATCTTGTGCAGGGTAAATCCCAAGACAAAAGATAGGCATGCTGCGTCACGCACAGTTGCCAACGTCAAGCGTGATGAGGAACTACTAGCACACTAATATAACTTACGTAATATGCGTAATGATGCGTCTGCAAATACACTCTTTTTTTATAAGAACCAGTAAATTTAAGTTCAGGCTGACTGTTCTTAATTTTTTCGAAAATCTGAGGCTGGATTGTTCTTAATTTGATCTAAATCTAATAGGGTGTAAACAGTGCGAGTGCTAGCTTTTTCGCTTTAGGGAGGTAGTCAGGCCTCATTTGCCAACAAAGTGAGTGAGCCAGCTTTAATTTGCTGACAAATTTGAATATTCACCGAAAAAGCACCCACACATCGCTAAAAATCATCGATTTTGAGAAAAAACGTTTTGCAGAAGCTCAGCCTCACCTTGTTCTTAATTTGTTCTTAACTTTTGACCAATTTTGAGGCACGTGTTGTTATAAAATTGTTCTTATAAAAAAATTAGTGTACCGTAAATTCTCTTATTGTTTTCAGCACTTTAAAGAGGGGCTTATGAAAGAGGGGGTATATTGAGAGAGGGGGCTTAATAAATATTTTGTAATAAAAACCGTATTTGTTATTTGCGAAATAAAAATATCAAATCAGCCTTCTTTATCAATAATATTGTCATCGTCATTGTCATCAAGTATTAATTCTGAAATATCTTCTTGGGCCAGGTCGCCTTCTGAAATCAAGCATTCGAAAAGGTCGACTTCATCCCTCGGAGTACCAACGGCCTGTAATTTTGGTAAAAGGCTCTCACATGGCCCGTGCTTAATGCACATTAAATCTTTGTCCTCTGATCCAACAAGACTGGAAGAGACATAGTGAATTTTGATTTGATGCGAAGTATTGAACGACCAATGAATAAAATGAAAATCTTTGTTTTTTGTCAAGTTTACTTATTTCAGCATAAGTGAAAATTGGGGGGGGCTAAATTGAGAGGGGGGCTAAATAATTTTTTCCTTCTGAACAGGGGGGCTAATAAGAGACGGGGCTTAATTAGATAATTTACGGTACTCCTATGCGATGTTCTATATGTGAAGGGCCTAAATGTACATAAATCATATTCTAATAATAATAACGCGAAAGCTGACCCTATTACAGTCCCATCCTACCAAAAAAAGGTTTCCTGCCAAAACATAACTATGACTGCCCCGAATGACTTAAAGACATCCCTGAAGGCAGCTTTTGCTGAAAATGTTTCGAGAATGAGGCTCAGTGCTCAAATGATGCAATTCTCGTACGGTGGTTTTGATGCATCCTAACAATCATTGACCGTGGGAAACTTGGCTGGATTCTCTGTCGATTCGTGTATCTTGTTTATATTAAGACGCGCTATGCTTTAAAGGGTAAGGCAAAACATCGAAAATTTTTGTACACGGCCTAAATGTTCGCGTAAAATAGACTATCGCAGTGAAACATCACAACCTGATTTGAACTGATTTCAGGCGCTAAGGAAGAAACAAGTTAGCGAAATCGACTCAAAACAACATGAAACGTACCTTCCTTCAACTTTTCAGCAAATTCAAGGGAATAACTACCAATTTCCAACATCATGTTCAACTAGCAACAAGCTCCGAGGAAACCCCAATTTGAAAACTTGCAAAAACTATCTCCCTAAATAACGTCTGCCAGGCTGATCGGAATATGATGAAACTTGGTAGGGTTGCTAGAAATAATGTACTCAACATGTTTTTTTGGGTCTGGTTGCGATTTTCTGGTTTTGTGCGAAGTTCTGAAACGACCCTCTATCGAGTTACATACTGAAGCCTTATAACAGCGAATTCGAATGTCTATCTCCCTAAATAACGTCTGCCAGGCTGATCGGAATATGATGAAACTTGGTAGGGTTGCTAGAAATAATGTACTCAACATGTTTTTTTGGGTCTGGTTGCGATTTTCTGGTTTTGTGCTAAGTTCTGAAACGACCCTCTATCGAGTTACATACTGAAGCCTTATATCAGCGAATTCGAATGTCTATCTCCCTAAATAACGTCTGCCAGGCTGATCGGAATATGATGAAACTTGGTAGGGTTGCTAGAAATAATGTACTTAACATGTTTTTTTGGGTCTGGTTACGATTTTCTGGTTTTGTGCGAAGTTCTGAAACGACCCTCTATCGAGCTCCATACTGAAGCCTTATAACAGCGATCTCGAATGTCTATCTCCCTAAATAACGTCTGCCAAGCTGATCGGAATATGATAAAACTTGGTAAGGTTGCTAGAAATAATGTACTTAACATGTTTTTTGGGTCTGGTTGATAGGTCTGGTTGAGATTTTTATATCAGTTATGGTGAACCCCAAAAGACGACAAACGACAGTTTGCATAATTACGAGTTATTTATTGACAGTACATTGAAATGGTAAAAAAAAATTTATCGAAGGACAACTTACATTATAGAATAAAACTTGTTACAACACTTAATTGTTACAAGGGTCTATATATTTATATTTTAAGCGCGGGGGCTGTGTCAGCAGTTTCCTAAGGTGCGAAATGATTACTTGGCAGAAAAAATACCTAAAAGGGGGCATGAGAAAATGCGCTTTAAGCTTGGTTTCCACTATGAGTTAACGTGAGTTAATTTGAGATAATTTTGTGATCTGACATGGTTTAAAAATTATCTCATAGTGGAAACGGTCATTAAAAATTATCTCATGAAAATTAACTCGTGTTAACTCACGTTATCTCATGAGCTTGGAAACAAAATTTTTTGATTTCAAGCTCATGAGTTAACTTGAGATAACATCTTATCAAAAGAAGCCGATGCGTGGGAGGGGAATGTGCTATAATTTGCACTGAGGTTCTTACGCAACGCACTTGCACTGAGTATTACTTTAGATGTTGAAAACAGTTTTCTTTACTAAAAAAATTAATTGTGAAATAAGAGAAGCATTTTCTCATTTCTAAGATCCTGTTGCAAGTGGTCGTATTCACCAAACGCATATCTTTTTTTGGTAGACTCTCCGTACCGAAAACATTGGCGCAGATCGCGAACGGCACTTCTAGCAAAAAATATTTTCCTTCTAAGTATTCTCAAAAGCAGATGTAAAATAAGTTGTTCTTGTAAGACGCCCGCCATAGCTGCAAGACTCAAATAAAATGTGTCTATCTCAAGTGGAAACCGAATCGGTACATGGGTTAATTTTGAGATAGCTCGCGTTATCTCACGCTATTTCACACTATCTCAAGTTAACTTGAATTTAGACCATGAGTTAATTTTCAATTTAGCTCAGAATTATCTCGCGTTAACCCATAGTGGAAACCAAGCTTTATAAAAGAATACCATTACCCCAGCAAATCTTGTGCAGGGTAAATCCCAAGACAAAAGATAGGCATGCTGCGTCACGCACAGTTGCCAACGTCAAGCGTGATGAGGAACTACTAGCACACTAATATAACTTACGTAATATGCGTAATGATGCGTCTGCAAATACACTCTTTTTTTATAAGAACCAGTAAATTTAAGTTCAGGCTGACTGTTCTTAATTTTTTCGAAAATCTGAGGCTGGATTGTTCTTAATTTGATCTAAATCTAATAGGGTGTAAACAGTGCGAGTGCTAGCTTTTTCGCTTTAGGGAGGTAGTCAGGCCTCATTTGCCAACAAAGTGAGTGAGCCAGCTTTAATTTGCTGACAAATTTGAATATTCACCGAAAAAGCACCCACACATCGCTAAAAATCATCGATTTTGAGAAAAAACGTTTTGCAGAAGCTCAGCCTCACCTTGTTCTTAATTTGTTCTTAACTTTTGACCAATTTTGAGGCACGTGTTGTTATAAAATTGTTCTTATAAAAAAATTAGTGTACCGTAAATTCTCTTATTGTTTTCAGCACTTTAAAGAGGGGCTTATGAAAGAGGGGGTATATTGAGAGAGGGGGCTTAATAAATATTTTGTAATAAAAACCGTATTTGTTATTTGCGAAATAAAAATATCAAATCAGCCTTCTTTATCAATAATATTGTCATCGTCATTGTCATCAAGTATTAATTCTGAAATATCTTCTTGGGCCAGGTCGCCTTCTGAAATCAAGCATTCGAAAAGGTCGACTTCATCCCTCGGAGTACCAACGGCCTGTAATTTTGGTAAAAGGCTCTCACATGGCCCGTGCTTAATGCACATTAAATCTTTGTCCTCTGATCCAACAAGACTGGAAGAGACATAGTGAATTTTGATTTGATGCGAAGTATTGAACGACCAATGAATAAAATGAAAATCTTTGTTTTTTGTCAAGTTTACTTATTTCAGCATAAGTGAAAATTGGGGGGGGCTAAATTGAGAGGGGGGCTAAATAATTTTTTCCTTCTGAACAGGGGGGCTAATAAGAGACGGGGCTTAATTAGATAATTTACGGTACTCCTATGCGATGTTCTATATGTGAAGGGCCTAAATGTACATAAATCATATTCTAATAATAATAACGCGAAAGCTGACCCTATTACAGTCCCATCCTACCAAAAAAAGGTTTCCTGCCAAAACATAACTATGACTGCCCCGAATGACTTAAAGACATCCCTGAAGGCAGCTTTTGCTGAAAATGTTTCGAGAATGAGGCTCAGTGCTCAAATGATGCAATTCTCGTACGGTGGTTTTGATGCATCCTAACAATCATTGACCTAATGTTTTGGAGTGGTTTTGGAAGGCCTCTGCATGGGAGTTTGCCTCATTTTGAAACCAAAGCATGAGTCAAATAAAGAAATGGCGGCCACCATGTATGAACATCCAAGCTATATTGAGCAAGACATTTGTGTCTCTCTACCAAACTGTATGTACAAAATGACGAACCTCCAGTCATCACTGAATAGTTACGACCAGAAGGTATTTCTACTTATTTTTATGTTTTTTCTAACACGATCTCATCAGTAGAAGACAGTCTGTTGACAGACAAATCCAATGTAGAGTCACGTCGCCCTTTTTTATGGCACGAATTGAGTAAAGATTTTTTTTCTCAGCTTTTTAGTACTTCCTAATAAAATCAACATACTAAAAACACATTGTTGTATAGTCTACATGCTTGTCTAAAGACAGTCTTATCGGCGTTGCTCTCTTTCTACACGAGCAACATAACTACAAAAACTTAGGCCATCGCCTCTTATGGAACGACTCCAATTTAGGCTTGCAAAATGCGCACAACGTAGAAAAGCCAGGAATTATCATCTGCCCTCTTTCCTTTTACCTTTATCATTCGCCAGTATCAAATGAACTTTCGTTGGGCCATTTGTTTTCAAATTCAGAGTAAAGAAGGAATAAACTTGTCCCCCAGTTTGGTTTTCTTGCTTGAATGAGACTTTATCACGTGTCACACGTTCAGCCACTCATAAATTGTTGAGCATCACAACAGGGAGCCAGTTGTCTCATCGAAGAAGCCACTAGGCCAATAAAAGTGCTCCTGATAAAAAATCCCGGTGAATGAAAATTGTGCAAGCTATTGTTTGGGTTTCAACAATTATTCGTTTTTAAGAGACAAAAAAAAAGCATATTAGTGGGGGTTTGTTTTGCATATTAGCAAAACTTTTGTGGGCCCTTCTTAAGACACAGGCCACATGAATTTACCCTGGCTACCCCCTCCTCTCAATATTACTGGCTGGAAGGTTTGGTCAGTAAACACCTTTTTTTACAAAAATATAGATTTTAGTTCACCTGATTGATTTAAAATTAGAGATATCTGACCTGTTTTTGTATAGTTTAAATCATCAAGTATCTGCTATATTGAAACATTATTTTTGCAATTGAAGTCACATTAATATTATTGTGACTTTGTTTAAGTAAAATACTCTGATTTCATAGCAGCCACAGTCTCCAGAACTGGTAACGCTTCTACGGAGACAAGAAAATATACTGAACGAATTGGATACCCTTAAAAAACAACTAGATGCTCTTGAAAAGAAAGTTGTTGTCAGAAAAGAAGATGGAAAAGCAAAATCAACAGCAGCTTCAAATGTAAGTGGTGCCTCATTAGCAAACAAGATGAAACATGGTTGTGCTAAAAGCATCTGATTCTCAACCAGGCCTCTCTGGGAAAAAACAACGTGGGCTGTAAAAAGCCCTTGCCAGTTTGGTTGCGTGGGCTATTTAGCCCTTGCAGACCTTCGCCGTTATTAATTTTTTTATATTTGAGTATTTACAAAGGCAAAAATACATAACCTTGTCTATTCTTTTAAACAATATTCACATTAGTTTTTTGTGCATTTCTACCTTTAAATTTTGTATTACCACTCCTTAAAACGTGGGTTTTGCATGGGTTTTGGGTGGGCACTGGCTATAGCAAGTGGGATGCTTGATGTTGATTGAGGAAGGTAGATATATATGTAGACTCCTTGTTGTTCTGCAAATATTTCCAACCTGCTTGACCCTTGAGAGAAAATAATGCAAAATATATACAATTTAGATTGGAAAGTGACATGACATGCCTTCTTCCAACTTTCTCTAAGATTTCATGACTAAAGCTTTAATTTTTTGCTTTTATGACTTTTTATTTTAGTTTACTGAAGTATCACTTCCAGAGGTGAAAGAAGAGCTTGATGTAGTGATCACAGCCAATCCAACAAAGCCTCCAATCAGTGCATTGTTGCTACTTGATTTTTTCAAACAAAATGGAATCAAAGTTACATCTGCTTTCCACAAACACTCTTCACTTAAAGAAGATCTACCAGATAAATTAATGAAATGTTTCACCAACCATCAACTGCTGGTTCAACCACATCAAATGCTAAATTTTACCTTTATCTGGAAGGAGGGTATGGTATTTTTAAATTTAAATTAAGTTTTATTTAAGCAAAGAAGAACTCATATTTTTTTGCTGCCTTTACAAATTCATTAGAGAATCTTGGCATAGTATCTTGGGTTTTTTTATTGATTTTTCTAAAAATTTTTGCTTTAAATCAGTTATTATTTGACTTAAATTCTATTTTTATAAATGATATATCTCACAAAAATTTAGCAGTTCTTAATATCTTAATTTTTCTGTTGTTTTGCTTTTTTACTTTGGGATTTCCCCTTCATCCCATCCTCCTTTGCTGAATTGTAACATCTATACTGTGGAATGAAGATAAAGTGGCAGAATGCAGTGGCAGTTCCTATTCATAATCAGGTATAGCTGAAATATGTATCACAATGGACACTTCTTGTGAAGCAACTGTAAAAGGTTCTTTGAATTTCAATGCTGAATGTTATTAACTGTTTTGTGCATCAGAGACTGTAATTATGGAATCTACTATTTCTTTATTTTACCGAATCATAATTTACCATATTTAGTTTGCACTTACCTTTCAAATTTTGTTACTATTCAATAATTTAAGCTTCAACTCACCAACTAATCTTTTTACAGATCTTTTCGGCCCATCGTTGATTGTGTCTCCCAGAGTTCAAACTCCAATCAAAGGTGATGCCAACATTGCAAGATACTTGTGTCGCAAATTTGCGCCTCATTTGTACGAGGGTCTTCAAGAGAATGATTTGTCAATAGCAGATTCCATAATGGAAATTTCATCTTCAAAGGTATGTATGTAAAAGATTATGCTCTTGCACTAAGGCCTAGCCATAAGACTTTTAGCAGGGGAGCTGTAAACAGCTCTCCTAGTAATCTACAGATGAGCATTTTCTAGATAAAAAATAATATACACAAAAGAAAAAATTGATTACAAGGAGAGCAATTTGCTTTTTAGAGCAATTGAGGAGAGCAATCTGTAGCTCTCCTCCAGCATTTGAGGAGAGCCTGGAGGGGAGCAAGAGCTATGGCTCTCCTCAAATGGCCTGACCTGACTTGGTGGTGGGAAAACTTTGAAAAACCTTTTTATTTTTTTATTTTTATATTTAGAGTAAAATTCTCTTGTAAACCTCTTGATGTATTTGCCTTGATGAATCTTTCTTGCAATATTTTATAGGTTGATGTTAGGTACAAATTGAAACTTATTTATGTGTTAACATAAAATAATACGAATCAAAAAACTCAATTTTAAAAAGTGTCCAAACATAAATATTAATTAGTACAAGTTAGAGTGGCCAAATAAAATATAACCTTGCCATAGCACTTGCTCAAGAATCCAGCCTGTTCTAATATGGTTACCACTTCCAAAAGTCATTTGAAAAGAAAGGTTTTATTTTCATTAAGGTGGCTTTGAAAAAAGCAAACATTTTTATAGCATACTAAAGCTTTTGGTCTGACACTTCTCAGAGCATAAAACGTCAGAATCAGGGTCCGAAACAACACAATGAAAAATATATACCCAGTTGTGGATCGAAATATGCCAATCAGAAAAATGCAAGCACAAGACCAGGATAGTTGACCAATCAGTGCCAATCAGGTGTTTTGAAATCTGTCTGTATTACAAATTTTCTGATTTTCTCGGAGATAGAAAAGGGTAGATTTTCTTGAAATTCAAGCATAAAGCATATCAAATATGGCATTATTTTTTCAAGTTCTGTTTGCTTCATACTTGGAATAAAAACTTGAGTAGTTTCAGATAAATTTTTCGATAAACTTTGTATGCTGCAAAAAAGTTAATATATAAAACATGTTAATGAAGATTGCTGCTTACCGGTCTTTCTTAAAGCCCTCTATGCCACATAAACAGAGCAAAAAGTTGTGTCATGATTGCATTGATTGTATAACTCAAAGAAACTTCTTAGAGCAAGGTCCTATTCTGTACATCATTTTCCTATTCCATATCTATTGATAAATTCTTGTATAACAAATTTATCATCAGCGAGTTTGTGTTTATAAGAAATAAATCTTCTTTAGTTTACTTTTGATGTGAATTTTTGCAATGTTAATTAGTAGAAAGTTAAAATAAAGAAATAAAGCATTTCAAATTTGTCAATTATAATGTAACAAAAAAATACTTCAAATGTAGTTCTTATATTTCTACTTGCTTTATTAAGATCCTTAATGGCAGTTTGGATGACACCAAAAAAGCTTTGAAGTCATTGGATAAATTGGTTGGCTCTGAGAACATTTGGTTGATTGGCAACAGAATGACAATAGCGGATATAGTCTTGTGGTCAGCTTTGCTGGCAAGTGGCAGAACAAGTGCTCTACCACAAAGTCTACAGAAATGGGCTGGAAATCTGAAAAAGATGTTTGTAACACTAAGTAAAGCCTATATATAAAGAGTATTATTGTTGTTTAATAGTATTTAGTATGAGTATTCAAATATCTTCTGAATGCACAAGGAGTTATCTGCTCTTTGTTTGGTACAGTTCATGTCAACATTCTGGGCCTAAATTTTCAATCTCCAACCATATTTAATGACATGAAAATATAAAGGAGCTTCATCTTGTCATTAAATTGTTAAGTTTTATTATCAATTGGCATTATCACTCTATCATAAAGTATGAACAAATCTTTTTTAGCTGAATAGGTAAAGATTGAATCATCTTTTAAAAGTTTTATTTTAAACATTTTTCCAACAAACATTTGAGGTTTTGCTATCTAGAAACCTAGCCAACACACTCAGGGTGTATTAAATTCTATCAATTTTGTTTAAAAACTTTTGATAGAAGATAACAATAATAAAGATGCAAACGCTGATAGAAATGCAGACAAAAAGTTAATTAAATCCTCTTCATAAAACCTTAGGAATTTCAGAAGCAGTTTTGTTTAACAAAGATTGAAAGTTCTTGTTGCTCCAGTCTAAAATCATACTTTTTGTATGTATTTTTGATCATTTAAATTTTTTAGCTATTTTAGAATGTTTGATGCAATAAAGCCTGCAGTAGATTTGTGTCCTCCTGTTATTTGCCTGACTTATCATGATGTGAAACATTGCAATTTAACAAAATATGTGTTTGCCTTTTTTCAACACTACAGTGTTTGAGGGTTAGGAAAAGGAAGACATTTCCTATTTCCACTAGAATCAGAGGATTTTACCTACTTAAGAACAATTAAACAGCTAATTGTAGATTTTACTGACAAAATGAAGATCTTGCCGACCAACTAAAATTCTTACCAAGGAATTGGTGACAGGTTTGGGAGGTCAGAACTTCTGCAAGTTTATTAAAAAAAGTACGGAAGTCACCACAGTAAACTAGGAAGCTCAAAAACTTTCAACGCAAGTCCAATAAAAGCCCATTGTTTTCTGCTCTCGTATTTTAGGCTGTAGGTGTAACTGCAATTACAATTTGCCATAATAATCAATTTCCAATCACCGAATATTGATCATTCCACCATTGTTTTGTTTGTAAACATTCGGATAAGTTATGATATATTCAATTAAAATATTTTTTGTTATTATCAACTTCGTAATGGGCTTATGACTAATTAAGTAGCCATGGTCAATGTCTGTGTGTTAGGAGGAGGCAAACGTCAACACAATTTAAATCTCTTAACCATGACCTGCAATTAATCAAAATCCATTAAAACCCATAGAAACCCAAACCACTATATTAATGTTTGCTGGAAGAAAACGGACAAATCTTCAATTTTTTCGCCTCTGTGTCACTTTTTTCCCTTCCACGCGGATGCGGAAAAGCATCATCAAACCCGTTACAGAAATTTCTTCGAAACCAATTAGCGATGTCGAAACACCTTTCCGCTTAATAATAATGACTCTCCCTAACAGGCTTCCTTAAAAGCATGACGTCACAGTTTACTTGAATAAAGTGGCAGCGCCTAGGGGTGGTATGGGGGATAATTGGGGTAATAATCCCCCCCCACTTTTGTCGAAACATGGTCTACATATTTCGTCTTAAAGCGGATTAAAAAACACTAGGTAGGGGTAGATCATATTTTCTAAGGAAATTTGACCTGATACAAAGCAATGAAACGAGGCCAATAGGGCGTGGTCTCACGGGCAACAACCATCACCTTCCCACTCTGCGGCAGCTGGCGCCGCCACTGCTTGAAAATGTTTCTGGGTTTCTCCTCTAAAAAGGCATTTTTGAATACCAGGCCTAATTGAAAGAGATTACCAATCTGTTTCATAGCAATAACAGAAATTCATATATTCACTTTTAAAACCTTTTTTCTCGAAATGCAAATAAGATAAAAATGACAGCCATGTTATATTTCCAACAGGTTCAGAAATTATCCCATAAAATAACATTTAAGCTTTACAGGGGTTTTTTGCCCCCTCTAGCCCCTCTATCTACGCCGCTGGGAGTTATACACTAAAAAATTTTGCAAATGAATGACTAACAATTTAAATCTCGAAGGGGGAAAACTCTATTATTCATTTGCCACTTCCTCTCTCTGTCTTATACAGGTTGCAGGTCGATAAAGTTATTGCCCTATTGACTCTACCTTGGCACATTAAAAAAGAATTGTTGATATAATGAAACAAGAAATAGGATCCTTTTTGACAAAGGTGCGTATTGTGATGAGCAGAAGGATGTATTTAAACCTGCTTTTTCCGATAAAAGCTGGGACGCACCATCTTTACAGAAACAAAGAAAAACAGACCCTGAAACATGAATGAGATTCTTTGTACAAGTGAGTAACCGAGATCCTATCGAAGTGAGTAACCGCTGATTTTTATTTCCCTGTGTTACCTACTACTAGGCAAAATTACAGATCCAGGCTTTACTGACTTTTTTGTCATTAGGCGACTAGAAATAGCTGACAGGTATCGACACGCGTACTTTTATACAACCAAAGCTGTGTGTGACATCATATGACACGTTTTTTATAGCGCATGTGAGAGTTGCTAATGATAAATTTTTCAAGCATAGAATATCATGCTTGGCCCGTTGTGCGCAAAAATACCGCTACACCGCTAAATCAGAGCCTTTAAAGTTTCGCTACACCCGCTCTGAGCAAATCGCTGCAGGCTTGGCCTCGTGTAACTTGTACACAAACACAGTGCTTACTTGTAAGGATGGCTTCTCTTAAAAAGGTAATAACCTGGTTGTCAAAGAAACAGAAAACACAACAATAAACGAATCTTTTAACTCTTACGTACAGGTTGTTCATGGAAAATATACAATCAAGAAATAGTTTGAAGAGTTGATCAATCAAATCAAATGTCTTGATCTTGTTTCATCAAACGGTTTCGCAGTCATCAGACAAGTATGACTAGTTTGATTGATAGTAAATCTCTTTAAGAATTTCTTGTCACATTTCAAAGTAGAAATGCTGTCATGTAAATAAACAATAGGTGAAAATTTAAAGAATGTGATCAGTGTGCAGACTTGAGAAATTCTCATCTTCTTTGGTGCAGAGAAAGACCCTCAATTTAAATAACGGTATACAGTTATATAACAGTTAAAAAACTGTGTTCGGGATTTTGAAAAGCCGCCATGTTCTCAATCTGAAGTAACTGAAACCGTCGTGAACTGAACGCGGCTGTCGTTGCATTCAGATTTAAAGGCAAGTGTTGTTCCAACAACAATCGCATCTAAATTGATTGCCTGAAGACAACCTGTATCATATTTCACTCTGGTTGTATCGACGAACTTGATTTCTGTACCTAATGCTGTACAGTCACTGTTCATGCCAAGGCTGCCGCTTGCACCCGTCAAGCACTTTTTCTGGTCCGTAAGGTACATGTTTTTGCCGCCATTTATAATGCAAACCTTCTCTGCCTTTGCCTTTTGGTCTGTTAATATTAAGCTGTCGCCATTGTAAGCAAGATACATACTCTGATCTGTCATCTTTAAATAAAACAAAGCTGAAATAAGAAAAGTAAATGAGTGTCAAATAGAAAGCTATTCATACTCTTCATTGAAATGTTTTCTATTAACCCTAGCAAACGTGTAACGACGTAACATGTTATCTAGGTAGCCTTGCAACAACGAAAATACAGAAGAAAGCTGGAAACTTTAGAAGACAATTATACCATTTATACACAATAGGTAATTGCCCAGAAAGGAAATATATATCCTGGGCATGGCCTTGACTAAATGCAGAGGACCAGTGGGCACGAGAATGGAAGTTAAAATTACGAAGGTATTCTAACGTAGAAAGCCGTAGTGTTACTGAGTAGCATGTTTCTGAGTGCTTTTAAAAATGCAAAGAAACAAGATGCAACGGGTAATTATCTGTAGCTAAACAATAATTTTATTTTCATGATATTTTCTGCTATACATGACGTAACACATTGGCACTCTATTCTAGGCAAGAGTATCGCATTTAGGTAATATCAAATTTTCTAGTTGATCATCAAAGACTTCGGTTTAAAAGGAAAACAATCGAGATAACGTCTCACCAGCGAACGTGCATTCTGGGTATTTTTTAGGTTCCTGCAATGAGAAATTCTACATTAAAGAAAAAAATATGAATAATCATATCAACTGGTTTGTAAAGTCACATGCAATCATTCAGCCACCAAGGATCACATCTGAAGTGCCTAACACGAAGAGAATTGTAAATATAGTGAATTAGAGAAGTCTTGAACAATATGAAAGTCAACTGACAGAACAGGAATAGATGCCAATAAGAGATATAATAGAACTACACAGATAGGTTAAGTACATTTAAATCCTGTATATGACCAATGCAAACGAAAAGTTCGTGACGTGACAGCACAGATTTCGGAAAGGCTTGTTCCACTTAAGATTTCAAGACCTCAGAAACATCAAAAAATGAGATAGTTTAAATGAGATTTCTATTTACTGACCTGTGTTGGCGTCGGCTGTTTCTCCATTGCTTTAGTTTTTTGCAGCACATGGACGCTAAACCCTTTTTTGGCATAGAGATGATGCTTGATGTTAGATAGATTTTCCAAGTACGAGAAGTTGCATGTAACACGAGATGAAGAAGAATGCTGCGCGCAGGCGATGTTGCATACCTCGTTCAATGCGCATTTGTGCAAGCAAACAAGCATGCTCGGTGCAACGAATGAAGAAATACCAGGCAAGTTGGTTTTAACATTTTCATAACCAACAACGGCGATTCCATTGCAATTAATTCTTGCAAATGTTGCATAAAATGCATAAACAAGGGTTAAATGCTTCCAGCCAGCCATTAGTGTTTTCTGAACAAGTGGAAAAGCTGATTCTCGATCAAGTCTTTCCCAATTTGAGTGTATGTTGATGAGGTGTTGACAGGGACTTGTTTGTACTCTGCACAGAACTTAAATGCATATGAAAACAGTTGTTGCTCTAAATAGCATCTGATCGCTAGGAAGCTGGCTGCAATTTTCAAAATTACATATTAACAACAAGCTGTTATTGCCGAATAGTATAAAATAAGATAATAATGTGTAAAGTTTTTAGATTAAGAAATACCTTAAACGTACTTTATTGCAAGCATAAACATTGTACATAACTTAATAAAAGAGACAAGAAATTCGCGGCTTGTTTTTATCGTTCAATGTGATCCTTAATGAAACACTGCAGAGATGTACGTGTTTATCAAATGTTAGTGTAAATTTCGCCTAAAAAGCACAGCTTTTACGCAAATAGGAGGTTCCCAGCTATTAAGGAAGTGTATTTTTTATATTTGCCATATTGAAACACAAAAGGTATCAGAAATTTTGATTTCAACGTTCGTCGATCCAAAGATAAATACAATTTGATTGAATGTAAGTTTTTCCCAATTTCCATTAACGATAAAAGTGTTAGGATCAAAGGGCGGATAATTATCGCACAATAAGTAAATTCGGCAATCGTTGTAAATTAGGATCATCAAGTCACTACCTCGAGCCAAAGTCACCTTAAAAACTATGTGAATCTCTCTATCATCTCTCGAGCTCCAAAAGAAAATGAGAATGAGGCGAAGATAACATTAACCCATCATAGCTTCAATACAGTAAAAGGACCATGTTAGGCCTTGTATACCAAATTCTAGGATTGCAAAAAGTAAAATTATCTTGCAACCTAATAAAGCGCTTTCCGCCCGATACTCCACAAAGTATTTAACATCGAATAATGACCAAAAGGAGAGCGGAAAGTCATAAATAGATGCAGATGGAAAGTAACGTGAGAAGAATCTTAGGTGATAAAATCTGTCTTGCATGATAGAAAATGTTTAAAAAACAACTGTCTTTTCTTCTAATTTCCATTGGCGTCTGAGCATGAGGATAAGGTTTTAGAAAGAAGAGTGTGCCCATTTAATGTGGTTTGATTTGTGATTTGTGTGGACAGAAGGAGTTTGCCTTCTCACTCGAATTCTCATTCATTTTCGATCCAGGCCTGTATGTTTGAACTTTCGTTTTCTCATTTTCGTCTCACATTTTCGTAACTTATTTAGATTCTTTACTTCTGTAAATGGTCATCATTTTACAATGCCAGACAAGTTTTTAAAAACAATCATTTGGTGGTACAGAATTTGAAAAAAAACTCTACGCTAGGAAATATACATACCCAGAGGTGAATCAAAATAGGCCAATCAGAAACGCGAGCACATGACTGTTGAGGTTGACCAATCAGTTCCATCTGTCTATGGAAAATGTTACAAATGGATCCTACAGTGAAAACAAACTCATTCTGTACACACAATGGTTCTGTTCCATTAAATAAGTGTATAGATTCTAAAACTGCTAGATAGAACGAAGACCGAGCTCTGGCAATAACCCGAAACATGTTGTCATTGTTGATTTTGGCACAATATGGGCTATCTGGGTTAACTAGTTTTTAAGCAAAAACCTTGCAAAGCAGCACCACTGGTAGTAGCCAAGAAAAGATCTGGACGAGCCACGATGAGTTCCCTTTCAGGAAAGTAAAAAAGAAAAGGAAGAAGTTCAAATTACAATACCGTGTGGTACATGGTTTGAATAAGAAATTCACTGACAACGAGCTTCTTTAAATGTTCCCGACAATATGGTCCATTCATCCGAAAATGTTTAACACTGAAAATTTAAGCTACCCTTTATATGTTGAGCTGAGAGAATATTTGTCACTTGCAAAAGATGTCTTCATTTCCGATTGTTTCCCAAGATGACCCGAGTTACAGTAGACTTTAGGTATTGAAACTAATTTTCAGCATCTTCAATCCGTCAAGAACATAAAACACTTAAGTCATAAATGATTTTATCTAGCGAGAAAGATTAAGTGAAAAAGTTACATAAATAAGCTTGAATAAAGCTCTTTTGCTTCGAAGGTGTAGGGCAATCTTAATTTTTAGGGTCTGTCTTCTTTAAAGCTACGCTTTTAAAAAGCTGAATCCGGTATGTACCTTCTCTGAGGACAGCCTTTTCAGAGCACGTTAAATAATTTAGCATCACCAATAAGGATCACGTGTCACGCATATTGTTTTTCAAATCAACATTTTTGGTCATTACCCAAGAAAAGTTTCTAGAGACAACCAAAAAAGGGGCTGATGAATCCTGCCAACAGTTCTATTTCTCACCCCTTCACGTCCATTAGGTTGAATCTTATTTACATTAAAGAAAAATTCCAAATTGATTCTGTCAAATGTTGTTTCAATATCTCCTTAAGATATAGCCATTCTTACAGCCCTGGCTAAACAGCTTTTAGCCGGACTTCAGTCAGTGCCGACGGTGCACTTTGAACGCGGACTTTTAGCTCACTTTGATGTTCCAAATGTTTCAAAACGTTACCAACGTTACCAGTAACGTAGAAAACGGGTCATTATTAGGGGCCCAAATTTAAAAGGGGCACTTTGACGTATCTGTTTTAAACACAATAAGCCCAAACACGAAAACACACACCTATTAATCATGAGCACTACTGAATGGGCAAAATCTTAGTAAACGAACCTCTTAGTCATGAAGACATACAAATTGAAAAATAGATAGATAAAAAGTCATGGACCCGCCTCCTCCTTTTCCCTCCACATACTACTTGGCATGTTCTCTCGCATTATATTTGTTGGGCTTTGTCTTTGACATGAAATCAGCTTAAAAGCTGTCGATATGCTTTTTGATCAACTAGATTTTGCGTCCTGTGTTTGTAGCGCGCAGACGACTGATTTGATCTCGAAGACAGTCTATGATACACAAAAGTCGCCCGTTTACGCTAGGCTTAACTTAACTCTTTCTGCTCTATACAAAATCCAATCTGAAGTTCAAGACGAGGCTGTGTCATAACCACACTACCGGGTGCTTTATTTACACTATAGATTCACCAGGGAATATAACACTAAATCAGAAAATCTGCATCGATCTTGTTCTGTTCTGGCCCGAGCATATGTTCATATGCACCTGAGACCATGTCCACGCCCTTTTAAGTTCCTCTAAAAAACGAGATCATGCAAATGTCCCCTTGAACACCGAAAATAATAACTAAACCCTTAAGAAAAATTGGCAACATGATTATATACTTCTACGCAGTGGCGAAGCCAAAGGTCGTGCCTGCCATGCCCGGCAAGACCATAAATTTCAAAAAGTAAGATTTTCCAATATTGCCAAAAATAATTTTTAACCTGCATAAAGGAGACAAATCGATTACGTTTATTTTGAAACATTAAAGACTCATTGCTAACAATGAGCCTTTGCGAGGGTGGCAAATTATCCAGGCGACAATCCAAACAAAGGCAGTAAACTTCTACTGATTAACCATAATTGATTTCAGACTGTCTGAAAATGCATTATGGGATGCTTGCGTTGCGCATTGGCTCATTGTTAGCAATGAGTAGCGCAATGTCTTTAATGAAGTCTACTCGAATCTGCAACTCTTGGCCCATTAAAAACTTTTAGAGCGGAGTAGGAATCCATAGGGTTTCAAATTGGTCGTGCCCAAAACCAGGTACCTTGTGATTTGGTCATGCCCAACAATAGAAGCTTCGATTGGACACCCTGTGTTTGGTCGTGCCCAACAATAGAGAAAGACAATGCTAGTCATGCCCTCCGAAATGGGCACGACCTCGTAATCATAATCATAATATTTCTGTTACGTGAAACAGCATTTGATTGGCTGAAGGCTGGTGGAGTATATGACGAGGTCGTGCCCGTTTCTAAAGACAGGGGTTTATAATTCTAAATACATTTTTCCGTATAGAAAAATTAAGAAAGACACTTTCTTCCCTTAACTTTTTTCTCAAGAACCTGTTTTATGTAAATAACTCTTAAAAGATCATGGCTTTTCTTTATCAATTCTGATTCAAATCATCTGGTCTGTGTCTTTTGATGTTGCTTGAGAAAAAATGAATTTGTTGAACATGTCTTGTTTGCTTATGCTGCCCTATCTATTTATAAATTGTAATAATCTGCTTTTTAATGATGAATTCATTGATTAGTGGCAACTTAAATGAATATTTCATCTTCTAAGGCTTTCAAATATTGCCAAGCATTGTGTACAGTGTATTAATAATAATCACTTCAGCCTTAAATCAGGTATCTATCTTAGTGATAAAATCTCTGTGAGAAGTCAATTTAACACTAGAGACTACCCAATGTTATTCAACAAAACTGTCAAAATAGCAGGACACAAAGTTATTTAAAAAGTTCATACTTTCTGGCACTCACTGTTAAGTGCTTTTTACCTGTGGCTAGATAAATAATGCTGCAAGCTCTTTAATATGTGTTCAAATCTTTCTGCCAGTCAGTTAAATTCTTTATACCTGTCTTGAACTTCAAAACCTATTTTCCCTCAAAGCCAATTTTTGCCCATTCTTTGAATGAAATTCCTAATTTACAGAACTACTCTGTGTGCCTTTAAGATCTTTGAAATTTGATTTAATGCGGAGGCGCATTTTAGCTGCGCAGTGGGCAATGGGCACGACCATCAGTTAGAGTTCAGCTTCGCCACTGCTTCTATGAGTCAATATTTGACTCTTAGATATAAATTAAAATATAGATAGATGAAATTTGTGTTGGTCTTGAGTTCTGAACTGATTCAGTACTATCCACTCGATTTCTCGAACTGGATGCAATCATTGGGGTTTGAAGAAAGTCCAATACTTTTACTGCTATCCACAAGACAATTTGGGGTGCCTGACGAATATTTTAACCAGATGTTGGAGCTGACGTTCGTGTTAAGCGTGAAATCTGCATCGATCGTTGTACAATCTATATCTACCTTCACAAATTTGTTGATACGGAGGCATTCAGCTTTCTTCACAAGCATCAGGTAGCCGAGGCGATTTTCGCAAAAGAAATCGTCACAATTATTTTCCAGTATAATTTTTCCACCTGCTTCGTACAGACAATTGGATGTACCAACCTGTCCTATTTTGAACTGATCTATCAAATCAAGAAAATGGAACGTTTTAAAAAGAGTTTCCTAACAATAACAAAAAGAACGTAGAAAAAGGCTAGTGATTAGAAAAAATGATGAAAATGGGAACTCATGGGATGGCATTTTCAATTTAATTTAAGATACAGTTGCAAAGCTAATCAACACAAAAGTGATTGGTTAAAATTACAAAAATAGAATCTCTTGAAAACAATTCAAAAGGAAAAGCAAAGCTAGATTTTTCCATGGTCAATTCTGCAGTCAATGTTTTAGGGGTGCAAATGGAAGTTACGGAAGATTTGGAGACTTCAAGAAACAGAGCGATCTGATATCATTGTGAAACAGAAAAATACCCAATTAAGAAAACGCGTATCTGAAATCATTGCCTTGAAGTTGACAACCCCATCGTGCAGCTTTCCTAATTAGAGAATTTCTTCTTTACATTTTGGTTAAGCAAAAGAGTAAGATAATTTCTTCTTTACAAAGCAAAAGAGTAAGGATCACCCAAAACTGGTTTTTTATTTGACCAACAAATTCTCTAATTTTGGCAAGGCAAACCAAATTTCAGGCTGGTGAATTGTAAGGACTGCATTTGAAAAATACGATAGCAGATTTGCTAAGAACTTATTTGCTTGTGATTTCCTGCCTAAAACACACCTTGATCTAACGGTAGTTAATCGAAAAAATCCATAGTTATTGAAAGAGAAACATAATTTATATTTCCTTACCTGAATCGCAAAGGTTGTTGTTCGTCGTGACTGCAGTAGTGGCAACCGACATTGCAGGAGTCGGGGTATTGGAGGGCTACAAGGCAAAACAGCTGAGTTATACCGAAAATGATTACATAAACCCAGTTACCACAATATTTTGTTGGACAACAATGGAGACCAATTCGTGGCAAAAAATGCTATAGAATACAAGGCTTAGATTTCTAACTAAGAAAATTAAAGCGTAGCTTGGGCAAAGTGCGAAAAAACGCAAGCCTTCAATAACCGTTTTCGTTTTCTTAAGTATTGGAAGGTAACCTATTCATCATAACACCTTCAATCAACTATATCAAGGCCGCCTTTTACAGAATAGAATTTATTATAGTGACTACTTTTTGAAATGCTTTTTGTCTAAAACTTTCTTTAAAACTTTATATTAAGAATGCATAAAGAAAGGAATACGAGGCTTGTACCGACGCGTAAAAAATGCAAGAGAACAAATACTGCAAGTAGCATACCTTTTCGTTAGTTGCTTTGGAGAGCGCATACAGATGCCATGACATGGAGGAAGAGCTTATGCTGTTGAGCTGAGAAATAACTTCAGCATTATAAAAAATACAATTATACTGCATCCCAGCAATAACATTGTAGTTGATAACACTGCACTTCTCGTGAAGTTGGCATCGGTGCAAACAATTCTGGATTGATGGGGCTTGAAATGCTTTCAACCTTTGTGGCACTGATGTAATTTTGACGTTTCCGTGAAACTCTGGTTGGAGAGCCAATTGCAGGGGAAAAAGAATGCCTCCAAAAAGAAAGCAAAATAATGAAGCAGCCATCGTCAACGCGGCCAAATTTTGATGCCTGCAAACTGATTAGACAAAAACTGCAGGGCGAGTACACTGGCTTATATGCAAATGCCTTCAATAATGTTCTTTGGAAAAACACACGACGAAGTTAATTAAAAGACAGAAGAGACCAAACACGGCTACGAGGCAGAACAGCCCTGATTCAACACCTGCCTTGGCAGATTGCATATCGATTGCTCGGAAATAAGAGCGAGTTGATGTCATTATCACACTTTGCGTAAGACACTTACGAATGTTGACACGGTTTTAGAGGATTTGGAACAGATTGTAGAAAAGCGAACAGAAGAATCTTTGTAAAAACAACTTTTAGGGTTTGTGGCACATTTAACGAATGCTGTTAAGCAAACAACAGCAAATACGGTTTCAGAACACAATCTGGAATGCACCTGTTGGAATCAGGCATATGTGTTTTTGAGAACAGTAAAATGGGATTGGAAATAGAAGAACTCAGCTCAGCTCTCACGACACTTAAAAGAATTCATGATGATTATCACTCTCAGGAGCGTGCCCAAGAGAGGGTACACAAGAGAGGTTGCTCAAGAGGGGGTCTTCCAATCCGGTAGAGGGTGCTCCAATCCCTTTTGCCAAAAGTGGATTATCCATCCTTAATATGCCGAAAAATCTGAAAATTCGTTGCGAAGCATCCAAAAATGGCAAAAAACTCCTCGTTTTTACAATGAAATTTTTTCCCAAGGGAAGTGACAGTCCGCAAACTCCCTGTAGCGACGGCCCTGATCGTTCTGCCAAAAATTTTGGCACCAGTTTGGAACAGTCTGCCAGATGACAGTGCCATCAGAACGAGAGTACACTATTATAAAGGAAAACCACTACGGCTTGATAGTTATTGGGGGCTCAAACCCCCTCCCTTAAGCCCCCTTGCGGCCTTGGACGGATTTAATCGGCTGACAACTTTACTGCCTTTAATTAAAGAATTGGACAGTATTAAATGTAGCTGCGACGTCTACAGGCACATAGAACCTTACGAACGTGAAACAATATATCTTATTCGTTACCCCTGTGTTTGTGTTGAACACAAATATTCTATTTTTAACTTTAATTAGTTTCTTTTTCTTGTAATTGGAAACTAGATTTTATTTACTTGGACAAAAAGACATTGACAACAAAAGCAACAACAACAACAACAATAAAATAATGTAGCTATCAGCTTGACAAAAGTCCAGTTGGTTAATCTGATCAAAGATCTTTCTTTCGTAAAAATCTGAAGTTTGTAACGTTCATCGTGTATGTGGAAAATTAACGAGTAGTTCCAAAGCATACGATGTTAATAACTTTGAAATTGATGAAATGCAAACTCCAAAATGTAAAATCTTAATGCGAAATCGAAATGGAAATTCTATTATTTTCTCATATTTAGCTCGATGGGAAGAACGGACAAAGTTAACCAAAATATGCTAAAATTTTTTAACTAAATTTAAAGGAAAACTAATTATATTTAATTGCCAGCACTAAAATATTCATCATGCTACGTTCAAATGCCTTACAAACATTTCCTGTTCATAAAGCTAATCAAATTTTTATTCATATCCGCAACGACTGCAGCAATTGTTTTGGCTGGTTTCAGTGAATTTGCGATTAAAAGGAGAGAACCAGCAAATTAATCCATGAAAATGCGCTCAGATTAACGCAATAAAGAGGATTGGACCAAATATGGAGCCTTGTCATACAAACAAAGTCCAAAGTTCCTTGCGCTTTCGCTGTTGTCTAGAAAAATGCAGCTTTTATAGGGTTCCAGCGACAGAAATTACAAAACTACTTTCTAAAAATAAGACAACAATTTCCTTTCCAAGATCACGGTTCTTGGTATGGTTTTGATTGTTAATTGATTTCTCAGCCACGTACCTGGCAGAACAAAAAAGTTCAAATCTTGATCGAAAATTTTTATATCCTTGTGGCTTACTAATTTGCTGAAACTTTGAAAGCCTTTAAACTCTAAGGGGACAAAATCTGGACCATTTTTACAGCATGCACATGCACAAGTTTTTAAATTCATACTTCAGTAAATACTAGTAAGCCATTCTACTTTTATCAACACAAAGGCAAGCAAACTACTATTTACCAACCAACTCTATCAGAAGCAAGAAGGTTCGACGCTAAAGAAGAATGTGTATGTAGCATGCTCTTCATAATAAGAACCAGATCATTTTTGCCGAGGCTCGATATTCTTATTTTTGTAATAACTTGATATTCTTATTTCCTATTTCAACTTGATTTGCTACATTGATACGCTAGCTTATGTTCCTAAGACCCCTAAATAAGAGTTTTACACGACATTTTAGTAGCACGGTTGGTTGCCTGATAAAATCTCGTCAACATGAGATCAAATTCGCAATTAGCGCACATTTTCTTAGTATCCACCTAATACCATGTATGTTCTTACGTTGTTCTAATTTATTTTCGAAAATTGAGCTTCGGAGATCCTTTAAATTGAGTCCTTTTAAAAAGAGTGTAGTGGCATGGGTATTTGGTTGATCAGACAGTGATATAAAGGTTGAAGGATTGGTGTTTAAAAGTAGTGTTTCAATTCTGGTGTTAAAAGAAGATTTAGTTAATGGTACCTGATGGGCAACAATGTTTTCTTATTGATTGTGTCTAAAAATGGCACCAGCTATAAGACGCATCGTATCGAAAAGTTTCTGCTTTTGTAGTGAGCAGACGAACATATCAATCTAGTTGTGATTAGCCTTGGGTCAGCGAAAATGTATAGTCAGTGAATATTTATATTGAATCCATTAGCAAATCATTAACAGCAAATTATAGATATATTTATAAATATTAAAGTCAATCAGCATTTCAAAAAACATGTTAGGATCTATTTAATTAAAATCATACGAGACAGCAAAATTCTTTAGCCTTATAAACAATTTGCAATGATGCGTGATGCGTGTATATGAATGTTTATAAAAATATATGTGAATGGCGACTTGTGTATAGAAAACTGATTAGAAATAAAATCTGGCTAAAATTCCAACTGTTAGTGAGCAAATTGGAATTAGAAGGACAAACAATGTTCGAAAAATTATATACTTATTCAACTTTTCTGATGAAGGGGTCGCATTTATGAGCTCCCATGAATCTCCTATTGGAAAAGGTTGTGTTGCCTCTGCTTGAAGATTGTCAACACCTGAGTCAGAAACTTGATGTTCAGGGTCATTTATTGAACCGTAGTCCGCTGAATAAGAGGGAATTAGGCAAGCTTTCTCTTCCATGTTATCGAGGCCTGCAAAAGGTATGATAAAGAAACAATAAAATATACGCAATAAACTATAACTTGGTCTAAAAAGAAAAAAACATGCCTAAGATTTTGACAAGTAGTTGCAGATAACGTCATTCATTCATCATGCAGGCATTCATTACTTACCGTCTTTAGATGTTGCTTCATCACTAGGTTTCAAATCAGGTACTTCTGCACGCTTCCTTGCCTAGAAATATAATGTTAATGCTGAAATGACGCGAAACCTCAGGCCCGTCGGAACCGGGAGGCTGGGGGGGGGGCTGCAGCCCCCCCCCAATAGTTGTCAGACTGCAGTATGTTCCTTTATAACGGTATACTGAATGAGATGGAATACAATGGGCAGCCCCCATATGAATTTCGTTCCGACGGCACTGTACCTACAGAATATCCATACCTTTTGATAAAATTCAATGTGAAAATATACTTCACCATTTCATAAATAAAAATTTTTGCAAACAAATGGCAGAATTATAAGACTTGCCTTTCGAGCGAATTCATCCCAGTTTGAGCATACAAGAAGGATCAGCGCCAAAATAACCTGGTAAAATAAGGCAAAGAAGTTGCTAAACAGCAAAGAGGAAAAGGGGAGCAAGAGGAACGGCCGATGTAAACTGCAAATTAAACAAATTGACAAAATCTTGGAAATAAAATATTCGTTCTAAGCATACCTGGAGCGCCATTCCTACAGCCATGCCGTGTTAGAAAACATGAAGACTCTGCGGAGGACACATTGTAAATAATGAGTATTGTTTAGTTTATTTCCGTGATGTATATAAAGGGATTAATTCGAGGTTGATGGGACTTTTGATTGATAGGACTTGGATTGTTGGATTGCTTGAATGGAGATGGTTTTCTTGATCGATTGGAACACGAACGCGTGTATTGAATAAAGGTTGATTATGTTTCGCGAATATATGGATATTGTTTAGTAATCGGTTATGTTGGAATCTAGATTGAAGATTCATTGTTTACAAATACCACTGATTGAGAGAACCTTGGAATTATAACCAGTTTGTTTTCCTCTTGTTGATCTTGAACTGAATTTATCGTACGGGAACATTGCGCGGTTTAATTATTCCGGCAGAAATAGTTTATTTGGCAATGTTATCCATCATTTTATGGTGCCGTGACCCGGGAACAGACTGGTGGTGATCGGATTTCGGTTATTTTTGTTGAATATATGTATATTTGGATTGCGAGTTGCAGTTAAAGTATGGAATCGAACGTTACATGATGACTGATATAAAGAAGTTGATACAGACTCGGAACGGTCATAAACTAGCCGTTAAAAAGGCTTTTAACACTGCAAACGAAATTTTTGAGAAATATCGCGAGAATTTATCGGAAATATCTATCGTTGATAGATCAAAGTTACAATCGCTGAAACGTTCACTGGACAGGCAGTCTAACGAACTTGATAATTTGAACAGGCAAATCGAAACTGCATTATCAGCGGAAGATATTGAAAGGGAAATTGTTGAGCGAAGCGAATTTGATGAATTTTTGCACGAGGCCATTTGCTTGACTGAGATATGTTTAGAATACAAGGCCAATTCATCAGAGGCTGCGTCAGATTCTTCTTGCTGCTCTCGAAACTCTGGTAATGGAAATAAGAAAAAGATAAACTTGCCAAAGTTGCAGCTGCCAACTTTTAATGGAAACCCCCTCGAATGGGTTACTTTTTGGGACAGCTTCCAGTCTGCTATAGGACTGGACGATGAGCTCAACGATGTTGACAAATTTAAGTACCTAAGATCATATTTGGGAGGTGCAGCGTATACGGCGATCGAAGGATTACCTATCTCAAATGGCAATTATAAGGAGGTCGTGGATATATTACAAAAGCGATTTGGTTCCAAGCAAGTCATTATATCGAACTTCATGAACACAATCATGAAGTTGCCGATCGTGAGTTCCTTCGAAGATTTGAAAAGTTTGCGATCCCTATATGATAAAACAGAAACAGTGGTAAGGGGTCTCAGAAGCATCGGAACAGAGCCCTCCAGTTATGGAACTTTTATCACGCCAGTATTGATGGCAAAGATTCCAGAGGAATTACGAGTTACCATAAGCCGCAATCTATCGGACTTTTGATTGATAGGACTTGGATTGTTGGATTGCTTGAATGGAGATGGTTTTCTTGATCGATTGGAACACGAACGCGTGTATTGAATAAAGGTTGATTATGTTTCGCGAATATATGGATATTGTTTAGTAATCGGTTATGTTGGAATCTAGATTGAAGATTCATTGTTTACAAATACCACTGATTGAGAGAACCTTGGAATTATAACCAGTTTGTTTTCCTCTTGTTGATCTTGAACTGAATTTATCGTACGGGAACATTGCGCGGTTTAATTATTCCGGCAGAAATAGTTTATTTGGCAATGTTATCCATCATGCCGCTCCAAAACCCTAGAATAATAAAACTGAAATTTAAAGTTTAGTCAAAATTTCAATTTTTTAGCCTTTAAATAGCATAAAATTAAATTGCCTTCATCAAACTAACATCTACATTCCACTAGTATTCAAGGTCCACGTGGAGTGCTTGAAGGCCATTTGCTACCCAGAAAGTCTAGCAAGGAGCTTCTCTACAGCCAAATATCAAATGTGGCTAGTAAATAGCTTTTCAGCCACCCGTTTTGTTATTAATGTTTGTCAAGGATTATATAGAATTATAATAAGCTGATTTCTAAGAAGCCTAAAGGCCCTACAACATACGTAAGCTATACCGTGAAAAATCACAAATTCAACGCGCAGTGTCCTTAATCAGGAATACAAATGTCTCCTTTTAGGCAGGGCTATGGCTGTGAAAATCTGATTTCTCACTTAACCGAGATGATCTCGATGGTTTGGTATACTTTCGAGTATGGAGATTCAGAATCCAAGATGGGATCAAAAACCGTTTGCCTCAGTATCACGTGATTGATGATGTCATTGCTAACGGCAAAAAGTCATAAATCCGCTATATATTAAAAAAAACTGTACAATTTAACAATTCTGAATTTTATGTGAATGCGCATTTCAAGAGTTTTCAATTGATGCATCATATAATTGGGTTTGGAGCGTTTGCTTATTCTGTGACGTCATCAGTGGATTTTCCCAAGTTCCGCCACAGCATTTGTGCTGATAACAAAGTGAGTTCGAATTCACTGCAAGTGCGCTAAAACTATGTTGATCTAAACATGTTTGATACTGTTTGACATTATTTGACTATTCTTGACACTAAAAATCACTATTCATGACTATTAACGATAATCATCATAATGCACTTGTGTAGTGCGACAGCAATGAACATAAAGTAGTTTATTTAGAGAGTGACTCTAAACCTGGTCGCTACAAGCTTTTTACAAGTAATGAATTTAGTTTCATTCCATGAAAGTACTTAACATTCAAAGATAAAAAAAGTGATAATGAACAACAGACCGAAAACGTTTAAATGTACGACCAAAGCAAGTACTGCTCCTAACGGTAACCCAGCGACCATATAGCCAATGAAATTGATGACTGCACCATGCTTTTGAAGGCCTATTCCACGCATGATGCCTGTTACTATCCCCTATATAGAAAACATGTAATGAAAAGAGGAGAATCAAAACAAAGGCAGGACGGCATGGGAAGGAAATAGGGTAGGTATGTAGGGATGGTGAAATATGTTAAAATTTGACAAAGGGCATTATGATGTGGAAATGAGACAGCTTTGGAAAAATTAAAGAAAAAGATGAGATGTGTTTTTGTTCCTGCCTCACCTCAAGTGTTTGCAGTTTGCCTACTATCAAGTTGAATGGTAAGTGGGTCAAAAAGTGAACTGAGGAAGAACCATGGCTAGTTAAAATGGAAAAGGACGCCTAGGACTTCCTACATATTTAAATAACGTAAAAGGTTACTCTTTATACACACTGCTTTCTGATTTTTCCACATACGACCCTGTTTTTAATCCTTGCAACCCCACACATATGCCAAGACCGTAAATCCCAATTTTTTGTTTCTAGACAATTTTCCATCTCTCCCACATTTTACTAGAGAATTCAGAGTAGGCAATGCAATGAAGGGTAATTGCACGGGCAAAGAGGTGTCCGAAGAATGTGATGAGTAAGTACTGGGCTGGAAAGTTCGGGGTTGAGAGGGCATGCAGTTAAAGATCAGGCCGTTACTTACCTCTTTGAAACAACCAATCCGATTAGCCAATCGTTTCTATATATGAACATGGGGTGTGCTTGAAACCGCTTATAAATCTTACCTTTTACTAAGTATAAGAATAATTCAATGTTTTACCTGAGTGCCATCTAAAATATGATATGCGGCGATGATGGGACAGACACTTGAAATCATCCTTATAACATTTCTAGAATTGAAACTTCTGTGCTTGAAGCTAAGTATATGTAATGTTGTGATTTATGCACATATTAATTTACCATTGCATAAATTAGAATAATTAGCTAATTAGAGAACAATGCTGTAAGAATGCAGGCTTGGATATATGTTCTCTTATGTTCCTACTTGACGTACGTTTTCTTGTGTACTACCTGCGACACAGGACATAATAGTATACAAAATTTTTGTACATGTTTACAAATAAGAACGATCGGTACAAATATAAAACAAGTTCAATAACACTAAAGAATATATGACTTGTTTCAAATAGAGGGGGTTGGATTATGATAAACGACACTATAGTATCATGGCAATGGATACGAAAAATCATAGCAGAATCAGGGATGGCTTGAGTTGATGGCATCAGGTTGTGCTAGGGGGTAGCGCCATATCATTGATATGGGGTACAGAACCAATATCAGGACAAAGAGGGGAGATGGTGAAAAGCTTCTTTTCTAAACCACATTATCATTCGATATTATACAATTTAATATTATACAGTTACACTATCAAATTGTAATATGATGTTATTAGTCATCCTATGATATTATTACGTTATCGCATAATATGATGACATTTTATTATGACATTGTTACTTTATCATATGGTATGGCAACACAGGATCGAAATTGTAATATGATATTATCAAGTTATCGCATGATATGATTACACAATAAAATGACAATAAAAATTATGTTGATATGTCACACAGTAAAAATGTTATAGTCGTATTTGTGAATTCCCAACTTACTTGCTCTTTGAAAACACATAGCCAATGTAGTCTCTCAGGCTCATCAAGAGCACGCCATCAAAAACACCCAGTATTACTAAAATATCAAAATTATAAATATGATTTGATAAAAGAAGGAAAAGATTCAATAACAACGGCGGATGGACTTGCCCTGAACCCTTACACAAGCATCGAAAGTTTCTGCAGATCTATTTTCATATTTAACATTCTATGTATATTCTTAATACTATTAAAAACCATTAGATTTTATATTTTGTTTTAGATTTACATAAGATTGCATACAGATTGTAATTAGGTTCAGCTAAAAGGTAATGATTAGCCTTCAATTCTGTTAACCTTCAAGAAAGGTGTCAGTGACATTGACAATTTAACGCTACACTCGTTAAATACTTGAATGTTACATGTTCGTTCATTGAATGAAATGAAATGCAAAGTGCTCTTGCCCAAGAAACACCTTTTAGAATGGAAACATGGTAAAAGCATGTTAACCATCGTAGTCCGCATAAAGGATACATTGGTTGACTAGGCCAACAGGACCCCTCTTTAAGGTGTAGGGCAAATTAATAAGAAACCCAGTTCAGATGAGAGTATGGCAAGTCCCAGCTTTTGTGCAAAACAAACCAAAAGTCTCGATATTTTAAGCTACTGGTTTCGAGAGGACTTCTTCGCATAACGAACAAGGAAGGATACAAGCAATATAGTGCTGTACAACAAAGAATCAGTTATGGAGTAAATCTTGACAGACAAATAATCAGAATAAAACACAATTGATAGAAACAGCACAACACTACTCACAAAATAAAAAAACAGCTACTTTTGAACAGTCAATAGCTTTCTGCGGTTCACCAGACCCAAGGTAGCTTCCAACTTTTACAGATACAGCAATGGCAAAACTGAGTGATATCTGTGGATAAAATGGATTAGAGAGGGTCACATATTCAACTCAGTTTAGAAGAACTAGGAATCGTAATATGCATTGAGTTTTGTTTTAATCTTACTTCTGAAGGTTGGTTTAAGACACTGAGAAGCCATGTTTTTCAAGCAGTGTCCTGGTCCTATTTCTTGGTGTGACCACACCTCTTGATTCCTACCCTATGCCTGGAATTACAGAGCGCTGGCGATTGGATCCGTGGATCTGTAGTCCATGACCCTTGGAGCCTTAGACCATTAGGATCATGACCCTAACCACTGAGCCATCCACACACGAGTCACCAAATGACTGAGTCACCAACAACGGATGATGACCGTCAAGATGGCTACTGAAGACAAAAAAGTCAGTTTTTTATCTTGAAGTCAGAAAGAGTCTGTTTTTTATTTTGGACTCTTCAACTAGGTGAGAGGTTAGTGGTCGCTGATTGGTGAAAAACAAAAGAACCAATCAAACGCGTCTTTCTTCCTTTCATGTTGTTTTCGATCCACACCTGCATATAAATTTTCTGATACTTTCGGACATTAAACGAATTTTATACTCTGAAGAGTATAGAACGAAACGTGCTTCAGTATGCAATATTTTCGCTATTTCTTGCCATCTTCTTAACTTATTTAATCGTGATTACATGTGCAATGCAATTGGAAATCCATCTAGAAGACATGCTACAGTAGTTTGCCAAATGAGAATATTTAAACTTTGGATAAATCGCATAATTGTAAACCATTCGATCAAAACCCTGAAGAGCATCGAATTCTTTGAGGCAGTACCCACTGGCTACGCAGCACCATACGGAAGGGAGCAGTAACTTACCTTTCAAAACTACAAATCGGACAACAGAGCCCTTCCTTCATTTATGATTTTTGCAAAAGCAATATTTTTAAAAAATATTTTGCAAAAACAAAATATTAATGTATGAAAAAAATCATACATTTGAGAATCTGATTTTTTAAAACGGGACAATTCGAAGTTTTTTTGAGGTGAGGTTAATCTGGTGAACAGATATACTGGATACTAACCATGAACAAGGTGGAAAGGAGGTTGAAAACCACACTCTGTGTTCCTACCTCGACCTTACCAACTAATCCTGCAAGACATAAATTCAAACTCTGTTTTACAGCCGTTTTTGTTGCACAAAGGTGGAAAGAAGCACTTTTCCAGGCTCTATAAGTTCACATGACCCTGTGACATCTGGAAATGTTGTGAAAACAAGGTAAAGTTTAAAAGTCAAATTAGGGGAAGAAGAGAAACATGCAAATAAAAAACGTGAAAGGATTCTAGGCATATTGTTTTCACTTTTCAGTTTGATAATTAATTTCAAGTTTTATGAAAGGAAAAGAGAAACCTTCCAATCAACAAACAATGACAATCAACAAGATTGTCAATCAACAAACAATGTCAATCAACAATGGCAATCAACAAACAATGTCAATCAACAAGAATGATAATCAACAAACAATGGCAATCAACAAACAATGTCAATCAACAAACAATGTCAATCAACAAGATTGTCAATCAACGAACAAAGTCAATCAACAAACAATGACAATCAACAATGACAATCAACGAACAAAGTCAATCAACTAAAAAATAAGGGTCCCATTTTGGGTCTCATGTAAAGGGCACCTAATTGATCTACGTGAAGTCGTCTTTCGCATTGGGCTTTTCTAGTGTCACATTAGATTGGATGAATGCGATCTTACGGAAGAAATAAACAACAAAATCAGGATAAAAACTCTTACCCATTAAAAACACTCCGGTCTCCGCTGATCCCCAGTCAAATATAACCATAAGCGCTCCTGGAAGAGCTAGTTTAACAAACTGACCCCATTGCAGGAGACATTCTCCTGACCAGCCTGAAATTAAGGGAACATCACTATTAGAAGTTGAAGTTATTTCACTTGAGGCTCCTAACTTGTCAAATGTAAAAGAATCAAGTGGTCGTAATCTCGAGCGCTTACGGAAGTAATGGAATATGGTAAAAAACGGGCGAAAAAACACAAAATGTGTCAAGAACAGCAACAGCCTGATGAGTGCTTGAAAAGATTGTTGAAGAAGTAAAAGAAAGCGGCTGTTATACTGTCATAATTGATGAAACATCTGACGTTCGTCAGCACGAATAAATGTCAGTAAATGTCATTTTTGCACTGAATCGTGTCCCAAAGGAAGTTTTTGCTAAATTTGACAAAACTCGGTCTTCGGCAGTTGTACAAATTCGGCTTAAATGGGTATGTAGAAACCTGTTGGCAAATGTTTCGACAGTCTAAAATGAGCGGCAAAGCTGAGGGCTTGGCAATGCGAATGGAGGAGTGTTCTCCACTGAGCATCTATGTCCACTGCCTAACGTCCAGATCTTTAAAGCTTTCCTCAAGTTCAAATAACTTTTGAAAACTTAACTCACTGTTGACTCCTATTAGTTGAATCTTGCAAAAGTGAGTCAATGACAAATGGATTTGGTGTTGTTCAAGGTCTCTACAATTTCATGGAGGCCAACACCAAAGGACATGTAATTTCAAGAAAAAAGTTGAACATGAATCTTCATATAGGCAGTGGGGACAAAGCGCAACGCACTGGGCTTGCCAGAGGGGGAAAGCAATGGACAGGACTTTTTGCAAGGATAAAGACCCCAAAACCCATCTAGAAAGCAAAGCTCTGTTCAATTGTTTCTACAAAGTAATGAACAAAGTTTTTGAAGAAATCTATGCTTGATAGTGACTATCGCATTTTACATGCTTTGGCGTAATGGAGGCATTTGGGGCCCTTAGCAAAAAAACTGCTACGAGACTTATATTCACGGAAAGCAAGAAGATCACATAAAAATGGCATAAAGCATGTCTGTAGCAAACATGTTCTTTGCCACATAAATTCACGGAGACCTCATTTTTCAACATTTGACTTAAAAGAATATACTTTCTGGTAAGAACTAAAATTTCTGCTATAATTTAATTATGTTTACTACAACGCGTCATCAGCCAGTTCCAGCTCCCCTAAAATTGACCTTTACACATAATAGATCTTCATATCCAACAAAACAACAGAACAAATAAAGCAACGCACATTTAACGTCCCTGGGAACATTCACACACAACACAACTACATAACAGAACAAATGCACAATTATAACGCCTGAACACCATTGAACAAACAATGACAACCACACTGTATCAGCCATTTTACACAACAAGTTTACTCCAAATACGCAATCATAATTGTAACACTTTAGCACATGAAACATAATGTAACAATATCAAACACAATGGAAAAATATAAAAATTATAAGCATTCTCTCGTTAGCTGAGAGAACTGAGTTTTAGAGCTTCAGTTGAAGAACTTTCAAAGTTTACAAAAGTTATTTGAACTTCAGCAAAGCTTTAAAGATCTGGACGTAAAAGCAAATGGGGCCCTCGGATGTTTTCAACCACTGTGTCACGACACACTAGCGTGCCTTGAGGTATTGCCTAGTGTGCACAGGAATATTAGCTAATTTCACTCAATTGGTCTATAAAACGCTTGATCATGGTGCCCTATACTGTGTTACGCCACTGGCCAGTGATTAGGGAATGCAAGCGTGAATGTTAACCCTTCGACAAAAATCATCATAAAGGTTTGCTCTTTCTACCAAATAGATTCTGAGTTTCTGACCTCCCAGAAATGGAACACAAATTTTTCAACAAAAACAAGAATAGGCAGGTAAGCAAAAAAGTGTGTGAATTGCTGAAAACGATGCAAATTATGGTCGCTGTCGTGGTCGCTACAAATAAAATAATCGATATATTTGGTCGCTGTCGTGGAAGAGATTCCTTTTTTTTAATTAAAATGTGTACAGTTTTAAAAATGCTTATTAGATAACATTATTTTCATGAGGTTGCATTTTAATCATTTCTTGACTAATATTAGAAGCTCCCATGTGTTAAAGTATAGTCCTTAAAATTTTGGGCGTTATTATTTTTTGGGCAAAAAAATTTCAGCCCCCCCCCTATCTGAACTCACCCCGTGCGCCTAGGCTCAAAAATGCTTCATAACCACGATTTTTTATGGTAAAACAATAACAACCATGTACAAACGGTTTGCATTTAATACGGCGTTCGAATTAACTGCCGTATTATCTATTATATTCGAATCAAATAGCGGCAGATAAATAATAGGCCTTACCTTCGACCTTCCACCTTTGACCTTCGACATAAGAGACCTTACATATACTAGTATCACGTGTTCATTTAATGACGTCAAAAATTTGTTTCAATTCGGAAAAAACATTTCTGTTATGATAAAACCTTACCTTCGACCTTCGAGCTTTGACCTTTGACTTATGAGACCTTACATATAAATATCTAAGGAAGGAAAAGCCGCAGAAAATCTCTCTTCAAATGCTTACGCAAACCCAAGCATTGCAAAATAAAACTTACTTTTAAACAAGCAAAATATATCATAAACTTTATTACCTGGCCAGGCTTGCAAAATTCTCTTCTTCCATATGTAACAAAGAAGTAATAGGCATAAAACCAGGTATGTAAGATCAATAACGATGGCACTGCCTCTGAAAAGTGAATAATATATCTTTTTAGGGCGGCGACTCTGATTACTTTGGTTAAAACGAAAACTTACAATGCGTGCCAGAATCCCCTTGAACACCCAAGCAGTGTCAGCCAATTCACCATCAATGTTCAATTCCCCCTTTAAAGAATTTTGGAAATAACGTTCAGGTTCGAATGTTGTTTTTCAGCTAAGGTGAATCACAAAAATGCTGTTTGTGTTCTAAGGCTTACAGCAGGCATTAGGTGAGAAAAAAATGGAAAAGTCAATGACTATTTGAATGGCAACAAAGAAAACATACATTTAACCATAGAGAACATCCATACATACGTAAAGCAGACACTGCATTTCTCTTGTTTGGTTTCCATGTTTGTACAAATTTCATAGCTCACATTTAAAATCACGCAATGATATATCTTATTGTAAATCGAAATATTCTGATAGTTGTTGAAAACGATCTATCAAGCTATTTATCTCAAAACCTAATGAAAAGGACGGTGTACTTGTCTTTCATGTTTTGCTCGATGACGTATAGGCAGAGAGCTGTACACACTTTGTTTTTTGCGATTCCCAGTTTCACGCTTAACGCGCTCATATGACAACTGCATACACCAGAATTTTGCCTAACTTAATCAAACATTGACGAAACTCTGTGTCTGGTAAATAATAGGCCAACAAAGCAATTTGAAATAAAATTTATAAATTATAACAAACGATACTTCACCCATAACATCCATTTCTATTTGAGTTGTAAAAAAGAAGGTAGAAATAGCCTAATTCTAGAAATACTGTCACACACACAAAGAACAATCCATAAAATCCAAAAAGAACTTTAAAATACTCCTTCTTTAAATAGTTAAAAATGACAAAAGTAGAAAAAAACTTCAACACATACACGAGTCCCATATCCAAGTAAGAAACAAACAAGTAATTTGCAACAACAGAAAACACAAGGCCAATAAAACCATTTACAACAAGAGGAGTTGATATTTCCTACGAAAAATGACACAAAATCATTGCAAAAAATTCCTGGAAAATAAACAGCTTATTTCAGCGACCCTCTTTTTCCCCTGAAAGCAATGTTAGTTTGCTAAAATATGGCGTAGAGAGAGTTTTCCTGTGGCTGGTATGGTATTTGCCTAAACTAACAACATTTTGCAAAGAAGAGAGAGCAGAAATAATGGGAACAAAGGCCCATAAATTTTGGCAGGCATTGTACTCTTAATACGAGTAAGTTCCAAGCAATAAACTATTCTGTAACAACCCCGGTCAAAACCCTTCCCAGACAGTTTTCCATTTCCCAACGTCCCTTACAAGCTAGGATTTTTCCCAAGTCAGTTTTAAGTTCTTTTTTAGACACAACATCGTATCCTGTGCCACTCCAAGACTGGGTTGTATAGATTGCTGTGAGAACCAACTTGGGCCATTGGTCTCTTAGGGCTTAGATGCCTAAATTCATGTTTAACTCAACAAATTACTGCACAAACATTTCCAAACAACACATTGCTTACCCATTTCATCAATTTCCTGAAAGGATTTGTGTCAACAAGCCCCATTCACTTTTAGTAGATAAATTTGGGGATATTTTTAAGAAACATTGATGTTGCCTCCTAACCTTGGAACTAACAGTCAATAAACTGTATCTTAATTCACCAAAATGAATGTTATAATAATTGGTACAGGCAAATGAACTCTGAAACAATTTGGATGTAAAACAGAAAAAGTGAAACACACCTGACAAAGAAGATATGTCTTCATTGTTGAATAAATACCTTGCAGCTAAAAAATACATATATTCAGTAAGAATTCTTCACTAAGTTTGCCTATATGTTTACATACTACTTTTGTAATGATATATATTACAAACACCTCCTCTAGCCCCTAAAATTGATTAGAGTTGTAGATAGGAGGTATGTCATTCCCAAAAATCTAACAACAGTCTTTCACTGTGAATAGTTTTCAAAGCTTGCATGGCAGTTTAAAAAGCAGGCACCGCGGAGCAGGGGGGCTTTTTGCAACAATGCCAAATATTAAGCATCAAACTACAAGAAAAGCCTCTTTTATACGGTTTTAGCCCCCCCACTTTTTTTAGACCCCCCACTTTTCTCAAAGCTCTGCGGTGCCTGAAAGTGAGTATCAAGTCTGCCTGTCCAAAGTATGGCCTGTCTAAAAGGGCATTACCAGCAAGGGAAGATCATAATCACAACACATTATCCCCCTTTATGGAGATTTAAGAAAAACAAAACCAGACAAATAAAACCAAAGCAAAAAGTCTTATATTAGCATAGGCATAGGAAGGCTGCAGCTCCTCCGAATCGTGTAAAATTTATGGCATTTCAGGGTCAATTTTGGCAGTTCTATCTGAATATAGCAATAAATTTCAAGCCAAATCAATACCAAGACCTCCTAAATGGGTATATGCCTCCTATGTCTTTGCCCCTAAAGCTGTAGCATTTGCTACACCCATACAATTGAGAATGTTGAAGCATGAAATAGAAGCAACTGTCAAGAGGTGGAAAAACCTAAACCTTACCAGCAAAGAAGGAATTCTTGTGTTTATGAACAGACCTGCGATTCTAGAAATAACATAAAATTTTAATTAGCTCCACTAAGGTAAGGTAGACATAAACACTTCATGCTTAAACAGTGGTGAAGGTTCTCAAGAAGAGCATCACTCTCTCAAAACAGTACCAGGTTCCAGGGGTGAAAATACCGAAGGGGGGGGGGGGGATTGTCACACCCCCGATCTTAAAAATTGCCGATTTTGCAGGGCAATCCAAAATTTCGCAGGGCGCCTAGAAGGGCTTCATTGCCACACAGAAACACAAACCTCTGAAGTTCGTAAAGGGTCATTTACGAATTTTGAAATGGAAATACTATATTTGTTATGAACCTTCCTGACATTGCACTTTAGAGAACGGAACAGGTATGTCAGGAAGAGCTCCGTTATTAGCAGAGCGAAAGCATTCCTTACCGAAAGTCATGCAATGATTGATGCATAAGATTATGAGGGCAAGGTTGAGTCCACACAAATTAATTTAAGTTGTAAATTATTTTTATGACAGGTACGGCGCCACTGGGGGGAATAGAGGGCTGAAGGCCCCCACTTTGGTCAAGATAAGAATTTTTTATCATTTTTTCTATAACTTTTTAACAGTGTATGAAACAAAAAGAGATGTTTTCATTTTGGAAGTATAAACATGGCCTTCTCGAGAAAAGAAACTGCACATTTCTGTTCAGAAAATAAAACTCTCCTAATCAAAACAACATTGCTGTGTCATTCACAACTATGTGCAATCTGAAACGAAAGGTTGCCGTTTCTTTTAGATTGAATTCAGCTTAAGGCATAGTTGACACAAATTGGTATCTGATTTTGCCTTGCATCTGCAATAAAACACTGGGAACAGACACTTGGAAACTGAGCATGTAGACAAAAGTTGGATACAATTTAATGCATTGCTACAACATTAATAGTTACATAGTTCATTTAGGAATCAGATTTTCAACTCACCTTGCAACATCTTTTTCTTGTCCTAATTTCAACAATATCTTCTCTGAATTGATCCAAAGCGGCAATATAATGAGGGCCCATGTCAATTGCAGTATTACAGCACGCTGTAAAATAACTCCATACCTAAACAGGTTGCCAGCACCAAAAGATTGTGCACTAAGGGTTTGTGTTGCAGTGTCTAGGCCAACTAACTGTGCGAACCCAACCAAGTTGCAATATGACATACCTAAACCAGCAGCAGCAAGCTGTGTTTCACCTAGGTGGCCAACAAATATCAAAGTGACAATGGGTACTAGCATCTCAGAAAGTATACTGAAAAAAATGGGCCAAGAAAATTTCAAAATAGACTTTGCATCTTCCTTGAAGTTTTTTGGGAACAGTCTTTTCAAGCAATTTGAGCCTTGGCAGCATGGCATGGTTTTTCTTGTATTTGCCTACAAGATTAAATTGATTTTTCTAAGGAGACACAGCACTAAATCTGTGGTACAAAGAATAAGGGAAATTAAGAAAAATTACCTTTTTGAACTAAAAAATTATCCAGTTGTCTGTAAAGATTCATAAGGTTCCCTGACCAAAAAAAAAGAAATTTCCCCCATGAAAATAAACCACAATTACAATTAGCTACATCTGATTGTTGCTGTTTGTATACTGTAAATCCTCTAATAAGCCCCCATGCTCGATTAAGCCCCCCCCCTCGAATAAGCCCCCACCTAAAAAATCACTCTTGCAAATAAGCCCCCCTATACTGTAAATCCTTGAATAGCCCCCAGGCTTGAATAAGCCCTCCCTCAAATAACCCTCCACCTAAAAAATCATTTTTGCAAATAAGCCCCTTGGAGCTTATTCAAGGATTTACGGTTTATCTGTATAGAAAACTTTTGCTCTTTTGCTTTTATTAGGGGGATTCTCTATCTCACTCACTTAATATGTAGTGGTGCCACAGTGGGGAACTTAGGGGGCACATCCCCCCAGTTCTCGGCAGGACCAATTTGGCATTTCATCTAAATCCGATGAGAAATTGTTGGGGGAGGAGTAATATTTTGGCAACATACTTTTGTGATGTAATCCTATGATTTTCAAACTGCATTTACATCAAAAGTTAGTCATCGGCATTCCTTTCAGGTAAAATTGGTGTTCCTTGTTAGTAAAAGGGCGTTTTCTGGTGCTAATAAGGGCATGGCTTGAATTTTTTTGTCCCCCCCCCCCCCTCCCAGAGCGTAGTGGCTGGCACTGCCATTGCACTTAGTTTATCTATTTAGAGATTTCCTCCTTAGTTAATTGATCTAAAATACAATCTTCAAAATCAAATGTCCTTAATTTCATTCTGTTATGATTTATAGCTTTATGTTTAGCAAGTAATTAATGTTGTTTTGCGATCAGCTGTAATGTAACCATGGATAAATGAAACTGAACTGAAAACTAAACTGAATTGAGTCTTTCACACCACCCACCCCCCGCCCCCCTTGGATCCCCAATATCTGCAACCTGCCATGTTTGTGCTAGTAAATGCGTGAGATCTGTTGTCCTAAAAGTACAGTAATCCCTCTCATTGTTAACCTTAATTTGCATTAACCCAAGCGTTTAATAATTGCTCATTGTTTTCCGTTAAAAGCTTATATGGTTCGATACTGCTGGGCATGCTTGAGAGCAACAGAGTAAATGGCAGGTCTTGACCATGTCTTACCTTTTATGTAGCATTCGACTTTTGTTTTTGAACTGCCCAGCCTTAATTAAAGCTGATATGTGTGGCAATGTCTTTAGAATACTAAAATTGAAAATCGACATACCTCGACACAAATCTTGCACCCCTCAAAAGTTGACTTGAGTACTGGAGAGGTAATGTAAATGTTGTTGTCGTTGTTGTTATGACTATTGACCAGTGCTATTGACAGGGTGCATAAGAGCGAGATGAAGAATTTCTTCCGCTCGCTCTTCTGCACCCTGTCAATAGCTAGAAACTTAGATTTTGCCAACAAATCTGAAAATCTGCTGCGAAGCATCCAAAAATGGCAAAAAACTCCTCATTTTTACGATGAAATTTTTCCAAGGAGGTGTGACAGTCCGCAAATCCCCCGTAGTGACGGCCCTGATCATGGTGCCAATACGTAAAACAATATATCTTATACGTTACCCCTGTATTTGTGTAGTTAAAACTAAACATCTCATTTTTAACTTTGATTAGTTTCTTTTTCTTGTAATTGGAAACTAGATTTTATTTACTTGGACAAAAAGACATTGACAACAAAAGCAACAACAACAACAATAAAAACTAATGTAGCTAAATTTGACAAAACTCCAGTTGGTTAATCTGATCAAAAATCTTTCTTTCACAAAAATCTGAAGTTTGTAACGTTCATCGTGTGTGTGGAAAATTTACTAGTAGTTTCAAGGCATACTATGTTAATAACTTCGAAATTGGTGAAATGCAAAGTCTAAAATGTAAAATCTTAATGCGAAATCGAAATGGAAATTCTATTATTTTCTCATATTTAGCTCGATGGGAAGAACGGACAAAGTTAACCAAAATATGCTAAATTTTTTGACTAAATTTAAAGGAAGACTAATTATATTTAATTGCCAGCACTAAAATATTCATCATGCTACGTTCAAATGCCTTACAAACATTTCCTGTTCATAAAGCTAATCAAATTTTTATTCATATCCGCAACGACTGCAGCAATTGTTTTGGCTGGTTTCAGTGAATTTGCGATTAAAAGGAGAGAACCAGCAAATTAATCCATGAAAATGCGCTCAGATTAACGCAATAAAGAGGATTGGACCAAATATGGAGCCTTGTCATACAAACAAAGTCCAAAGTTCCTTGCGCTTTCGCTGTTGTCTAGAAAAATGCAGCTTTCATTGGGATACAGCGACGGAAATTACAAAGACGCCTTTCAAAAACAAGACCACAATTTCCTTTCCAAGATAACGGTTCTTGATTTGACTTTTGATCGATAAATGGATTTATTAGCCGTGTACGTTCCAAGTCAAAAAACTTCAAATCTTGATCGAAAATATTCGTGAAAATTTGACGAGCTCGACTATACAGCAAAATCTTGTTGATATTCAAAAAAATTTATCCTTAAACTTGGGAAGTCTTTAGACTCAAAGGGATAAATCCATTTTTCTACAGCGTGAAAATGCATACATTTGCTGTCGAAAGATATGAGCTAAGTATTTCAATTCTTACTTCAGTAACTTTCGAATGGCCGAGGAAAGTGTGCTATTTTTCTTGGATCAAAATAAAGGCTAACCAACTGCTGTTTGACTTTTCATGCTAAAACTAAGCCTTTTAAGTTTACGCATAACAGTAAATCGTCGTTAGTAATTTTTCATTGGATGGCGATAAATAAATAACCGACGATGAAATGGGAAACCATAATTATCTCCCAGATACTGAACACAAGTTTCGGTCTAGCATGAATGCAGCTTCGTCCCTCTGTTTTCCCTGGGACCTTAGGGACTGTTTCAAACCGAGACTGTTAAGAAATTTACTAACGCGATTGGGCTAGAACGTCCTTATTACAAATACTGTCATGATAATTTGTTGGTCGTTTTGACCAGGGGAGGAGGAGATGCTCAAGGGAGATTACAACAAACATGAATTTTAATATAAAGCAGCCTCAGAATACCTTAATTGAAGATCCAGTATAGTTCATCAGAAAGGCTGCTCAAAATACCCTGAATTACCATCATACGTAACAGCAAATTTCTTCAATGTATTGTAAATGATCTTTCAAATCAAGATAAGATGAATAAACCAAAAATAAATGAAGTGAATGTTTATAAGATAATATTTGAACAACCACTTTAGCATATAATTTTGATTAAAAATAAAATTTGGCCAAAACTCCAATAGTCAAGGAGCACACTGGAATTAAAAGGACAAAAAATGTTCGAAAAATTATATACTTATTTAACTTTTCTGATGAAGGGGTTACATTTATGAGCTCCCATGAATCTGCTATTTGAAAAGATTGTGTAACCTCTGCTTTAAAATGGTAAAAACTTGACTCTTGTTGTTCAGAGTCATTTATTGAGCCGTAGTTCAGTGAATCCGAGGGAATAAGTTGAGCATCATGTTCCGTTTTATCAAGGCCTGCAAAAATAATGATAAAGAAACACTATAGTATACGCAATCACGCCACAGATTTAGGCAAGTACTTGCAGAAGCACTAAGAAATCCCGGGGTGACAATGTAAGAAAGGTTTTGATATAGTCAAAAAGTAATAACGATATACTAGTTATGATTATATTACCTAAGCTGAGTAGAGGAATCAAATATCAAGAAAATATAGAGCATAGTATGGGAGAAAAACAGCCTTGAAGATGCAAAGATAGATTCGGTGGGATTTATTTTCGGTGAGACTGGGCAACCGAAAATTAATCCTACCGAATTTTTTTTGAAATCGAAATTTTTAAAAGCTGGAAAAATCTCGATATACACCGATTGACTTTCAAACAACAACAAAAAATTTTCCTTGTTGTTCGATGGGCTGTTGTTCGATATTGTTCGAGCATTACTATACATCCAATGCATATTAATTTTTAGTTTTCTGGTTCTCTTTATCATCAACAAATAAGATACCCAGCTCATCTTCACTTTCTTCTCTTTTGCTCTCTACGTCCAAGAAATCTGAGTTCTCGATGGGCTGAACTGATACTTCCTTCTAATGTTTCAGCGGTTTAAATTTTGACGCCTCAATTTTTTACTCACGATGGATCAGAAATTCTAATCCACTCGTTGCGATTGGCGATCGAAAATATTGCGAATTGTAAACGTCAACAATTAATTTCCTCCACGGATTATAAGAAAATGAAATAAAAAAGATCTCCCGCAAATGAATAAAAGTTCATGACATTTTTATCTACTCTTCAGTTCCTTTTATTTGGCTGACATCAAAATATTCGATACTCGCATTTGAAGCTTTTAAGATTGCGTTCCAGACAATTTTATGTTAAAAATAGAAATAACTTACAGAAAGTGCTTTACTTCTTTTCTCATTGACATTTTTCTTTGCACAGAAATTTTTCAAGGTCTCTGCTAAGTTTACAGCAAAATTTGAAAAGCATGACCAAAATTTATTCCACCGAAAATTAATCAACCGAATTTTTTGGCACCGGACCTTCTGGTACTCTATGGATGTAAGAGATAAATTTGATTGCTAGGCCATGGAATTGGGCCATTTCGAAGGATTGATAATAGAGTGGAAATGCAGTTAAAGGACACCCAGGTTAAGATAAAAGGCAATGAATAAATGACTGGTAAACAGGCCTGTGAGGGTTTGATTTGGGCATGGGGCGACAAGAAAGAAAGGGCCCATGTTGACGTCATTAAAGAAACTTTTTAACAACATTTTTGTGGCCTCTCCCAGCTCGAGGCCATAAACCTGCCCCCTGCACCCTCTGGGGCAGGGTAACAAAAGTTGTTGTTGGCAGTATTTATTTAACAAGGGCATTTCTCACCCTCTTTAGATGTTGATTCATCACTAAATTCCAAACCAGGTACTTCTGCATGCTTCCTTGCCTGCAATTAAAACGAAGATGCCGAATTGGCTTGATACCAATAGAGCGGAAAAACCAATCGATAGAACTTAACATGAGAATATAGGTCACCATTTCATAAAAAATTTTGGCAAAGAAATTGTAAAAAATATGAGACTTGCCTTTCGAGAGAAGTCTTTCCAGTTTGAGCATACAAGAAGGATCAGCGCCAAAATAACCTGGTAACATACGGTAAAGAAATTGTCAAATGATAAAAAAAAGAGATTTAAAAGCCAGGAAAGAAATGAGGGGGATGAGCAGCCAACGACAACTGCAAATTAAGAAAATCTATAAAAAGTAAAGATATAATATCTATTGAGCTATTATAGTGGTTGTAAATAATATAGAGTTTTGAAAGTTATATCTTTTCGAAGTAGCTTTTTCAATAAACGATATCCAAAGTAACCTGTCTACTAAAATTAAGAAATGTGGAAGGTTAGTGTAAAATTGAAAGAGTCCTGGGCCAACCTGCAAAGCTATTCCTACAGCCATTCCACACCAAAACCCTACAAGAATAAAACTGAAATTTAAAGCTATATGAAAATTTTGAGGTATTTCAAGGTTGAAGAAGGATGATTGAAGCTCATTTGCTACCCAGAAATCCATGTGTGAGAGTGTTACCATTCATAATAAGACGCCTGTGTATAGAGGAGAAGGTTCTGGGTTCACTCATAATTGCTACACCCTTATTATGTGCAATGTCTTCTCTACATCCAAGCGTCAAATGTTGCCAGTATATTTATTTCTCAGCCACCCGTCGCCAATCCGCTGTTTTCTAAGACGTCTGAAGACTCTACAACATACGTTAGCTACACTGTGGAAAATGACAAATTCTAAGTGCAAAATTTTTAAGCTCCTCAGCTAAACACAATTTTCCTTTATCTTAGGCAGCGTTTACACGAGACCGGTTCATCTGAAACCGTACTAAAATGAGCACGGTTAGGCCTTCCGTTCACACGGGACCCGTCGGATACGTTCCAAATCGAACTGCTAGCCGTGCCAAAGCGGGATTGCTTAGAAAAAAAGTTCCATTTGGCACCGTTCCAAATTCATGAGTTAACGCAGCCTTTAACGCTAACCAAAAAGACAGAAATACTCGTATTTATTCCCCTTGAAAACTAGCGTGCAAAAGGGCTCCAAATTATCTTAAGGGTACACTCATACGTAAGGTAATCAACGAAACATTGGCTCTCACACGAAGACAACCACATATTCTCAATAACAGTTAATCACCGCAACGAGAACGTGTGAATCCAAGAACTTTTCCTTCACGAGTACAGATGGTCTATTCCTTAATGAAACTTAGATTTAAGCAAAAATCAGAGAAATTATTAGGGTTTTCATCTCTAGGGGAATTGGTCCTAAACCATATACCTTGTATATACGAAGCTGATTGGAGAACTTTCGATTCCTTAATCCCTTATGCAACAGCCTTAGCCTTCACCACTAACGAGCAGTCTGAAAAGCATGTACTGCTTTGCGGTTATTTACTGTGTGTACAAAAAAGTTTATTCCAAGGTCAGTGAAAAAATGAAAGTAGTTTATATTCAAGGATAAATAAAAATGATAATTAACTACAGACCGACAACGTTTAAATGTACGACCAAAGCAAGTACTGCTCCTAACGGTAACCCAACGACCATAAAGCCAATGAAATTGATCACCGCACCAAACCTTTGGAGGCCGATCCCACGCAAGATGCCTGATGCTATCCCCTGTATAGAAAATATGTAATGAAAAGAGGAGAATCAAAACACAGGAAGACAGGTATTTGAAGGATATGGGGTAGGCTTACAGTGGTGATATGGTAAAATTGGGTGTCGTGCAGTAGATGAGGATATAAAACAGCTATGGATGTGAAACAGCTATGGATGTGAAACAGCTATGGATGTGAAACAGCTATGGATGTGAAACAGCTATGGATGTGAAACAGCTATGGATGTGAAACAGCTATGGATGTGAAACAGCTATGGATGTGAAACAGCTATGGAACAAATCATAAACACGAGTTGAGTTTTCTGTTCCTGTCATACCGCAAGAATCTGTCTATAAGGTTTGTGAGATCTCTCCATTTAGATGGATGGAAATGTGTCATGAAGAGAGTTGAGGTGAATCCAAAGCTAGTTAAAATGGAAGAGAACCCCTGAGACTCTCTAAATACACTTTCATAACGCAAAGGCTACTTGGTATCTAGTGCTCTCTTCTGAATTTCCACACACAATCCTGTTTTCTACAAACCCTCTCCCTCATATTCGAACCTCTCGCGTATTCCCGGCCTGCTTTACACGTTATTAATTTCTGGAGAATATTCCACTGCCCCCCTCTTCGTTTCAGTGCATGCATTACACTGAAGGGTATTAGGGCGATAAGGTGTTAGAGGGGCAGGCAAAGAGGTGGGGGAACAATATGGCGAGCGAGTATTGGGCAGGAAAGTTCGAGGTTCAGTGGGTATGGGGTTAAAGATCGAGTCGATACCTCTTTGACAAACCGATCCAATTAGCAAATCAATTCGGAATACGCTTATGGGGTATGTTGGGCGAAACATTTCAAGTTCACATATGAATATAATTTCCTTATTTCAAACAATGCTTAAAAATCCTATTTTTAACTAAGCATGATAACCATTCAATGATTTACCTGAGAGCCATCTAAAATATGATATGCTGCGATGATGGGACAGACACTTGAAATCATCTTTATAACATTCCTAGAATTGAAATCCCAGCGCTTGAACCCATCGTTAAGTATCCAAAATAATACGATCGGTACAAATATAACAAAGTGATCAATAATACTGAAAAATAGATGACGTGTTGGAAAATAGAGGGGTTTGGATTATGATAAATGAAACTTTGATATGATGACGGTAGCGAAGAAAAATCAGAGCTTGGCTTGCTACAAGCTTTACAGGTATAGCCTACATCAATAAAACGGAATTACAAAAAGTACGAAATTACAAATTTGACAGTACAAGGTGAAAGGTGACGGCAAGTTGCGATACAGATGAAAAGTGATGGCACCAGAGGTTGTGCTAGGGGGTAGCATAATAAGGCGGGCATGGAGCAAAATTAATAGATGCGGATAGGATTTCCTTACTTACTTGCTCTTGGAAAACGCATAGCCAATGTAGTCTTTCAGGCTTATCAAGAGCAAGGCATCAAAAACACTGAGTATTACTAAAATATCAAAATTATAAATATGATTTCACAAAAGAAGGAAAAGATTCAAAAGCAACGGCGGATGGACTTGCCTTGAACCCATGCACAAGCATCGAAAAGTCGTATGGGAGTTTGCATATATAGTTTGATATTAAAGATTTTCTATTCTTTCTATTATTAAAAACTATTGGATTTTACTAACTGTTTTTTCATAAGATGGCATACAGATTTAGCTAAAAGGTAATTATAAGCGTTTAATTCGGCTGAGGTCTCGGTGAAAAATCCACATTCACGTTTTAACTCGTTAAATTCAAAAGACTCCCGTCTAGGAAACGCCTTCCAGAAGGGAAATATGATGAAAGCTAACTTGTCTTGCGTAGGCCTTTTAATGGATACATTTTAAACAT